GGGGGGGGGGGGGGGGGGGTCAGGTCCTTCTCCTCCCTATCATTCCGCTCATGCCCTTAGACTCATCACGAGGAAACTTTAAAAAACGTGCAAGATAGGTAACTCCTCCCATGCAAGTTGCCACACGCCTTAGTTAGAATCACGTGCATTTTTCAAACAAACTGACAGCCGCCGGAGTCCGGAATGTGTGTGTGGGAATTCCGTGTTGCTCGTTCGCCAAACTTTCCAAAGGTAAATAGTACGTGTAGGCGGGGGCGGGCGGGGGAGGCCTTAACCCAGGGGAAACGTCAATAAAGAATAATAAACAGTGCATCATAGTTGGATGAAGTGCTCTCCTGACGTGTTGTTCATTTCTTTCTGGAAGTTCCACATTCCACGCGTCTCGCTTTCTTCGAGTCTTCCGCGCCTGTGGTTTCGCTACTTTTTAGTGAATTTCCGTCGGTTGCAACCGATCATCATAATTAACACGCGTTGGAAGTTAATCCAATTGTTAGACACCCATAAATAAGTATAACTGTTGAGGAGAGTGTCGGGTCATTGAAGCTTGCCGAAACTGAGTCCAAACTATGGGAGCCAACCAAGTTTACCATCAGGGCTTTTAAAAACCGCGTGCTATCATTCTGAGGTGTTGTAAGAACTATGCAATATAAGATATCTTACTGAAAATCTACTGAAAAATTCTAATTTATCTCTTCTGGTTAATAACTTAAGATCTAAAGATCCATCAGATCCTACTTAAATTCTTAAAGACACTCAAACTCGAAAACTTGTTTCGTGCCTCTCAGCCGAGCTTGGTATATTCCACAATTTTCTAGATCTTGAATTGGAATATGTGATTTTGTGATAATACAAACGTTTTTTCGTCTTTTACCTGTCCAGTAGATTTTGTGTACCTTACGCTCCCGCTCGTTATAACAATTTAAACAGCGGATAATGAGGCTAATTTTCACATAAATACCGCCAAGACGTTTCGGCTGAAAACTCTGCCCTCCTCAGTTGGATAAAAACAGTGAACAATTGTAAAAATCAAAAAACGTAGTACTTGGCTGTACCTTTCAAAGCGAGAAAAATGTTGTTATGAAAGACACTTTTGATAAAACCCACGCTATTACATTAAACATTTTAAAATATTTGAGGTCTCTTAGCTTCGCCACGCCAAAGGGCAACCCAGGAATCCTTTTTAGAGTGTATTTCTAATTGATGGTGATAATAAAACTGAAAGTCTTGACGAGTAGGAAGCATTGGAAGCAAGTGAAGTAACTGTTTGAACCTTTTATGGGCTCTTGAGGATTGAAGCATCTACGTCTGTGCTCCTCGAGAATAGCATCTACTACAGTAATTGCTTTTTTGCGAAAGGAGGATGATAGAAACCCCAGCAATGCCGGTCGAGGTAACTGGCTCGGATGGCGATTCGAAAATCGTTATTACAGTCGATTTTTTGACCCCGCGTAGGAGGAAAATGCGTTCTCCAATCAGTAAGTTTCATTCAAAGTGGCCGTTATTTCCGCACCATTTTCATTTTCATTTGCGTAGGTATACTTACACACTGGATGTCTCAGAAGATTATGAAGGTCACGAATGGTATAGTGCAACGAAAATATTAAATTACAGTCACAATGGACCATCAGAGAAGGTACGAATTTAAGTATTCTGATACATGATCCTAGTAAAAAGCTAGTTCCGTAAAAAAAAATTTTAAAAAAAATGCAAGTGCCTAGTAGTATGTTGCATTATTACATTTACCTATGGAAACTAGGGATGTCACCAATTGGACCACGTTATTTGCTATTAGGAACTAATATTTCTGACTGTTCGATGAAAGTACCTATCTGCACGATGAATCAAACGGCAAATGTGTAGTTCCTAAAATAAGCCAAAAATAGTAGCTTCTTATCGCAAAATAGAAGTCCTATACCTATTCTATATTCAGTCTATACTCAGTCTTTATATTGTAGTCCAATTGATTCAAAACTATTTTTTTCTGATGAAATACACGTGTTTAAATGGGGAACACGACTTCATGACGAGTGGAAATATGAGTACTTTAATTTTCCTCTTGCGTTTCCTAACCTCTATTTGAGGCAAGAAAATTCCCTCGTGCGAAGCCTCTGCGTGATAGAAACGTTCTATCATCCTATCCATTCCTCATACAGATATGCTTTTTCTGAAGCATCCCGATGTACAATTGTACACGGACTTATTTTGTACCAATATTTGCAATCGATCTACCTGACAAACTTCCGGTAAAGATGAATACCTACACCAAAAATAATGAGACTTCCACCCAACTAATTTTCAACCTCTAATAATTAGTACTGTGTTTCTTATGACTGAGCAATTCAAATTGCATGTAACCAATGCAAAATTAAAACGTTAATATCTTAGTTAGGAGTTGATTTCGATAAAGTTTGATGCAAGAATTGTGTTCTGCGTGAAATTTTGACTAGGAAGCATGTATCAGAATGCTTAAATTCGTGCTTTGTCTAATGGTGCATTCAATCTGAAAAAGCGAATATAGAGAACTCTTCTAAACTTTCTCAGGAAAATATTTTATAGGGAGAAACGCGACAACGTTGGAATGCTCATACGGCGTCGACACACAACATGGGCTCCTTAGCCCCATTATTCGATGCCGCGATTATTCTAACGCGGGCTCGAATGATCAAGCCAAACACAGTGCGTCCGACGTTTGACGCATATTAGCGCCTGCAAGACTGGAGGAATACTTCACGTATTGCACCAAACAGTGCGGTTGGAATGACGCACGTATTAGCGCCTACACGACTGCATGGATACTTCTCGCATTGCGCCAAAAGCAGTGCAGTCGGTCAGTTGGCGTGAAACGCATTATTGGCACCTACGAGACTATAGACATGAAGCACTACTTAAGTGAATGCACAAGGTTAAGAAACATGTATCAGAATGCTAAAATTCGTACCTTGTCTAGTGGACAATTGGACCGCGTTAAACAGAAAGGAACCAAGCCACGTCAGCTATTGGCAAATTCAATCGGGCAATTTAAATTTTTACATGAAAACGGTTGTGCGGATTTTTGTGCAAATTTCTATGAATTTTCTCCATAATACAAAGCAAATTCCTTAACATTTTCAAAGGAATCCTCACAAACGTTCTCTCGTAAAAAATCAAATTCCCCTGTTAAATTTGACAATAGCTGATGTTGCTTGGTTCCTTTCTGTTTAACGCGGTCCAATTAGCAGTTTCGCAGCCGAAGCTTCAACTGAAATCAGTAAAAATCCAATTGATATTAGCAGAACTTTTTATTAAACGTTATTACAATAATGAGACTTCCAGGCAACTAATTTCCTTCCTCTAATAATGTTATATATTTTCAGAAACCGAGGTGACGTTCAGTCCGAGAAGAGAAAAACATGAGATGGAACTGCCCGAAAACTGTACTGACTCAGAGGCAAGACTTATCGAGAATACACAAAGTGAGCTCCTTGAATCCAACATCCATTAACCATACTCCAAACCCGAGGGTTTACTTTTTTATACAAGAGAAAAGCATTGCAATTGGACTACATTTTGCAATTAGGAACTATAAATTCCGGCCCGGTTTAAAAACAACGTATGTGCCATTAGTTTCCCTATGCACATAAGTGTTTTTTCAGATGAGCCAGAATTTATAGGTCCAAATTGCAAAATGTAGTCCAATTTATCTTTACAGTTTTAAATATATATAAAAATGTATAGAAATAATTTATATAATTATTAATTATAAACATTATTAAATATATAATTTAGATCTAAATATTTACTAATATATTTAACGAGAAAACATAATAATCATTACGTTTTGTAAATCTATCCATAGAGATATTCATCACATTGTGAAACCAAAGTTTAAGACTTTCAGAAGGAAGGGTGTTTGATTATCCTCTCAAAAAATACGAGTAGATTGAAGTAGGTAGGAAATTTGGAAAATAATACGACCGAAGTTCTATAGAATTATTATTTGACTTAAACTATTACCCAAGTAGCATTTTTCAACGAAAAAATCGCGATATGCTGATATTAAGTTGCGACTTTTTTACGATTTTTTGGCGATAAAATCGCTAGGATCATCAACATCTAAGCGATTATCCTCGATCTTGTCGGAATCTTATCTCTATAACATCGCGTTCCCTTAATTTAACTTATCGCGGTAAATCGCCATCGATAAAATCGCGTTTTATGGCAAATATTTGTGAAGATATCGCAATTTTTTTGCTATTTTTTATCCGATAATATCACACTAAATCGACGTCAATAAAATCGTGATGCATTCTCAACTCTTAGGGATCACTGCTACCTGGGTATGCACGTTTTAGCTTGTCTCTTTGCTCTTCTCTCTTATTCCTTATTCGTTTGTTTGTTTCACAGAAATTGAACTTTTATCCGAAATAAATGAGGTGCTTCATGAGCGGCAAAGAGTAGTGCAAAAACACAACGTTTTACTGCAGAAAGTAAACCAACTTCAAAACCAGGTACAAGAAGCCCACTTGAGGGTAAGATTTTTACCTCGTCAGCTTTTTCGCCTAAATTTTAAAAAAGAAAAAAAGGATCAAAACTGCACCTAGAGTCACTTTCAAACCGTCAAAAAATAACTAAAAACTGCCACTTTGTTTTGAACGGATATAGATTACTCAATTGAAGTTTTAGAAAAGGTTTGAGTTGAGATGAATCAAACCTAAAAATTTTAGGGGTGTAATCATATCGGCAAGGTAGTATCTTAATAAATCATGTGTTGGATAATTCGATGCACTGTTGATTTTGACTTTTTTCCACTGTCATAATTCCCTTTCAAAGTATACACATTTTTAGCCTCATAAAATGTATCTGTGGAATAGCTGTCTTATTTTAAGAATACAGTTCTGTTGAGAGGAGGCACATTTTTAAATTGTCAGCAATGACCATCGCATATGTCTATTTTTTCACGGTCGAAGCGTATCAGTTTGAAATTTTCAAAACTTTGAGGGCTGCTTACTTTCTCAAGACCCCACAAAGAAAGTGTCAGCCTCTTATACATTTGAATACAGCTTAAGAAGTATTGTGATTAGGTATTTTAATTTCGTCTAAACTTAGCTGGGTGTATTTTTGATCCTACATTCTTCAAATTTACCAAGTATCTAAAGAAATGAAAAGTAAAGATTTTTGTCAGAGCTATACTTCAATACTCAGTCCAGTGTTGATTTCAGTGACACGACATTCGAAGCTATTAAGTCTAGGCGAAGAAAGAAATGGACGGAATTCTGCCAAACGGAACTATGTGCATTATGAAGTGAGCCCTGTTATGCATGTATTCTTATGGGTCTCAGGGTTCGTGTCTTAATGCACATAGTTCTGTTTGGCAGAAATACGTTCAAATGATGAAAAGGTGACGATAAAGGTGGGGTGGCGTGGAGATTAAAAGGTTGCGATCTTCATACAACCTACCTTTACTTAAATGCCAAGTAGTATACCTATTAAATAATCTCTATGTAATAATTTTATCTTAGCACAGTTAAGCAAATCGTCAGAGAGTGGAGGCAAAAGACGGATTTATCGCATAACTGGCAACTTCCTTGTCGTGCTAATCGCGGAGTGTCTCAATGATACATCATCTTGGGCTCCTTTTTAATATTTTTAGACCTGATGCCGTGATTCGATACAGTATTTGCATGCTGGCTAAGGAATTGCGATCGTGAGGGTTTTCCATTCGCTCCGCATTGGAGCCAATATGTTTCACGATTATTATTTCGGGCTTCCGTAAAATACGGATCAAGGCTTTCAATTACTTACAGTTTTAGGCTGCATTAAAACAACTGACGTGCGCCTGCCGGAAGGAGCTACTAAGGGTTTTTGCTGCATTCCGTGCACTCTAGTATCCTCGTTTTGCTACGCTTCAAGGAAGGAGACAAAACTTCCGTCCTAGTAAAAAGCAACTAAAGTTTTAACAAATACTTAGATCTTGGCTCCATTTTTTTTTCTTCTTCTTTTTTTCTTTTTTTTTAATATCGATTTATGAAAATTAAAAGGCTGTAAGTTGGCGAGAGATAAATTTTCCAGAACGAAGAATACGGTGATAAGATTTAATACTTGTGTAATGTGGTGTTCAGGGCATTGGCGGATCCTGCAAATTGGCAACATTGTTTTTTCTCCATTTACCCTTTGAAAAAAATGTATCGATTCTTGAAGGGGCCTGGTGCTCCGACAAGAATCGATTATTTCACATAGGTTTAAATGAAGGAAATCATGTGTTGCTAAATTGCTGGATTCGCCCCTGGTTTAAGGATTCGACGTTTCCCGGATAAAGAGATGAAAAATTTACTCAAACAAGTCAATTTTGTTTGAAAAGTATGTGTGTCATTTCTATCGATGAGGTTAATTTTCGCGTGTAATCGGAGGAAACATTATTGAAAGTATCAGTAGAAAATGCCGAACAGTTCCCTAGTAAAAATATCACTTGCAAGTTGGAAGATGAATGTTCTTTTTCGTCTAGGAAACGACACATCATGGCTGAATGTTTTTTTTTTTTTTTTTTGGTCACACTTAAATTTTGAAAAATGTTCTAGCGAAAACGGTTCCACGCAGTTTTACAAATATCACCTCCACAAATTGTTGACAATAAAATTTCTAAAAAGCGTACTACTTGGCAATGCCACAGCGATACTGTTTGGCTCATCCAAATTCAGAGGTGTTTCAATGGTCAACGTGATTGTACAAGCAACACGAGTACATTCACTTGAACGCAAAAATTTGAAGCGAGGGCTAGGCATTGAAATTAGGAAAACCAGAGCGCCTGCAATTTCGTGTGTATGCACTATTGCATCCAGACGTTGGCACTAAGAAAGTGAAGGCGCATTTATCGAGCTAGCTATGTAAGCGAGGGTAGAATATCTCATTCCATGCGATACTATAATCTTCCAGTGCACATTTAATTTGGCAGTGAAATGTCTGTCGATTTTAAAGTAAATATAACAATTTTTGACGACCTCAAAGCTTGTCACTACTGTCCCTGCAGTTTATTTAACATCCTCAGGCTCTGAAATAAATAGCAAGGGCAGTTCAACAAACGTTCCGAAGTCGAGAAGTTGTCACGCACGTTTTTAACGACCAAGATCGGACTAATCAGACTACTCTTTTTAATTTCAAGTATAAAACACTTAAGTAACAAAATATTTAGATTTGTATATTAATTTAAATATTCTATCTGATGCGGGCACTTTGATTCAATATCCTAATTTCTTTCCAGATGATTGCTTCATACTTAAAATTTCTTATTGTTCCTCTGTGAAGTTACAAGTGTGTTGACTGTTAGGTACAAAGCTTATGGGAGGAGAATATCAACAACTTAAAAGAGAAGAACCTAACGCTAGAAAAGGAACTAAAAGGGCTGAGAGATCAGATTGCCCAAGCTGTAGAGCAGCAGAGCAAAGGGCAGGTTTTCAAACTCAACGACCTAGCTCATGAGTCTTCCACTAGGCACAAGGCTGACGTTCCTTCCAGAAAGGTGAGAATTTCTTCGGACTTTTGAATGGGGATAAGCACTCATAAGGTGCTTATGCTAAAATTTCAGAGGTTAACCATTGTGAAAGTTTACGAAATTTAGAGAATGAAATGTAATTGATTGAGAGTGTAAAAAATAAACTTTCGGATGCAAACTAGCGTGGTGGTATTAATGGAAAAAATGGTAAAATGGTACCTTTTTAGTAAAATTTTCTAGTTTAATTAATTTAATAATTTGTTTAACTTTTTAATATTTACATATAACATGAATATGTATAATCAATGCATATTAAATCTGATGATTAATATATAAGTATAAATATTTCAATCTTAATGCTTTCCTGCATAATTTTTGTTCAATTGAGTTTTAGCTTACCTTCTGATGTTAAATTTTAGGTATTACCCATGCCATCTTCAACTGCTTATTTCGAACGGTGATGTTCAACAGAGAAACTTGGTATTTGAAAGATTTAATCAGTTTTTGCATGGACATCTAAAAGCAGAAACCGATTTTGCTGCACGATTCTGGAACGAGATGTAACCGGCCAATTTTCATTGCTCACTTATTGCGGAGAGACTATAGTCGATTTGTGAAGCTTTCAAACCATAAATCATCATATCGGCGTTTGGAAATTTCCACTCATACTTAATTTTTTCATAAGAATACTGGTCGACATTTTTGCGCGAAATCTTTAGGGGATATTCTTGGAACGACGTAAAGCGATTAAATACATTTTTTTTTTTTTGCAAAAACGTTGATCGACCTTCCACAGAAAAATAAAATGTGATTATAGATTCGCAACATGGCAAACCGAGATACTTGTTTTGGTATTTGCACTATCGCAATGTTCAAAGACGAAACGTGATTGGGAAAGGCCTGAGGATCTTCTCAAAGCTACTGAGAGAGCTGAAAACCTGCGTGAAGGGCTTCCAAATCTCAAAAGATCAAATGAGGAAGACGATTTAAGCGGTTTTTCGGCGCCAACGCTCCGAGGACTCAATTTAACTTTCCTTAATTAATTGCCTTTTCTTTGCTATTGTACTTTCAGGCTAATTATAAAATAATCGCCAGTCGTCTCCAAGACGAAATCAAAGTCCTGAGAACACGTCTCAATAAAACGAAATTGAAGTTACTCTCTGAAATGAAGGTACGTTTAATCAGATTCCGTTTTTCTCTCTCCGTTTCTAAAATTATCTATAGATGGCCTAACCAAGCGAAACGAACATTACAAATAAGAAAAGACAGGTTTGGAGAAGTTTATCCTCTTAATAAATTGTAAAATAGACAAAATCAATTCGTTTTCGTTTCGGTTTAGTAGTAAATATTAGACCGCATTGTGGTTAGGAAACCAGGTCGGATTAAATTTAGACTCCTTCAAACCTCGAGCAGATAACTCCTCGAGCTTGACGGAAGTAATTTTGCCTATATTCTGAATTGAAGGCGACTTACGGCGAATGCGATGCACTGCGCGGAGACAGCTTTAAACTCCAATAGATTATTTTGAGTTGCTATAATTGCACTAGGAATTGATTGGATTTCATTTGTCAATTCAATTTTCCATAAATTCAAAAACTTGATGGTATCTTCGAAAACAATTTAGGTAAAGAAACAGCTGCTTCACAAAAATAGGTGCCTCGTTCGAATTCTCCGATAGTTTTGTCATCTGAAAATGTCTTCTGCGTCCAGCAACGACATGTTTTTGAAGATATACTAAAATTGAATAGTTTAGACACAAATCGCTAGTCATGTTTCCTGAATAAGTTCGTTTTGATAAGCAAAATCTGCCGTCGTGCGACTTGTAAAAATTGGGTAAATTAAAAATTAATTTATCTAGAAATAGTGCGTCTCTGTTTGTGTAATTTACACGGTTTGAATTATTTCTGTAAATTTATGGACAAAATAATGTACCTAATCAAGGGTAGCACACTGTTCTTGCTCATTTCATGGTTAAGTAGTTGGTAGATATCATTTTTTTTTTTTTTAAACCGTACGTTAATCTTTCTTGATGAGTTTTTGGTCCAAAAGCTCATCGTCCGAGAGTCTTGGATGATTTCCCAAAAACAGGCGATCAACCTGTCTTTTTTTGTCTTTCTTTATTCTTTCTGCTAAAATAATAACTTTTTGCGGGAAAACTGACCCATTACGTTTAAGAAGGGCACTTGTCAGTTTTTTCTTCCGAAAGAATAATATAAAAATTGCTATGCCTGTTATCTTCCAGAGGAAAGAAGAGGTGGAGAAAGAGGTTCGAATCCTCCGGTCGAGCATGTCGAAAAGAAGCAACAGTGCATCCTCTCTACACAGCCCGACGCCAGAGGAGCAAAACTCATTGGAAACATGACGCCCAATCTCGATCAACCTCATCCTCTATTGAATTTCAGACAATTTAACGGGAAACGGAAAAGCCAAATTTACTTTCGCTCCTCCCCTCATGTTATGTTGTTCGTGTGACCCGACGATTTCAACTTATGCATGCACACTGAAAAATAAAAATCTTAAATTTGCCGCCAAGACACTTTTGTATCTTGATTCAAGCTGATTTTTATTCTAGGAACAAGGATAAAAAAAGCTTAGGTTAAGCACAAAAGTAGCTTAAATTAAGCAGAAACATTCTTGGTTCAAGAAAAAATATTTCTTGGCGGCAAATTTAAGCTCCTGTTTTTTAGTGCACGCTAGGAGAGAGGAGAAGCGTTGTGCCGCTCAAATCGATGATAAAACTTAGAGTTGTCTCATTCCCAAATAGCACAATGCAACGGATATACTGAAATTATTTTGCAATTTAATGCAATAAAATTGCAATATTGTCACGTAGTTTGGCCAGTAAATGCCAATTTTAAAAGATCAATGAAATAAATGATCAGATACCAACAGGGTCGGATTTACCTACATGCCGCCCATGGACCGCCTGTATTTTGCCGCCCCTTCTCATTCGTTTTGAAACATCGATACAAACCATCAAGTGAACGTGCCGGAGGAGGAGGGGTGCATAAGACGTGTTTACTCGTGTTGAGCACATTTTTTGTGAAAACCCTGTAACACTAGCAAAAGTTCACGGAACTTTGCGCGAAAATTAAGTTCCGTAAACCTATCTCTGTGTCGACGAGGCATTTAATTTATAGGAAAAGAACGAAAAAATTATGAAACAATAAATTTGAATGTGGTTTAAAGATTTTAATTTCCGCCACCGCGTCTACCGCACTGTGTTTGGTGCAATGCGTGAAGTATTCATGCAGTCTTGTAGGCGCTATGCGTTTCCCGCCGACCGCTGCTGACCGCGCTACGTTTGGCACAATGTGTGAAGTATTCATGGAGTCTTGTAGGCGCTCATACGTGTATCATGCTGACCGGCGCGCCGAGGGCTTCTCCTTTCCATCTCAAGTCCTCGTCATCATTGCTCTTTGCGCCCCCCCCCCCCCCCCCCCCCCCCNTCCAGGCCAAATTGCGTGCTTGGTTTCTCTCTCAACTAGACTAATGAAAGGATCTGTCTCCTGTATCACCGAAAGACGAACAAATTAGAAATTACTATACTTTAACTCTCAGGAAATGAGAGGTTTTGCGCCTTTTCTCGTTTGTGATGTTTTTTCTGAATCAGATTTTTTTCTTGATACCTACATTTGAAAAAATTACAACATTTGCCGCCCCCTAAATTCACCGCCATGGGCCGCGGCCCATGTGGCCACCCCCTAAATCCGTCCCTGGATACCTAAATCATCTCCATATGTGAGAAAGGTCGGCGATCTGCGATGCAAAAAAATATTGCAAGCGACTTCAATTTCATTGTGATGAAGTTCATAAAGATAAATATATTCATATATAATATTCTTTGAAAATTTCTAAGAAATGATATTTTTTATACTAAAGGACTACATTGTAAGAATGACTAATTTTTTTGACTAGACACTGAAAAAAAAGTAGTTAGCGTTGAGAACTAATTTGGTTGGTTCTCGCCAAGTAGAATCAAAATTAGGCTTCAGAACTAATTTATTGTACTGAAGCACCAATCAATTCGCTTCATACGCTGACTTGACTTTACTAGAGCGCGAACCAGAATTGGAAAACAGCACTAGCTGTAAAATTAGCGCTGTGGTAAGACAAATTTACCTTCGGGTCAAACTAATTCGCCCTCAACACTAACTGCCACATTGTCCGTTACATTTATTTAGTTTCGAAAAAGTGGCGTCGGTACAACAGCCTCAATCGCGTCAGCTCGTGAAAATAAATTAAAATGTGAAATTTCGGGCTCGTTTGACAATGTAAATACTCCCGGTATGATTTATAGTGTCCTCTCTTTCTTGAAAACGTTCGAAAGCAACATAAATAAACCTGTTAAGGTTAGAAATCGTCTGTTCAATTCAAAACGTAAACAAGCATGATATTCGTTGGAGTCGTCAATCTTCTATATTAAATTGCGATTAAAGCGTTCCGCGTTCAGTTTATATTTTTACGAAAATCTGTGAACTTACTGCTTACTTCTATAGTTCGTGTTCTCCCGTAATTTCAAAAGAATATCTCAAGTGTTCGGACGCCGACATCGGTTGGTCCAGTGGTTAGCGCAACTGATCACAGACCTAGATGTCCCGGGTTCGAATCCCGGCCTCGGTGGCAAGATTTGATGGTCTCAGATCTTGTCACCGTGGAGTGGCATGGATGTTTCTCTTCGTTTCTTCCTTNAGTTTTGAGGTTAGGTTGACCCAACCCTACCGAATGCGAATTAGAGTAGCGGAATTAGTTTCCAGCACTAATAGTGGTTAGTGTACAGAAACCAAAAATCATGTGTGTCCAAATCACACAATTTGAGTTAGTGTATAGAAACCATTTTTAGTCATCTGACGCTAACTCATTTTTTTCAGTGGAACAGACAATATAGATTAAGATTGCATTGTAAAGCGATGGTCAGGTTTCCTGAAAGATGGAAAAACGTTAGGGCTCCTCGTAAGGGAGCGGAAAAAATATAATAATTTTTTTGGGGGTTATCATAAAAAATTGAGAGAGAGAGCAGAAAAGGCGACAAAATGCCCAAAAATTAAGGGAGGGTGTTGTAAAAGGACTTAAAAATAATTTATGTGGCACCGTCGCATCGTCGCATCTACGCTTCGACTGGATTGCAAGCGTCATTTCCTCTTAAGCGTCAGCAAAATTCCTCTAACTGCGAAGCAGCTCAAAGCGTGTAGGCTTTACTTTTAGTTCTGTATACGCGGCCTCGCTCGAACGCTATGTTTATTCAATAAAAACCTCGTCTCTTGCCCCTTTAATCAGCGAATAGACGCCATACTCAGGACTCCGGCATAATGGCGATAATTTTAACATGTAATTGCGATTATTTGCAATCTGTGCTATTTGGTTTTGGAGGCGTTTCACAATTGTCCCATGTCTCATTTTAATATTATGAGGGACTGCCAGTGTAAATCGTGTGTAATCGTAGTGTAAATATTGTAAAGCTATCAATAAAATAATTTCCATGTGTGAAAAAGGTAGACGATCTGCGATGCAAAAAATAATGCAACCTGTTTCAATTTTATTTCAACAAGAAGAGCTCCTTCAATCAGTGAATAGTCAACATACACAACATTCCGGCACGATGGCATATTTTTACCATGGTATTGCAATTAATTGCAACCAAATTAGATTCGGTCCTGCGGACTCGTGGAGGTTTTCCGACCAGAAAGTCGAACTTCTCGGGAGATTTCCAAGCGAACTCGTTTGGTATCAGCCCGATTGCAGAACTTCTGGTTTTGACCCCAAAATTTTGGTCCATTTTTCTGTTGATTATTCTCAATTTTGGCCGGGGAAAAAAGTTTCGAGATTAGTGTCAAATCCTACGTTATTGGAGGCGCAGAATTGATTGCACCTGGTCTGGAAGCTCCTCGTGGCTTTCCAAGCCGAGAAGCGATTGCTTTTGACCGTCTTCGAAGATTCACCCACTTATCAAACAGTTGTGAGCTCCAATAAACTCTTGGAGCATTTTAAACCGATAAATCGAACTCAGCTGCTCATTTCTAATGGGATTAGCTCCATTTCATCCCGATCGAAGAACTTTCGATTTTGACCCCGAAAATTAGCTTTTTCGTCCAAATCAGTCCCAAACTTCCGAACAAAACTTTATGATGAAAAGATACTCCCTGGAAAGTTTTCGTTTAAGTTCAAAGCTCATTCTGGCAATGCAACATTGCATAATTTTTATTTTTTACTCCTAAAAATGCTAATGTTTTGATATCGTTCTATTTATTTATTTTAATTTTCTGGGGTCATATTTCATCGGTTTATATTATGTTTGGAGATTAAGACTGTGGCTGACATTGTGACCTAGCTATCATATTCGTGATAGAGCGTTACAAAATTTACGCGCAAGGAGTTCCAAACCAGTCGTGCCAGGCTTGGCTGCCGCGGCGGAAAAATGCGTTTGAAGATCCAAAAGTTACCAAATTTATTCGGATAAAACATTATTTTTTGGAAAATTAGGAATACACTTTCTTGGAATTTGCAGAATTACAAAGCAGAATGCATTGGGCAGAAGACTCCTGAAAATTTAAAAATATGAGCTCACACGTTTCCCAGGAAATTCGTAACTGATCGGAGGAAATTTGGCAACGCTCAAGAGTTCATGCGGCCTTTTTCCTTAACGCTCCAATATTGATATCCAGCGCAGGACAATGATATTGGTAATGACTCCTTGATACGACTACATAGAGTGCATAAATCGTGATGTAAGTGGGGGAGCTGGCGCCACTTTTAGGCATTTTCCAGGTCTCGAATTCCGAGACTCCTGTGTGACGCCGAGTCACTTTTTCGATACATAATCGATTGTCTTCGGGGGACCCGGCCGTCCGATGTAAACATATAAGATAGGAATTACTACGTATTCCACACTGCCATTTTGGATCGAACATGTATCGAAAAAGTGACCCAAGCTCGACGCACACCGGGCTCGGGACTCGTCGATCAGAACATGGCGGAACATGGCTCTCCCATTTAGATTACGACTCTAGGTACTCTACGTAAAACTATTCGTGCTTTATGGACATCCATATTGCATACACTAAAAGTTGAAGGCGCTCCGGCAAGTGGCAAGGTAAAACCATACCTTGATATGTAAAATAGTGCAAAAACATTTCCTGTATTAAGCCTTAGTTTCAATGCGAGAATTTAATCTTAGCAATATGGCGCTTCATACACTGCTGAGTGCATTGCTCTATAAATAGGATTGCCACAAAATGTAGAAAATAAAATTCCCTGACATTTCCCTGATTTCCCTGATGATTGAAGGTATGCCAGACGGTAAAAAAACATAATTAGAAATGGTTTTCGGGCTAAATTTGTCGTTTGAAATGTCAAACCCATTCTAAAAAGCAAATAAAGGTGACTTGATAATTTTCCCCTGATATTTTCGTCATTTTCCCTGACATTTCACGGTTTTCCCTGACTTTTTAAAATTTCCTGACATTTCCCGGTATTCCCTGACTGTGGCAACCCTGTAAAAAGGAGTGACTAGAGTGCCTTCCATTTCGTCATTTGCAAGACGCGTGTCTATAAGGTACCAATAGTTACACCAAAGCATATTATCAACATAATTGCGAATGTTTACTAAAATGTTACTTTGCACAAAAATAGACCTAAACAACCTGACTCCTTTAAGTTGTATGAAGACTTTGATAACTTAAAATAAGAAAAAAATAATAACAGATCTATTTTTATCCTATGGTTTTTGAATGTATTTAAGCGATTATTGTAATTTATGTTCTAGGACTCATGCAATGAGAGGCATGTTTCGTATGTGATTTGCAGACTTGTTATTTTGGCTCTCACTTCTTCCAATATTGTTTAAGGAGTGAATAAATTCAATTGAAATTCATATGAATGAATTAGAACGATTAATTCATTTTACGTTTGAGGGAGTACAACTTGAATCAAACGATGCATGAATCTGCTACATATCATATGATTTGGGCACCTTGGATTGCTTGAATTTGACAGGAAACTTTGATTTTAAAACTGGAGGCTGATTGAGGGTCGCATTCTTGACGGCAAATTTTGCTCCTGAGTAATAACAAGCGAAAGGAAATGAGACTATGTTCATCATTGAAAAAACTTTGAAATGCATTTATTAGAATGTACAAAAAACCTAATTTTTAATCCTAATTACAAATGTGCGAGGTTCATTTCCTACTTTATCAATTTGATTAAATAAAATAAAATTAAACTAAATTATGATAACATTAAATGATGAAATACTCTTGAAGAGTGAATAAACAAAGCTAAGTATTTATAGAGATTTTTTCTCTGTTTCCGAGGAGAAATACAGCCATATACTTAAAATCTAACGAAAAAATTGCTCAGAGGGTGAGATTGGATTTAAAAAAAAAAAAAACCTGAATAACAGAAAAAGAAAACAGAAGGAAGAAAAAACGGGACAACACACAAATATTATACAGTGCTGAACAATTGGTGATTGAAAAACGAAAATTTTAAAAATTTGAATACTATATTTGAAAGAGAAAGCCAGGTGTCATGTCCATGTTCCTATCTTTTCTAGTGTTACCAGTCAGTTTGAGAATTTAAATTACAAGGGCAGGATGTCAACCCCCCCCCCCCCCCCCCCNTCCCTCATCATCTTTTCAAAGTTTATCTAAAAAAGTAGATCAACCCGGAAAAAATCTTTTCAAACTTTCAAAAAGATAATTTCCCAAGAAAACTCAAGTCTCATCGCTTTTGAAAGAATTTTTTCTATCGATGAGATTACAAAAATGTATCAACGTTAACTATGCCTAAAATGAATCTTAATAAAAGAAACAAAAACTAATACGTAGATAAGGAACAGTCTTTTAACCTGAATATCATGAAAAACTAGACGGTGATGTAGAAATAATTTCACAAGACAACTTCAGTCGCAATCCTAAAGGCAATCAAACATTTAATGATGCAAGTTGATTTTTTACTTGCTCCGGTGTAAGATAATTGACTGCATAGAATAAGTGCATTAAAGCATTCATTAAGTGAGTAAATGTAAAAAAAAAAATTCAAAGAAATCAAGCAATAAGTTTATGACTTTGTGACATAACTGTAAAAACATAACAACAAAGTGCGCCAATTGCATCACGTATCATTTGGACTTGCACTAAAAAACTAAAAAATTCCTCTGAAATAAAATTTACAAACATACTTGGAGATACATGATCTTATGAGACGAAAAACAAATAATTTATGAGTGTACCAAATGAATAAAATTATTTTTTGTTCAGAGACCTGATCAAGATCAGGAATTGATTAGTGCACTTCTTTCCATTCATCCATTTTCCCACTTATATAAAGCAAAAAGAATTGAAATTATAATTCTAGAATGAATAGTTAGTTAAAAAGTTACATATTCGTTTTTAAAGTAGCATTTTGCACGAATAAATAGTTATTTATCCAAGTTTTTACTGAACTCTGAATTAGCGGTAGCGCCTCAAGTTGATGATGCAATGAAAAAAACATGAAAATCTCTGTAGAAAAAAAAAACTTGGAGGAGAATAGGTTTTGAAACAGAGACAGGCAAAGAGAACAATGAATTGATATTAAATTATCACATTCAAGCATTGTTAACTTGAGGCTAACCTTAAATGAAACATTATAGTTTCATAACATACATTAGCTTACGCCCCTGTCACAGCATGAAATTTTGATTGCATTAGAGCCACAGATTTTGTTTCTTGAATTGGCAAGCATAGAATAATATATGTACCATTCATTTTACAAAACCAAGTTATCTTTAGAGTTTAGGATGACAGTGAACGGTCACTAAAAATATTTCGGAGATTAGGAGAGAAATGAAATTTCAACACAAAATTTGACTAGCATATTAGAATTTTTAATTTAACAAGGATCATTTCTGCTGATTCCACACAAAACCGTAAAATTGAAACTAAGCAGTTCAGCAATCTGCTAAATCTAATCAGTGTGACAAAAATGTCTTATTAGACAAATTAACCCATTGTTAAACTGCAATGCTAGGCAAAAACCACAGTCTTCTGCTTGAAAGTTTTTCTCAGACGTATTACCCTAGAAAACAGCAAATTTTGCAACTACATAAATTTTTTTTTTTTTTTTTTTAAATGAATACTATAGGGTATGAAGTACCGATCCTAAAAGAATAAAACATTTTTTGCATACATTTTCTTTAAATAGAGGGTTTAAGTAAAAAAAATATAAAATCTGGAGTAGAGTTTTGTGGTTTTTGTCCTGCACAACAGTTACAATTCTGCACACGCCTCAAAGAAACAAGACATTTTCACTACTACAGCAATAAAATGTAGATATTTTTTTGCCCCAGAGGAAGCATCTGGGTCATTTAAAAATAAATTAATTGAATATTTAGGTTTTGACTGTGCTTTAAAGGGCTCATGTTTTTCATTTTTCTAGAGATTTATTTTTGACTGCGGTGTGAGAACAGACAGATGTGGAAAAACCATTAGTTCAATAGCAAAATGAAAACCTTCCTCACTAAAATTTTCAAAAAATCTTTCAAATACCTGGCAATGAATGTGGATCTCTAAAGAACGTCTCATAGAAATGAGAAAAGAAATCCTCCGCCAAAATATTTTTGCTTGCATGAGAAAAGTAATCAACTTGGACTGCATTTGTCCGTACAAAATAATACTAGTGTACATGATAAGTAGAATATTTAACAATTACAAAACTTGTCCTACCGGAACGAGAGAAATTCAGTTTTCACAGTTCATCGTCGAAAAGCTCTTCTTCACCATCTGGCGGGAAATCTCCAACCTCAATGAAGATCGGTTTGACGAAACCACCATATTTTGGAGGACATTCAAAATACCTAACGCCACCACAGCTAAAAAAAAAGAAGAAAGAACTACTAGGAAAGATGGATATAAATAGAAGAAGGATACAAATGGAAGGTAAGAGTAATAATAATTGTTTTGAGGTTAATATGGTAAACTTAAGTGTGTCCTATCAGATTCTGTTGATATCAAGACCGTTCCATTGAAAATTAGTGACAATAAGAGGACCCTTGTCAATAGCTATCAAAGTTTTCAGATCTGACGAAAATAAACTATTGCCGCACATCTCAGTTTTACAGGCAAAACAACATGATAGGCAAGACATACCAGCCAAAAATGATTTAACTTGGAGCTTAGGTAGCCCAACAAAAGCAGCTTTTTCAAATTGTATCAATAGTTCGAAACAAGCACTAACCAATAGACAGGATGTGTTAAAACACCTCTGGGTAAACTAAAGGATATCATTAACCACTACACTGCACAACCTCTAATGAGCCCTCTATGACCTTGCAGAGTTGTTTCATAGCAAACGAGGACCTGGATCATAATTAATATATTTGAGGACAGCAGGCACACTCGAGTATTGCTAACAGTAGAAAGCCAATAAGTCTTAAAGATTGGCTACGTAAATGTCTAGAAACGATACAGATAAAAAAAGAAAATTTGGAAAAGAGGAGTCGCAAAATTATGGTAATGATGATTTAAGAGTATGAAAATTAAATAATTTTACATTCATTGTTTCTTTTACCAATCATTTGTTCGAGTTTAGTTAAGGTCTGTGATGTTTAGAAATTGTGCGAGTTCTACCTTTAATTTTAATGAGAGTGCTTTCAAGTCTAAATAAGATATTAAACCCTACCATACATTAAAAAAGTTCATAAGGACTTATCTTTACTGGTCTGCCATTCCTACTTGAAGCTTTCTCATCTTCCAAGCAACTTTGTTTTTCCTAGTAATGTTGTCTTTGGCATCAGCGAATATCCCCAAAAGGGTGTATTAGAAACACGGTGCCATTAAATCCAAAATAAATTAGCTAGCTCACACCAAGTTTCCAGCAATAGAACCGAAGGGTTATTCAACTACCATGTGATAACAAGATTCACCATTATGATTGAAAAATGTTCAGCGTGTACTTACGTTCCATCGTTCAATCCCAGTGGCTCATCATACTGAACGCCTATCCAATTGCCAGACTTTGAAGCTAATGTACCTATTGTAAAAAAAGAATTAAAAATCAGACGATATAAAAACAATCAAAAACAACCTGATTGTTGAAACTTTACCTGACTTTCTCCGCAAAAAAAAGCAAGACATACCATTTTCTATACTGTACAATAAATTGATATTCTATGTTTTGTCAAGCTGACATAAATTTCAACAATCAAGCTGCTAGAAAAATTATGAGTTAAAGGCACTCCACAATGAAAGAATCTTTGATTGGAGTACATAGGGTGTTCAAAAAGTTTTGCACACTTCCGGATTTTGAGCGAATGAAAGCAGCTATCGATTTTCAGCATTTTCGAACAGCGGTTTTGATCTAGGCTATGGAATCAAACTGTGTGCCTCTCAAAAATTTCTTTAACTCAGAAAAGAGCCATTCCAAAGCCTCGATCAAAACCGCTGTTCAAAAATGCTTCAAAACCCTCCGTCAAGAAGACTTCGAAAAGACAATCTTTGTGAATTGGACAGAGCGACTGAAGCTTTGTGTTCAAAGTGGTGGAGAATACTTCGAAAAACAGCCGAATGTTGAGTCATCCGTGTCATTTGATGAAGAAACTTGAAGTTCGTCAATTTCGGTAAGATTTTGTAACTTTTTCCAATAAAAACACTCAATTCTCAATTAACTTTTTTCCCTTGATAAACATATTTGTAGCTAAAAATCCTGGAGGCGGTCACGCTACATGTCATTTTCAAAACCCTGAATCTCTGTCATTTTTTAAGCTAGAGAGTTGTTCTTGGTCTTGTTTTATTGGTAATTACGTCTACTTTAAGCACACATAAACCGCAAATTGATAGCTGCTTTCGTTCGTTCAAAATCCGGAGGTGTGCAAAACTTTTTGAACACCCTATGTATTCGACATTTCAGTGCTATTGATGACGACAAAGTGGGGGGAGGCGGAGGGCTTCAACAACCAGGCGCCAGCACGCATAATAATCTACTTGTAGTGAGAAAGGGGTAACAAAAAGACTATATCGATGGCCAAAAGGCAAAATCACAGATCTCTGTTTGCAGAAATGGAGACTTCCTGCCATACTTTATTTTTCCTTTGGAAAACTAGATAACTTCCTTCATTCGTCCTATCTCCGTTAACGGAATATTCGGTATATATTTCAAGCTATAAATTTAGCTTGTTTTTCTTCAAAAAAATAAAATAGGATCAGAAATTTTAAAGCAACACAATAGAGGTATGTGGTTTTGTATTTTGGACATCCATATAAAGAACAAGAAAAATCCTGCAACTTTTTCTCGTGGCTAAACAATATTTTTAAAAGGTCAATATTTTTTTGGATGATAAGTTTCATCTAAGAAAAATTACTGATAAACAATCCGTGACCTCGGGAAAACTATCTGGTCTGAGATTCTAAACAAGATGCCTTTGTAATCCTCATTTTGAGCTTCTCACAATTGAATTTATTTAATACAATAAAGAAAGGGTAGCCATACCTATGAATTTGATGGTGCCCTTTCGCTTGGCTTTGCCAGGTGCTTTCACCATGCACCGCATTCCTATCTTCATCTGCTCCATCCTTTCTTTTTCCTCTTTCTCGAATTGTTTCATTTCCTCATTCGTCCTTTGAATTTCTTCAGGATTGTATTTCCCTAATTTGTTGGCTTTTAAAAATGACTGGACAGTATCTGCAATCAAAAAAAAATCTGATTAGAACCGGTACCTTTTACCTGAAAAGTAATCAACTTGACTGAAAAATAGTGTAGGTAATTCATCGATGAATTGTTAGGAGGCCAATTTTCCGACAAGAATTCCACAAACTGCTTATGAAACATCTGGAGGTTTACAGTAAAAGTGCCTGAGTTGTGCAGTTGAACCAACAACTTGTTAATCTATGAAATTTGAGTTAGAAAATTTGAGTTGAAAAAAAAAAGCCATGTGTAACGTATTGAGAAATTGATTACATTGTGCCCTTCTTTTATTTGAAATGATTGTTGCTGACCTCTAATATTGTAAGTTCTTTGGAGAAGGCTTTTCAAGATAACTTTTCCTCGGTTCTGGGCATGGTCCACTTGGCTTGCAATGCATTGCATCGATGAAGTCAAAAATCTTGGCAAATTTTGACTTTTTAATCAAAAGAAGGTGGATAACCCCTGTGTAGAGTCTGATGAATCATTTTCGACCAATAAAATTGCAAAATTTAGAAAAATGGAGGCAGGATTTATCTACAAAATCTTTTTTCAATTTGATACGGTGAGAAATCCATCTCTGTATTTTTTAGTAACTTTCTAAAGATTCATTCGCTGATAAGAAAATTCCCAACTTTTTTCAAAAGAAAAACTAGAGTTTTTTTACAAATAAAAAAAATATCCCACTCATTACAGCAATCTAATTCTGTATTCAATGCAAAACAATTATCAAGCACTAACTGTGTTTTCAATCCTCTGAATTTTGCATTTTTTCTGTTGCGATTGATTTTTAAGACTTGTTAACAGGAGCTGTTGTCGTTTTTTTTTTTTACTGAAATGTCAAAATATGCCAAGACTCAGGACCTAATTGATACAATATTTCACACACCAGTTCGACTGCTCCAAGAATCAGAGACTAATCATCTTTCCTTTAAAATGTGTATAAAGCTTAATGTAACTGGTTGAAGTAAATATTAATACACGGTAATGCAAATAGACCATTATTGCCACAGGGGTCGCCTGGGTGCATTGGAATCCTTGGATGGTTTTTTCAGGTTTTTTTCTTTTTGTTAAATGTAATTACTTTGTTCCTTTAGTTTTTGTGAAAAACAAAATCAAACTGTTTTTAAAAACCTCTACAAAGTACGTCAAATACTTACAAGGCTTGGAGGCATATTCTTCCTCTGTAAGCTCAAACTTTTCAATTTTTTTCAATTCTGCTTCTAGTTCTTGACAAGTGAGCATATGAAGGTCTTCTACAAGAAGCAAAGTTCCTTTTTCAAATGAAAATTCACTCAAGGGCTTGTCATCAGGAGTCAAATCAAATTTAAACGCATTCCTGGAGTCAAACACTTTCACTTTCATAGTTGCAGCATTCGCACCGGTCAATGGTTCAAGTTTCCTCTGAAATAATGAAAAAATTAAGTTGACAGCCTAATTAGTACATTAAATAAAGATGTATGAATTTTCCCTTTACTTTTACCCTGCTTTTGATAACTGTGCAAGTTCAGACCTTTATCTTTCACAGTTAACTGTTCTCATTATTTCAGAACTACAAGATTCTTTCTTAAATTCTCTCTCTAAGGCTGATCTTCATTCAGGCATGTATGAGCACAAAAAAAATTATCATCTGATTTTTCTAACGACAAATCAAGATTTTCCAGAGTAGCTGCTAAAATGTAGTATGACGCAGGCAAACTTTTAAAATCAAAGGCATTTCTACAGAGTCAAGAAAATAATCATTCTTCTTCATTAAATTATTTGTGTCGTACTTAAGAATTTAATACTATTAACGGTTATTATTGACCAGCCCTCATATTTCTAGTGCTTGTTGGTTCGAAGTGTCCTCATCAATGAAAAATGCTAAAACTAAACTGAAATGAGCGTGTTGGTGGTTGGTAGAATCAAAAGATTTTTACGAACCATGTCAGACCAAGGATATGTAAGACGCCCTTTGAATGGTGATCAAAAATCAATAAGAACTCCACAAAAACTCGCAACAAGAAAAAAACAGCATAGAAATCACTTGATCTAATCAACCAACTGGTGGCTGCGCCGGATTTTGTCATCGCATTGCACTGCTCTCATCATGGTGAAGCAATCGATATTTTAAAGAGGAGTGAGGTAGAGAAAAGCAAGACTTGGTGGGACAACTGAATATGGCAAATACTGAGTGGCATTGCCCCTAAATCCATCTTTGAATCATTAGTGCCTCTCCATTTCAGCTGACACCCAGTTGAAAGAATCATGTTTCATTTAAAAAACCAAGATTTCAAGAATAAGCCTGATGGACCAAAAGGCCGAAATCCATCCTGGATGTAAAATGGTAGGTGAAATTACAGGAGGATTGTACCCAGAATGAAACCTCTGAGCTTCGATGGAGATTCGCTAGAGGTCTTAACCTCTAACAGCCGTGACTTTGAACCTCAATTGATGAGAAAGGTTGACAGAGAAAAGAGGAAATTTTAGTGATTATGAATGAGCGATGAAGAATTTCTTGCTTACCTTTAATTCGCCGACGAGTAAATTCGTTGAAAAAGACTTTTCTAATGGGCAGGCACTGTTAGAACCAGCAACTGATATGTGCACATGTATCAAATCCGACCCACCTAGGCCTAATTTCTCCATACTTAAAAACCAAATAAGTAAATCGAGGCCAAAATCTAGGAAAATTATCCGACGTTACGTGGAAAAATGCTGAAAAACTGGTAAAACAAGCAGAAAATTAGAGAAGATCGTCGCGGCACGTCGCTATTTCGCAAATCAGCTCAATATTTGTTTACTAACATGGTTCTTCTTATTACATGCTACACTAGCGGACTCTATGAACAACTTGTGTAACGAATCATAGTTCATGCTCTGGTTGAGAGAGAGCGCTGTACTGCTTTGCATACACACTTGCATTTGCCATTTTTGAAGGCGTAATTTATTCTCCGGCTGGAGATGTTGAGGAATGCATTGCATGTTTACCCGATTTCAATTAACTTGGATTTAAATGAACACCGAGAGTATGTCTAATGTATATTCCATGGATTTTAGTAGATTTTTTTCTATTTTAACAGTTATTTTTTATTATTAGAGAGGAACGCGCTAGATTCTTGTTACGACCCTCTTACCAAAAATATATACCATATTTTGAGATTAAGTTGCGATATTTTTACGATTTTTTGGCGATAAAATCACTAGGGTCATTAAAATCTGAGCGATTATCCTCGATCTTGTTGCAATTTTATCTCTATAAAATCGTTTTTTCGTTCGATAATATTGCAATGAATCGCCGTCCACAGAATCGCGATTTTATTGCAAATTAATGCGATGATATCACACTTTTTTATCCGATAATATTGCAATAAAGCCATGACAATGAAATCGTGATACATTCTCCGATCAAATCGCAACTTATCACTGATATTTGGGTTATTGGTATCTGACGTACTGTCATAGAATAATTTGACTAAAATATTTTTAGCCCGGACTACAAATAAAAAATCCTATTGTTCCCAAGGACCGCAACCATTATCGCTCGTATTCATATTCATACTCGTTTATTTCTTAGTCGATCCGCAGCACAATGGGCCGAACTTCTGCGGAAAACGGAGTAGAAATTTTGGACTACAATTGCAAATCTGATGTTAATTTCATCCCATTATACATTTTAAGGGATGTTTCTTCAGGAAAATTTTATTAAAAAACTAATGGAACTAATTTTAAACATCCTCGATTAGATTTAACGAAGACATCAGCTTTTGAAGTTTCCACATAATGTCCAGCCGTTCTGAGCCGATCCGTAACACAATGGGTCGAGACTTTCACAGAAAACGGAGAAGAAATTTTTTTCTAAAATTGCAAATTTGATGTTTATTTCGTCCCAATATACATTTTAAGGGATGCTTCTTGAAGGAAATTTGACTAAAAAACCGATGGGCTAATTTTAAACATCCTCCTTTAGATTTAACGAAAATATCAGCTTTTGAAGTTTCCGCATCATGTCCAGCCTTTTCCATCCACTCGATCCATCGTGCGCCGCACAGTGGATTGAGTAAATTAGAGAGATCGGACATGAAATTTTTAACTAAAACTGCAAATTATGATGTTTAATTCGTCACATTTTAAAGAATAAGGGGTGCTTCTGGAATAAATTTCACAAGGAAACTCGTGGAATCATTTTTAAAACCTCAATATTTTGTATAAACATAGAGTTATAAGCCTTTATAGTTTCCAAATTTCGTCCGACCTCTCCCATTTCCTCGTCCTCGATCCAACGTGCGCCGACGTGTAATCGTTGATTTGAATGACACACCTCCTTTTTTTTGTGTTTACAAAGTAGAGACGATGTTTTCTGCTGCCGAAGATAGCTTAAAGGCATGAGATTATTTATTCAAGTGCTTGGACAGTGACGCGGTCCACGAGGGGAGTCGCAGCCGGCGAGAAACAAGTCTGATTGCCAAGAAATCCTCGCCATATGACTCTACGGGTCAGCCGCAGACGAGGTGGAATTAAGGTGGAATGGCTCAGGAAGGAGTGTGTACACCGTCGGAGATGAACACAAAATGCCACCATATAAATATATAAAAAGCTAAAATTAAACTGCAAAACACATGCTTTGAGTACGTGCCCTGGAAGACTTTAACGCCAGGGTAGAAAAAATAGCCAATTTTGTCTCAGTCTGTCACCCGAGATGCAAAATGAGATTTCGCAGAATGAAATTTCACTTCGCTGAAGAAAGAAAATTAATTTTCGATGTAATAGCAACGAGTTTTCGAGGGCTGGGTATGAAGTATGCACCCCGCAATGATTATTCAAGTCCACCACGGTGTAATAATTATTCGAAATTCGACTCATGATGCTTTACTCCCAGAGGAGGGGTATCGGCAAGAGGGCCGTTTTTAAGCTCACCTTCGATGAAATTCCTTAACTCCGATTTTTTGCTCATTTAAGGTCTATATTTTGGATAAAGCATCATGATTTGGTCAATTTTGGTTTCTTTTCAGGTCTGCTCCTGGCTTAAACATGGGTCTGAGGACCGACTATGGCGAAAAATGCGGATTTTCCAGGTGTGCGGTTGAATGACGAAAAATCCGCATTTATCGGTTAAATTGGCCTTATGTATCGACCCATGTTTAAGCCAGAGGTAGACCTGCAAAGAAACCGAAAATTACCAAATCATGATGCATAAGGACTTTCGATGAGCAAAAAATCCTAATTGAGGAAATTCAACCTGCAGGATGGACCCTAAAATAGCCCGTATTGATACCCCTCCTTTTCAAAATTAAAAAAGTTAAGATTTTAACTGCGTTTCATGGCATACTGAGTCCATTGCAGAAGTTTTAAACAATTTCACGGAGTTTCATTTCAAAAATTTTCACGAAATTTTGCCTCTCTGACCAATGTTGTGTTTTCAGCATCGCATAGACACTGAAAAATGAGAAGTTATAGGCGATGTTTTGGAAGCTTAAAATGCAATAAAACAAAAGCCAAAGCACTCCTTTTGATGCATTGTATTTTTAGGTCAACAAAAACCTATTGAAAAACAAGAGAAGTGGCAGTGCTCCCATTTCCCGGAGATTTTCCTGAATTTTCCCGGATCTTTTGAAATTCCCGAAATGTTCCGGACCTCCAGGATTTTCCGGAAATTTCTCGGAACTTTTTTTTTTCTTTTGAGAAAATCTACAAAGAATCTCAGAACTTTTGACGGACATAGAATGGAAGCCCTGAAAAGTAGAAGAGAGAGGAAAAGTTCATTAAAATCCTTCACCAATGGGAGGACTTAATCTGACGTCATTGACCCGACTAGCCCATCATGTGATTAGATTATTCAGAGCAGCCCTGGTCGAATCTTCGAGTACTTTTTTTAGTCATTGCTCGTATCACGTTTTGGGTGGTGTGATCATCGATCACGGAGCTCAATTAACTGGCTCTATCACCGATTCTAACCGGACTAGTGAGGGNGGGGGGGGGGGGGGGGGGGTGAGGCAAGGGAAGATTCAGCTCCGGAGGAATGGAGAAAAAACGCGACAACACGAGAAAATATTAATGTATTTACTTAAATAGCCTGCGACTGGACGAGCCTCCAGCGCCTCTGGCAGGATTCTGAACCAGAGCCAAAACAATACGCATGACCACGGCCACTGTTGCCCGTTCCATCGAGGCGACAATCTCCTCACACGTTTTTCCTCACATAGACTATAAATTGGATTGCATTTTGCAAAAAGGAACCACTAGCATTGCAATGTTGCTAAGATTGTGCAACTTCTTTTGTTTTGGAGGAAAAACCCGATTATCCATTAATAGTTTCTATTTTACTCGCTAAAAACTGTACATTTAAGACAAAAATTACCATCTAAATTTGATAGTTTTTCACGATTTCCGCAATGTCATTGCAGAAGATGAAGTTACACAATCTTAGCATCACTGCAATGCTAGTGGTTCCTTTTTGCAAAATGCAATCCAATTAGCAAATACAGCGAGTTACGAGGAGATTTTTTGAAAAATGCTCAGAAAAACCGTTCAAATGGTAGATGCAAGCTCTTCGACTCGCTAAACGCACTGAAAAAAAACTATCGGCGTTTTTACCAAGGTCCGTTGGTACCTTTACCATCTCACTTGTTTTACCAATTATTGGTAATTTTACCAAGATAGACTGGTAAGTTTACCTAAAAACCGGTATTTTTACTGTTTTTTTTTTCAGGTAAGAATACCACTTTTATTGATAATCAATTCCCGGTAACTTTGCCATTTTATCTCGGTAATTCTACCATAGTCGATAAAAAATATTGGCGTTTTTACCAAGGTCCAGTAAAATTACCGAGAAAGTTCGATAATTTTACCGAGATTTCTCGGTAAAATTACCAATTCCATAAACGGTAATTTTACCAAGAAAAAAATGGGATCAAATAGAACCCTGAATTCTTGGTAATTTTACCCTTTTCTTAGTAAATACACCGATATTTTTTTTCAGTGCGTTCGTGTTTTGTAATAGTTGACATTGTCTGGAGAACTATCGCACCGACTTCCATGGTGTTTCAATGATCGTGGTAATAATCTCTAGACCATCCTACTATCCGATTAGCACATTGCGGCGAAAATTCTGAAATAATTTTACATTTTTACCCAGTGAATTGCAATTTTTTACCATGAAATTGCAAAATTCTTACATCATTTGGTCAATAAATGCCGATTTTAAACGAAATGTACATTGTACTTAATGTACTTAAAATGTATTCTATAAAAGAAAAAAGGTAGGCAATTTTTAATGCAAAAAATTTCAACTTATTTCAATTACATTGCATTGAAATTCAGTATGAGGAGCCCCTTCAATCAGTGAATAGACAACACGCACGACACTCCGGTAACAAACACTCCTGAACTACAGTTAAATGTGACTCAAAGGGGACCCATTGGGCACTTTTGCCAGGACCATTTAAAACCTCTCCTCTTTCTTTTTGAAAGAAGAGCGAGCATTATGCAATAAAAAAATTTGAGAAGACCCTGGGACATTTCCTGTGCTGTTCTGCCAGCCTAATGTTACAAAATTGTCTGGCATTGGGTGGTGCCGATTTGGTTCTTGCTACGAAAATTTCGAATAGAGGGCTAAGAAGCGAATGCGGCAATTATTTGCTGAAACACCAATCTTTATTTTTTCTCCCGAAGAAGCTTAAGAAAAACAACCGGATGAATAACGGAAATCTGGCAAGAGGGGGATGTTTGTCCTACCCGGTTTGACCAATCAGAGTCACTATGTTCGGGTGTTGTTCTTCGGAGGAAACTTTGCCTCTGATCAGAACCAGTTTCTCTCGGCCGAGAAGGAGGTGTATTAACCGACGACAAATACCTGTGATTTTGTGATTTATTAACGGATATACTGATTGGAAAGAACTAAAAAATATGGTGAGTTGTTCCTTTTCTATACCGATAGGTTTCAGGGGCACTCATTGTGAAGCCAAAAAGTTCAAAATTCCCGCCTAATTGAGAGAGAAGAATCAAATCAGTAAAAGGGCATATATCAGACGTACTTTCAGCTTTAAAACACGCCCAAGTTTTTGAAAATCGGTCGACGGTTGAGCGAGAAAACTCAATTTTTCGGAGCCTGCCCTCTCACCTATTTTTTGCTGCTATCTCCGTGGGTCCGACTCCACCTCCACTGCATCAATGCACAGCGGAGCGTGTACCGAATAATTTTGATGACTTTTCTAGAAATAAAATAAATGATGAATAAAGAGCTGAAGAGCAAGGCGTTTGGTTACGGTTCTAGTATTTTCAACCTAGACTTCCGATAAAGAAGTAAAATATACATTTTGAAAAATAAATTGGTGTATTTTCAATATTTTTCGAAAAATTCGGCGTTCTTGCATCAGAATTGAGGAGCATGCAGGACAAGACGCATACGTGCAGTTTTTTTAAATATTTGAGATATAAATTATTTCAAGTAAAATTAGTCTTAATGCATATTCTGTAAAAGAATTTGCTCCCAAATTCCAATTTTCAAGCATCAAAAAGTCAGTTTGAACTTTCTGTCCGCCACGAAGCATCCATGCAATTTTGAAACTTCAAACGCGTAGTCTTCGAGATGGCAAAAACCGCACTTTTGCGCCTTGTCCTCCAAGCCCCTCAATTTTTCCATTTAAGGCGCATCGTGAGGTGGACATGGACTATTAATGAAAATCTTTGCAAAGAAAAAGTTATTTTCTGGGTGGCTGGTAATAATCAAAAACGTCAAATTAATATACCAAATCGATGCTGAGAATATGAGGAGTAAAATGAATTCAACTTCGGCACTCTTCGTAGTTGAGGCCTTGCAAACCTCTTGATTGATTTTCAAAAACTTGGGCTTGCTTCAAAAATGATAATTGTGTTTAATGTGCTAATTGATTCGACCTATTCATGCCCAGAATACATAACGTTAATTTTTGGGACCCTCGTAAATTGAGCCTTAAATCCAGCAACTCTCCAAATCTGTCTCATTTGAAATCAATCATGAGAATTTTTACGTACTTTTGTAACTTTAACTTTTATTGATTTTTTTTATACTTTTGTATTTTCCTTTATTTTCCAGACGACCTACACGGACAAAGGACCAAAGGTAAGAATATTGTCACTTACGTCGTTTCATAGCACTATAAGTGGTAACCAACTTTAAGCGCAGTAGAGTTATGCCTGCATTTTTGCCGGAGCCTCTTAAAAATCTTAGGATGACCACGAAATATGTCGCTTTGTTTAACCCGCATTCGTAATGTGCGACATGGGTCTATGGTCTATGCTGGCCCGCTGTTTTTCTTTTCTGTCGTGATGATAACTTAATCGGTTACGCTCGAAATTTCCACGAGTCAAAAACCTGTGAGCTCTGTGTGATAGATCGCGTGAATCGTGATGGATAACAAATAGCAAGGTTTTAAAAATTGTGGCACTTGAGCCCTTCTAGAAATAAATGATTCGTTTGCATTTGCTCCTCATCGTAAGCTGAGATATAACCATCCAAGGTACTTTCAGCATTGTCAATCAAAAATTTTAACTTTAAAATTTGTCTTTTTTTAGCCACTGGGCGGAAAATTCAACTGCTTCGATCACGTTACATTCTGGGTTGGAAATGCGAAACAGGTCAGTGCACACTCACACATTAACATATTAATTTATTTTTAGATAAAGATAATGAGAGCTTAAATATCAGAAAACTCATCATAAAATCATATGTGATCACAAAAATTTGCTTAAATAAACCATTTAGACAGAACTGATAATTTACACTGAATTAAAATAAATCATTTTCTTTTCTACTTATAAGTGCTCATAAAAGCGGCAAATACGAGTACATTTGCGTCTACGTTTCGAGAGATCCAATCTCAGATTAATTATTTCAAAAGTAGAATGGCATGATAGTTCCGTATGATCGTACGACTTTTTCACGATAATGAGCGTATAATGAAGGTTTTTTTCGCAAGACTTCTCAAAGTTGGATCGCGGTTTGAAGCGCCTTCTTTTCTATGTGATAATCTACGCTTTGATACGCAATCAGTTCAGGTAACTCTGACCAACACTAAACTATGGACATAGAAAAGAGGTTTTTATTCTAAGAGGTCCTTCGAGAGAGTACGCTTTCGGCTCTGGTGCCTTCAATTCCGCGCGATACTCACGCTTCGCCGAAGAGTTAGTTTAGTTGCCTATTCAACCCGAACTAGAAATCCAAGTTGCACCAACTAAATTGCAAATACCAATTGCATTTAACCAATGTATTCTTTCATTTTTTTTTTTTTTTTTTATTTTCACGTACTTTAATCCAGTGATCTACCGGGCCGATTTTTTTCGTTTGGTGCGGAGATCATTAGATAATAAACCATTAGGCCGACTTAATATAAATTTTGAAAAAACCATATAGGCGCCTTTTGAGGGCGGAAAATGTCCTCTTGGTATTGGACCGCGCAGAGGCGAGGAAGCACACCTATAACCCCTCCCCCACCCCCCTTTAATTAGGCCTACCATACCTTATAATGTATGATTTACCTATGCATTCACGAAAAATCCATCCCTAAACGATGATGGTGATTTCTTGAAAAATCAAAGTGAGAATTCTAAGTTGAAACACATTTACCTCCGAGGATTTACGTTGGCGACCGAAAACTTTCAAAATATGAACCAAAAATGTCCTGTATTTTTTAACAATGAGTATTATCATAAAATTTCAGGCGGCGAGTTTTTACTGTACACGTCTCGGGTTTGAGCCACTGGCTTACAGAGGGCTGGAAACGGGATCACGGAAATACGCTTACCACGTCGTGCGACAAAACAAGGTTTGTAGCAACATAATAGGTAAAAACACCGGTGCGTGTGGCGTGTTTTGCGATTAATCGATTGATCTGCCATTTAAACCTATGGACAAGGATCGATAAACAGGGTGTTCGTAACTGACACCTGCAAAATCGATCGTTTACCATGGCGTCAAATGGGGAAATATCGATAATCGATCATTCACACCTTGCCACTGAAAAGCACTCGACCTCGAGAGTGAATGCGTAAGTACTTGATCAAAAATTTAGCACTGCACTTAAGAACGAAATGAAGCTCAATGCGTATTCACTCCTTGAGTTCGATACTCGTAAAAACGGACCCATTGATCTCTCCATATTTTTTGAGGGGCTTCGCTGTCCACAAAAACCAAATAGTGGGCTATATACAAGGTGTCCCAGACCACCCGTTCTGGGCCTTTTTCTTGGTTGGTTTAGGTCGTGCGAAGTCAGGGACCGCGGGGTTGAATAGCAGTGGCGTGGCGTGCTTTGCGATACATGGATTGACACGCCACTCAAACCTATGAGAAAATATCGATTATCAGGGTGCGGTCGCAGCGAACACCTTAGTAATCGATTCTTTACCATAGCTTCAAATGGCGAGATATAGATAATCGATCATTCACGCCACGCCACTATTGAATATAGGGAATCGACCCCACGGAATCCAAATTTGCCAGGCGATAAAGTGTATGCTAAACGTTACTAATTACGGATGCTAGGACAATACTGCTCTCTTTTTGGGCCGTAGTATCTTGATTTATTTTGCAAGGAAAGCTCCGTACTTTTGATAGATGCCCGCCATTACTAATAGAACGCCTTCAGTTTCGTATGATACTGTGCAATACCTCTGGTGTGAAATAGTTGCTTCGAGCGGCGCGGCACGCTGCGGCGCGGCAGGCGGGCAGCCACTGCAAAACGCGCATTGGCGCCTACAAACCTAACAGGAATACTTCACGCGTTGCGCAATGCGTTAAGTATCCCTGTTAGGTTTGTAGGCGCCAGTGCGTCGCCGCTCCGCTTTGTGTTAGGCTCTAATATTTAATCTGGCGGAGTCAGCGTTATTCATGTAAAATATATGTATAAAGGAAAATATAATGTATGTGTTTTGTCAATATTAAGGTGGTTCCGTATCAAACTTAATACTTTCCAAAGCACACGAATTTCTACACAATTTCCTATAGCCTTTTATAATCGATGGCGAAAAAGCAACAGCCAGGCGATAAAGTGTAAAGCCCGGCGAAAGGAACCATAGCCCGGCTGCATAATTTTTTATCGCTTCGTATAGCCCGGCCGTGGCCGTATGATTTTCTCCGCATTCTACAGCCAGCTTATATGATTTTCTGTAGCCTTCTTTAGTCGGCTATGAGAATTCCTATGGTATTTTGAAACACAGCTCTTATCTCCAATTTTTACCAGGGATCTATGGTTCTGCTACTAGGGTAATATCGTAACGTTAGAAATTTGGGTAAATCAATTGATAGGCACATCAAACCTGCTTTAAAATATTCATTTCTGCATACGCATAGTAATCAAGAAGGCCGTGATGGTTGTTTTTACAGATTGTTTTCGTATTTGTGTCCGCTTACGAACCATATGAGAAAGAGCTCGGTGATCACTTGATCAAACACGGTGACGGCGTTAAAGACGTGGCATTTACGGTTGAGGACATCCAAACTCTGGTCAAGGTAAGGAAAATACCTCAATGGGCCTGTTGCATGCAAGAGATGCAGCCGTGCGAATAGACTTTATAGAGGTTAAATGACACGAAAATTACGATGGTCACATTAAAAAAGTCTGAAATACACTCCTTACTGCGCAATTTGCGTTGTTAGGGACGCGCTTTTTCAAATTTCCCGCGTCTGGGGGCAGTTTTCGAACGGAAACAATTAACGGCAACTCGCGGCTATTTCCGGTCAACTAAAACTGACAACATAACCTAAAAATCGGAGCTCGTGATATCGTGAAATGAAATGTAGAAGGATTGCGTTGGGTACTTAAAAGTTGATCGATTTGGTTACCGCATAAAGCGTATATGGACCACTATTAGAGATTACGTTGGGTTTGTAAACAAACTGAAGGATAAAATAACAACAACAACAACGACTCGGCATCTTCCGGAAATCACCGAGCCCGCCGTTTGCTCGTTTCCGGTGATTAGAAAACTGCCCCCAGACGCGGGAAATTTGAAAAAGCGCGTTCCTAACAACGCAAATTGCGCAGTAAGGAGTGTATTTCAGACTTTTTTAATGTGACCATCGTAATTTTCGTATCATTTAACCTCTTAAAAGTCTATTCGCGCGGCTGTATCTCTTGCATGCAACAGGCCCATTAGCACATTTCTCCCCGACCTGCAGCAATCATAATATTAAAGAGGCAAAAAATATGACGTTCGATGATTTCTATACCCTGAAATCCATTGAAGCACTCAAATCCTAAAATTCTGAGAACAGACGCTGAGTAAGTCCTTTTCCATGGAAAACTACGCTTCCATCGAGGTAAAATAATAAAAATCTTGGCAGATTTTGGTTTTGATGATGACTGCAATAAGTGCAATATGCATTGGCGGATTCAGAAATTTGGCAACGTTGTTTTTCTCCGACTAACCCTATGGAAATGTATCGATTCTTGGAGGGGCCAGGTGCTCTGACAAGAATCGATTATTTACCATGGGTTTACATGGAGGGAATCCGGTGTTGCTAAATTGCTGGATCCGCCTCTGGCAATATGCGATAATTATCCATGGACGGAGAAATTCCCGAACCTCCATCTCGGCTTGTGACGTCGCAGACTCCCTGTCATGTTTTATTTTTAAATGGAAAACTTCTCAATGTCTAATATTTCCGTGAATTTTCGTTTCTGAGCGAAGAAAATTCTATGCAAAATTCAAGAAATTATATTGTATTCTTCTCATTAAAAAATAAAATAAAATGAGAGTGGAGATGTTAAAACAGCGCAAACGAAATACATGGTTTGGGAGTTTCACCGTGGATTTGTCCGAAAACTCGATGTTCATTGACTTCTGGCACAGATTCACTTTGAAGTTCGCGGGTTTTCTCACACGCCTAGATAGTGGCGCTGACGATTCCGGTGTTCGGTGGGCGAACTTTCAAGAATTGGTGGATTCAAAATTAGCGCGGGAATATCATCGAGCGATTAGTGAGGGCGGGAGGGGAATACTCGAAGAGTAATAGCAAAGGTTCGAAAAAAGACGGAACAAGCAGGATGGAACAATCATTTTTACGCTTTTGGTGAGACCGAGTGCCTAATCTCATTCATAAGGTCGAAATAAAGTGAACACAGTCTCACAATTGGACTGCATTTTGCAGTTTGGACCTATAAATTCTGGCTCTTCTGGAAAAACATCTATGTGCACAGGGAAACTCATGGCACATACCTGCGTTGTTTTTAAACCGGACTAGAATTTACATTTCCAAATTGCAAAATTTAGTCCAATTATCCTGTACTGAGAGGCCCTATGCCTGGTTAGATCATAATATTTGTTGATACGTTTTAATTACAGAAATCTGTCGAAAGTGGTGTCAAACTTGTTCGAGATATCTGGGAGGAGAAAGATGAGTATGGCACGGTGAAATTCGCTACAGTGCAAACGGTGAGTGTAATCTTCACTGATTGAAATTCTAAGGTTAAATCAGGGTGAAATAAAGTCCTTGACTGCACGCCTGGCCGATCGAGACTTGATGGAGGACATGTCCCGAAAATTGTGGGCACTGATAATTTTTGATAGTTTGTTGGTATTCTTTGGTCTTCTGAGAAAAAAAGTATTTGACAATTTGTACAATCATCAGAATTAAAATTGTAAATCAACTGAATTTGAGAAAGTTTTGATCGGCGTGTTATGTTGGTCTTTTTGCGATGACCTAGTGCATTCCAGTAAGTTGTAGAGGTCTCTTCAAAATTTCTAAGGCTTAGAACTATCTGCACCCCTGGGTTAAATAGTATAGCCAAATTAAAAAGTTGCACTGCTCGTTTATACTCACAGAACCATAATATTTTCTGACAAAATTTTCAAATAAGCATTATAAGGAAATAAAAAGAAGAAACTGCAATCATAAATACAAAGTAAGCTCTTTTCTCCAGCGCTCGATTCCGAAGAAATTACTGATGTAATCAGTTACCTATATGGTCTTGTTTAATTATTTCAGTTTGGTGACACTACACACACATTTGTTGAAAGATCGGGATATAAAGGATTATTTTTGCCAGGATACAAACCACCATTAACGAGCGACTGTCTTAGCTCCAAACTGTGAGTAAATAAGTTTGTTGTACATACAAAGATTTCTATCCTCCTTATAAGCTTTTAAAAAGAGATAAAGAAACGAAATCAAAGCATGTGATCCAACTACAGAATCAAGAACGACTACTGATAATCCGTACAAGACAAAATCCCTCCAACTGTCCCTAACTATAAAACATATTTTAAGTATCCAATTCTAGTAAATCATTCAATTAAAACAGTTATTCCATATTTCACAGATTATTGGTTTGAAAAAAAAAAAAACTTTAAAAAAAATGTACTGTAAGCAGGGCCGAATTTACTTACTTGCCGCCCATGGGCCGCTTGTATTTTGCTGCACCCTTCTCATTCGTTTTGCAACATCAATAAAAACCATCAAGTGAACGTGCCGGAGGGGGAGAGGCGTAAAAGACGCGTTTACTCGTGTTGATCACAGTTTTTGCGAAAGCCCTGTCAACACTACTAGCAAAAGTTCACGGAACCTGGCGCGAAAGTTAAGTTCCGTAAACCTGTCTCTGTATGGACAAGGCCCTCCATTTATAAGAAATGTATTGTTAGAGGGATTTGGAACTCATCAAACATGGTTATAAAGCTGGGAACGATAATTTATTCATGATGATTCAATGAACGGAACAACGAGAGGACAAAAAAAAAAAAAAACTTGAAGAACATAGAAGAGAGAGAAGCGTCACACTAGGGGGCAGCACCTTACGGTGGGTTGGTTTCGCACAATGTTGCTAACTTGTACACATAATATTCATGAATAACAACAAAATGAACCAAAAAATTAGGAGAGAACAAACATAAATGTGGTTTAATAATTTTAACTTCCGCCGGCGCGCCGCGCTGACCGCACTGTGTTTGACGCAATGCGTATGAAGTATTCATGCAGTCTTGCAGGCGCTATGCGTTTCACGCTGCCCGCTGCTGACCGCAGCGACCGCACTGTCTTTGGCGCAATGCGTGAAGTATTCATGCAGTCTTGTAGGCGCTAATATGTGTTACATGCCGACCGCCGCGCCGAGGGTATTTCTCCTTTTCATCTCGTACGTTATCGTCATCACTGCTCTCTGCGCCGCGCCGTTCCAGGCCAAATTCCGTGTTCGGTTTCTCTCTTAGTCTTAACTCGACTAATTAAAGGTGCTGTCTATTGTACCACAGAAGGACGACAAAATTAGAGATATACTCTCAGGAAATGAGAGATTTTGTCACCTTTTCTCGTTCGTAATTTTTTTTTTTTATGAATCCGATTTTTCTTTATAGCTACATTTAAAAAAATTGCAAAATTTGCCGCCCCCTAAATTTGCCGCCATGGGCCGCGGCCCATGTGGCCACCCCCTTAATCCGGCCCTGATTGTAAGAACAACAGTGCAACAGAGTTGCACGAAATTCAAATTTTTAAAAAGACCCCATATGAGTAACAGAACAAATACTGATAATTTTGAAATTTTTTTCTCTTTTTGGGAATGATTTTTAGATCACCAGGCAAACTTGACTTCATCGATCACGTTGTTGGAAATCAACCAGATTTACAAATGGAATCAACGGCACAATGGTAAGCGATTGGCTTTAATTATCGTCTTCTTTCCATAAATTCAACAAAATCTGTCAATTTTTTGCTCTTTTCGATTTGAAAACATTGTGCCTAGCATAAACAGTCAACTTTTGGGTCAAACAGGTCTTGGGTTTACTAGTCACAGAAATTTTGAAAGCCATTCATTAATAATGGAGAGAAATATGATGTCATATCTGGAACAAAAACTTTGTTAACCAAGATCATTCTTGTGCTATACAAAGCTAACTGAGCTGACTAAGATAGCTAAGTGAGATAACTAGGATAGCTAACTGAGATAACTAAGATAACCAAGCTGCTCTTATGATAACTAAGCCACAAAAAAACGGGGAGAGAAGAGGGACCTACAATGAGGCAAAGCTTCAAGCGAATTTTATCACGGTTGCAGAGGGATGATAATTTCCACTTTTCTCTGCATGAAAACTTATGAGCAAACAGCACTACAATTTCATAACGTACGTTTCTGTTTCACCACAGGTATGAGAAAAATCTACAATTTCATCGTTTCTGGTCTGTTGATGACACGCAACTACACACAGAATTTTCCGCCCTTCGTTCAATTGTGATGACAAACTGGGAGGAGACAGTTAAGGTGTGTACATGGCAAAATTGAACATGCTGCCAGCAACTTTCCAATTCAATGCAGCACAAAAGGCAAAAATAGGAGCTACATTTGGATTGCATTTTGCAAAAAGGAACCACTAGCATTGCAATGATGCTAAGATTGTGCAACTTCATCTTTTGCAATAAAATTGCGGAAATCGTGAAAAACTATGAAATTTAGATGATAATTTTTGTCCTAAATTTACAGTTTTTAGCGAGTAAAATAGAAACTATTAATGGATAATCGGGTTTTTCCTCCAAGACAAAAGAAGTTGCACAATCTTAGCAACATTGCATTGCTAGTGGTTCCTTTTTGCAAAATGCAATCCATTTAGAGACAGCATCTTCATTCAGGGAGCATTTTTCTAATTTTGTCTTCTCCAGTAAATAATTTTCTATCGACCTGTCAAAATATGAAAGAGGCTTGCAACACCCTAATATCTTATTTTTGAGACATTTTGATATTTTTTTTTTCTCTTTACATATTTAATGCAACAAAAAGACATACATTTATACATCCATTGGTCAGTTTTGTTTAAATGGTCAGCCTCCAGGGCTACATGCGACCCTCTTTGATATGAACTGAAGACACCTCAGTTCTGGTAAGTGTCTTGGAAATGTTTATCAATACGATCAAAAACATTCATAAAACCATTGAGCCTTTGATTTCTGCACCCAAATGAAAAACAAATACATTTTGAAATTGCGCTTAATTTTTGCAAATGCAAATGGTGCAAATGCTAATTTACTGGAAGAATAATACTAAAAATTTAAATTATGTTTAAAATAGTTTTGAATCTGATGAAAAACTTTAGCTGACATTTACTCTTGTCTATTTTGTAGATACCTATCAACGAACCCGCACCAGGGAAGAAAAAAAGTCAAATCGCAGAGTACGTTGAATATTATGGAGGAGCTGGAATACAGCACATTGCTCTTAACACAAGTGATATTATCCAATCTGTAAGTTGAACATGATAAAGCCACCATCTAATCCTATTTTAGTAATTTTTAAGTAATTTATATTTCAAATTCACCCAACTTAAAAAGAAAGAAGAAGAACAATACTGAGTCCATGCTATTCTGCAGGGCAATCAAAGCCAAAAAAGTCCAAAATTTATAACTGGAGTCACGAAATGAGTTCTATTTATTGTAACAACTATTAGAGTATCTAAAAAAAAAAATGTCTAGAATAGCAAATAGTTTTGGTCTTAGGAAATGATCTTTTAAATTTTGTCGGTGTACGTATATTTACCTACTATTTTTTAAAACAAAGAAGAAGTTGCACGATTTTGAAAACATTGGAATCCGGCTGGTTCCCTTTGGTTGAGTGTCATCTATTTACATTAATTGTGTCAAGTTTCAGGATCCATCTTTAGTAACTATAAATGTAGACTAAATTCAATTCCAATGCTAATTGTTTAGAATTTGATAAGTTCATTACACTCTTCCATACATTTTAATAATGTCTTTTCCAGTAATTCATGGAAAAATATTTTCTTTCACAGATAAGAAATCTTCGCAGCAGAGGTTTGGAGTTCCTGAAAGTTCCAGATACATACTACAACTCACTTAGAGAAAGACTGAAGGCTGATAATGTACAACTAAAGGAAAATCTAGACACATTACAGGTAGAAGTTCTTTCTAATTTTTCCCCCCATTTTTACGCCTACAAATTTGTAGTAAAATTTTTTTGTCCAGTAACACCAGAAAATATGCAGAAAGAAATGCTAGTTTGTCATTGAATCACAAATATCAAGTTAAAACAATTAAATTCAACATTTGAAGAAAATATTCATTTCCAAAGTGTTTGAAGTTTGTTAAAATCTGCTAAAGTTACAGGTGTCAAATAATTTATTCTACTGTTAAAATTTTTCAGGAGCTGCGGATTCTTGTTGATTACGATGAAAATGGATACCTTCTTCAAATTTTCACAGAAAATATGCAAGATCGACCGACACTATTCTTGGAGGTTATACAACGACACAACCATAATGTAAGATAGACACAGAATATTTTTGAAGCAAAAGCCTATAAAAAAACTAGCAGAAAAGTTCAGCACCATCTGACAGCCCAAAAATGGATAGCTCATGGTTCAAAAAATTTCTCGATGGTGAAACATATTTACGACAAAAAAATTGGCCTGGTTGTGTTCTGAATTACCTATCTGATTGAAAAGATTCCCTGATGACCATCAAGGTTCGAAGTTTTGGATAAAAAAAATTAGTTTGACTTGAATTCAGCAAGCTTTCTTGATTGAGGCAAGGGGTTTTCGGCATGGAATCTTTCTAGTTTTTGCACTGCATATTACATTCACGATCTGTTTTAGATATTTTTAGGACCAAGGAGTAGTGAGATATCGAAGAATATACAGTGGATCCTTTGATTGACATTTTATTATAACAATTTATAAATCTCCAATCAAAAGTTAACACAAAAAGAAAACATTACACCACAAATTCAAATAACTTGATTTGGCTCATATTGCACGCTGTAGTTTTCAAGATCTTGAGTTTAAAAGCAAAATATTAAAAATTTGACTTTTGATCGGAAAGCATTCTCACCTGTCATCGAACATTTGGCACAGCACCTGATATGCATATTCAATTTTAAGATAGCGTCAGGCACCTAAAACTTGTCAGTTAATATCAGACTGTAGAATGATGTATCTATTTGTCTACATAATCTTAAAGGTATGTAGTTCCAAAAAAAACTCAAGAAAATATTTTATAGTTCCGACCTTTATACAATTTTCAACTCAAATTCAAAAGTAATAAAAAACTTCACTTGGAGACGCTATTAAAAAGTGGTGCTTGACAGTTTGGCGACTCCGCAATCATTTCCACTGAAAAGTACCTAGAGTTAGTGAACTGATTGATACATGAAACTTTTGGTTGATTATTATAACCATACAGTTTTTGTTTAGCACTAGAGTTGATAAATTTTAGATTTCAAACAAAAAATCTAGGTATCCTATGGTTCCTTTTTGTATGGATATTAGAAATGCATTCATTGACAGGACTCCAATTTTTTTCTTCTTCCTCTCATTATTGAAGAAACAATTATGGATTCAGCTCAAAATTTTTACTTTAAGAAAAGCGAACCCTATTCTGTATTTTACTTCTTGGTATAAGCGGCCAATAAAATATAATTTTCTCCACCCAAATCGTAGCAGGATGTTTTTAATAGAGACTAAGGTTTCCTTTTCATGGCTACTTCAATTTTGATAAGTATTTTTCTATTCTTTTTCCAATCACTGAAAGAAGAAGAATCATTATCTGAAAAATTAGATTATTTAAAATAATTTTTTTTTAATTTTTTACAGGGATTTGGTGCTGGAAACTTCAAGGCTCTGTTTGAAGCTATTGAGCTGGCCCAGGCGCAAAGAGGAAATTTGTAAAGATATTTCAGTAATAATTAGCCAGACTTCCCAGAAATTTTATGAGAATTATGTTTATTTTTATGTTTCTTGTGAAATAAATTGAAAGTAAAATATTATTCTTACTTTAGAAAAGGAAATATTCTTAAAAACCTCTCAAGCCATACTTAAAAACCAAAAATTCCTTGATTTGCTCTTATGGTGACTTAATTTTGGAAAAAAATTTTTTGATAACCAGGACAAATTGTAAGAGACACATCATTCAAGAGATTCATCATTTCTTTTAAAAAAACAGAAATTGTAACCTACCAGTAACAAGCAAGGTATTCAAATTCTGCTCAATATTCACTGAGCCAATAATTTAGAGAAACAGATTATTGTTCTTTTATTTCGAGGATTATTCATGTTTATATTCGATTACCGCACAAATTCTCGCAGGAAATCCTCAGATTGATTATAGGTGAGGCAGCCAACCTGCCTCTACTAAGGTCTATTGTCTCACATACATGTGAGTCGACGAAACAAAGCAATTTCAACTCCTGTCACCTGCTTTGTTCGCCAATCTGGCATTGACCGAATTTCATTAAAAAAATTGAATGATATTTAATCCTAGAATTCTCCTAAAGATATGAATGAACCAAAAATAAAGGAGAAATGCCTAGTTAATATATGTGCAAAAAATTTGAGACATTTAAAATTTATAACTCACGTTACTATGAATAATGGTCATGATTCCTCCTTAAGGGCAGAGTTGATTGCATCTAAGAGGCAATCTGGATTGGGTTTGGCTGACGTACTAGCAACAGGTAGACCTGCATCTTCCAGGGCCCGCTTTGTTGTTGGTCCAATCGCTATAAACTGAAAGAAAAAAAAAATGATAAGGACCTTGTTGAAAAAGAAATTAAGGCGATGAAAATTATTAATGCATAAAAGAGGGGCTTGGAGGACAAGGTGCATAAGTACGTGCAGTTTTTACAATTTTGAAAAGTACGTGATAGAAGTTTCGAAATCAGATGGATCCTTATGGTGAAAAGAAAGTTCAAACTAACTTTTTGATGTTTAAAAATTGGAATTTGGGAGCGAATTTGTCACAGAATATGCATTAAGATTAGTTTCCCTCGAAATCATTGATACCTCAATTTCTTCAGAGACTGCCCTTATGGGCCTTGTCCTCCAAGCCCCTCAAATGAAAGATTGTGAGAAGATATGTACTTTAGAGTGAGAGGTAATTCCTGTCATCCTCATTCAAGTGGAAGGAAAACAAATGTTACTATTTTGGACGGTTTCGGACAGTTTTTGCTTACTTCATGAGAAAAGAACTTCAAAAGTTTCATACAAGACTGTGAGTTAAAGCTCTGATTAAATGAATTCATATTGGAAAACATTTTTCGATTCAATTATAATTAATCCAAATACAATAATTATTTAATTTAAATAGTTCATAAATACATTTAATAAGTAAAATGACAGATAACTGAATTAAGTTTTTGAATTATGAAGATTTAGATTTAGTGATGTCATGCTGACAACTGTTGAAGTATCATACCTTCACTTTACTGATGAAGGCTTCAGTCATGATGGGCTTAGAAAACGAAATCCCAGATGGACTGAAGAAGACGGCAACATCAGGAATATTCTGTTTCACTACCTCTTCCATTTGCTCTCTCAGTGCAGGATGTGGAACAGTTTTGTACACCTCTAATTCTTCCACAGCAACACCTCTCTCTTTTAATTTGTCATGGATCTTGTGGGATGATAAACTACCGATTGGCAGTAAGAGAGGTTTTGATCCAGGTATGATCTCTGAAAATATTCGAAACAACAATAAAACAAATTCACTCTTCTTGGTTCCTAAAAAAGAAAAAAAACAGCTGGAGTAGGATTACTAAATTTCACAGTTGAACATTCTGAATTTTAGCCAGTCTCTTGAGAACAAGAAATTAGTAAGTTTGACTTTCAAGCAAAGAAAGGAAGATAGCCCCTACTCATGGGCCTAAAGAATTATTTCAACCAAGAAAATTGCAAATTATGGACTGAAAATGTGACTTGTGATGGAAGTAGGTTGCATAACTTCAGCCAGGTGATATTACATACGACAGATGTAAGAACATGCTGCCACGTGAGACAACATAATAACATGGCAGAATGTTCAGCACTGCTTTATGTGTCCATCATGTGTTTTCATCTGGCCGAACATGTGTCAACCACTTACCTATTGAGTGGCAGCATTATTCTGCGAAGTTTCAAACCTCAACACAAAAAGAGGGTTGATCCTGAAATTGGATAAGAGCTGACGAGAGGTCACAGGGTAAAACTTTAAGTTTACGGACATTTCAACTTTAATGAAATTTACCTTCCAAAATGACAGAAATCAAAGATTCTTCATTGCCTGCAGAGGCACCGACAGTGCTTGAAAAATTCAATACACTCCGCACTAGTTGATCTGTTTTCTCAGAGACTACGAAAACTTTTCGGGACTCCCACCCAGGCGGTAAGAGGTTTGATTTTAAAGCCTCAGAAACAGCTTTAACACAGCGAGGGCTTGTGAAAACCATACCTGAAATAATTACTGATACATTAGACATGAAAGAAAAAAAATATGTGTTGATAAATCTCAAAGACCTAGAAGTTATAGTTTTTCATACTGCACAAAACATAGATTTGTCAAGAGCATAGAATTCAAATTCATGGTATAGGTTTTCTTTGAGGTTGAAATAAAATGGCATGATTTTTGGTGAGAATAATAAAAGCAGAGAATGAAATTTACAGTCTGATTCTGTTAGGTGTTTCTTTCACTTAAGGTAAAGTAATTCAGAATTATAATGGAATTGGAGACTTTTTTCTGTACTTGAAAGACACCAATTTCCTTAGGATTCATGTTAGATATGGGATACTCTTCATTGATGCTACTATTGCATGGAAGAAAACATTCTGTGTAGTTTGTCACAATGAGTAATTTAATATGCAAAATAAGTCCAATTTCAACGGAAGGATTTGGTCCAGTTCTTGATTAACTCACTGCAACTCATGTTATAGCAAAACAAAATATCTCTTAGCTTTGAAACAGCTACAAATTTTGCTTTTCCATAAAAGCAGCGATGTCAACTATGTTGAGAATGTATAGGGCCCGTTCAACGCATAAACTAGCAGCTTCAATGAGGCTCAATGATGGAAATTTCAACTGTTGCCTTTCGAAAGATCATCCGGCAGACGATTTCAGGCACAACATTGTTTATAGGTAACTGATGTGTTTAGGATGCATTATACCTAATTCAGATCATGAGATTTTCAAGGAATTTCGTGCAGAAATGGCTGAGAAATTCAAGAATTAGTGCCAGTTTGAGAGCCTCGGTTTCTGTTTGGTTCGGGCGCTATGCTGTAGACTTACTTCCCCAAGGGAGTTTAAAAGTGGACGGAGGGAATTGCTGTCTGTAAGTCATCAAACCACCAAATTGGTTCTCCGAGTACTTTTCTTTGTCATTAGCAACCCTGTCTATCAGGTCCAAGAAATGAACCAAATACTTTTGCGGAAATTTGGCTGTAATCAAAGGAGGTAAATACCTGAGTAGTTGTTGGGGCCATTCAATCTCTCTGCAAGATTTTCTAAGCTATGAAATTGGAAATCCAGTGAATGTATGAGCCGTACATAAAAATTATGATGAGTTAGGGTGGAGACGTATGGATCCTCTGTTTCACTTTTGGCTTCATCAGATTGAGCTTTCAGCAGTAGGATACTAGGCATCTCGAGAAATGAGCATGAATACCTGTTACTGTATTCAAGAATGCCAAGAGGAATGATAGAACGACTTTGAAGCCAAAGAGAAGTCTTGCACGTCCAGGGTACCCTCTTCTTGCAGAATTTCTGTAGTAGCCAAGACAAAAAAAGGCTATCAAATCATGTCATGTCATGATATTACACAAGTGCCCTCGGAAGATTGAGACTAGAGATAAATTAAACCTTCTAATGAAATATGAAGAGACTTTTTAAAAATAATTAGAACCTAACTAGGACGGCGAAGTCACAATGTAAAAAGTAAACAAACCAGCAATTTTAAAGTGAGGTTAGAAAATCTACCTTCGATATTATTGATATCGATTTTCTATTCGACTGTTATCAACAACAGCTCACAAGTGATAACAGCGGCAAAACGCCGAAACCGAGACGTCAAAACAGGAAAACGAGGAAGAAAACCAGAAAAACACCCGCGTTTTCCTTCGATCATTGCACGCTCTCATTGTTCATTGTTCCCTCCATTTACCAATCTTGTTCAATCCTGTTTATCTCGTCTTCTCGTCTCATCACCTCGCTGGTGTTGGAAATCTTACGGCGCGTGCATCTATTTAGCAGATCACTCTCCTTTCACGGAAACTCGCGCTTTTCTACCTCAGCCTAACACCGCTTCATCCTTCATCACTCCATCTATTTGTAAGTATGTATTGCGAGTTTCAAAGCTTTCATTGAAATGACTTTACTTACCTCCTGATCCGAATTCCTTTCACCTGCTCCAAGAATCACGTTTTCACAAATTGGCACTGTGATTCAATGGAGTAATTCTACCTTTACTCAAGCGAGTTCTGATGTTCACACCGACTCTTCTTGACTTCGCTAAATGAACCTTTACACAGTGCAGCAATGGCTATTCCCACTTTTTTCATTCTTATCCAATCTAATTTGTAGTCCAAGGCTCCCATGATGTGTTATCCTCCAGAATACAAACAGCTTTCCGTAGTCTGTAGGTCTGGTTGTATGATGTGATTTTTGAGGGTATACCTTCTCTCATAATAATTTCTTTCTTTTTTCCTGTGAGTGGCGTAAGAAGATGCCTTATTTTGTGTCAGATTTGTAAGGAAGACAGAAAGTTATCCACTTCTTGCTCTTAGCTTGGAAGTGCATATATGACTGTTGAATGCATTCCTAGACAGCATATAAATAATATTTTTTTGTGTGTTCCTATGGTTGATTGGATAGATGAGCCCAATCCTTATCGCAGATCCTGAATGTTGTAGGAACCACATTTGCTCACTGTACACATGCATCATCACCCAAGTAGCACAGTACCTACAACGAAAAGATTGAAATTAAATCGCAATTTGGTTTCATTAAAATAGTAATTTTTTTACCATTAAATTGCAATGTTTTTAGGTACATCATTCAGTCGATGTATGCTGATTGCTATCCATCAAAAAAATTTCCTCGCCATGTGTTAGAGAGATAGGCAATATGCAATGTAATGAAAAATTGCAACTTATTTCAATTGTATTGCAATAAATTTCAATAGGAGGGGTCCCTTCAAATGGGAGCTAGGCAACATACACAGCACTTAGTGGAATTGCAATACCTATTTTTACTATGTAATCGCTTCTTATTGCAATCTGCGCTACTTGGGCACTGACAAGGTTGCGGCTTAAGGTGATTCGATGGACGCCATATTTTCTGTCAAGAAAACATGTGATGTATCGCATCGATTGGTTCCATTTTTGCAGCTACTCATCATTTTTCTCGAATTTTGAGATTGCAATTCTGTTGTCAGGAGGCTTAAGAATTCACGTACCAATTTTGACAAACAAATTCAACGTATTAAAGGCATGGTTTTCTTAGAGGAAAAATATCGCATTCGATACTGATATTGAAACTGCGCTCGAATGCCATATTCTTCCTCTAAAAAATCACTTTTTTATTACGTTGAATTTGTTTGTCAAAATTGGAAAGTGAATTCTTTAGACTCCTGACAACAGGATTGCGCTTTCAAAATTCGAGAAAAATTTTGAGTTGCTAATTAAATGGAAAACCAATCGATGCGATATATCGCATGTCGTTCTGACACAAAATATGGTGTCCATCGAATCACCTTAATATTTCAGTTCTCCAGCGAAGTATGCATGTTTAATTTTTAGAAAATTTTCTAGCAATACAAAAAGCTCGCTTTATTTTTGAGTTCAATTTTTTTTACAGTCTGCTGAAGCAAAGTAGTGTCCTGCGAAATGTCCGACACTGAAGATAAGAAGAAGGGTGCGAGCAAGGCAGCAACAGCCAATGCCAAGGAGGTATGTGAAGTAACTGTATCAGTCCTTGGATCATCTCTTTCTTGTCAAAATATCAAAAGTGCCCTTTAAGCTTATATTTTTTGTCAAGAGACATCTTGAAATTATTTTAAATTTCACCCTAAATTTTTTGTCTTCCATACTTTTTTTTCTAATTTTTGGAATTTATCTGTCGATGAATTATAAGTGGCATTTGTAAAGTTAACAAATTGATGGTGAAACTACCAGACCGTGTTTCTCATTTGCGGTGTTTAAAAAGCTCCTCTCCCATTTTATTTTTCGAAAGGAGAACAATTCAATTTCACTCTTTGGAGTAAGTTTTCACAGAGAAAGAAAATCATGGAAGCTTTTAAGAATTGATGTTGAGAAGTTTTTCATTTAAAAATAAACCATTAAGTACAGGAAGTCTGCAACATTGCATACCAAGATACATCGTCTGTTAGTTTCACAGTTTTTTTCACATTTTTCTTCTCAGCTTTGTACTAACCTTTGTCAGTCGAGATTCTTTCGCCAACAAAGCTCTTCTTTCACTCAGGAAAAAGATTTGAATTGCTCGCAGGGAGGTCTTTTTAGTATGATGATGGATAAGATATATAGGTTCCATTTCAATGAAGTGAACTAATCTTACGCAGACCCCAAATTTTAAATTACAGTGTCTGTAATTTTTAGTCGACAATTCAATACTATCAATTAATTTTTCTACTCAGTGTTTCATTCCTTCTCTGGAATTCTCCTAAGTTTTTCTCTCTTTTTTTTTGTCTTCATTTTTTTCTTTTCATTTTTATAGCAACCGTTGGTTGCCTATTAGACTAATATAATGTGATTTTTAAGGCAACTTTTAATAGGAATAGTCAGACTCTGGAGTAGTATAGTAAAAGTGGATATTTAGTATGAGATCATATATTTTCACCGGGATAAGTCGGTGCTGAAAATTTTTACTTTTAAAATCAATTTCGTTATTTTCGTGATGAAATTTGAAACTTAAATTTTTTGTTTAAGTATATATTTTCATGGTCTTGGTCCCTCAGAGTACTTTAGAAACCTGGAATAAAAGTCAGGAATCGTGTAATGCTTACTCTTTTGCCAATAAGAAGTATTATAATGGAAATAAAAAATTTGAAGTAAATTGAATTACTATTTTTCTGCCTAAAATTGAACAGACCCTGTGTTATTAAGAGAGAAGAGAGAGGTCTCAAAATCAGTAGAGCTACTTACAAAGTCATCTGTATAAGATATCAGCTTTACAGCTATATGTAATAAGATATCATCTTTAAGCTGAACTTTTTATGCACGATGGCTAAAAAACTCCATCATTACTTACAAAGTGATGACAAATGTGCTATGTGTTTTTGAAGCGGACTACCTGCCACTATTTTTCGTAAGCAGACTTGATGGAAAATTGTTCGTGTTTCTAGATGTACAATTTTCTTTTTATGCCTTCAGAATGAACCTGCAGCAGCTCCGAAGAAACGTGGTCGTCCTGCAGCCGAGAAAAAAGAGGCTCCTCCGAAAGAATCAAAGCCTGAGGAGGTAGAAGACGAAGAGCCTGAAGAGGAAGAAGAAGAAGAAGATGAGCCTTCACCACCAAAGAGAGGTCGAGGCAGGCCCAAGAAAGGCACAACATCTGCTCCTGCTCCAAAGAAGGTACCTACAGTCACCTAATGACTTTAAAGCACCAATATCCAAATTTTTCCAAGCATCGGCGAAGAGAGTGTCCAAAACTGTTGCTATCTATATGACTGTTTTTTTCCTCACTGACTTTACAGACGCATTCATTTTGTGTTTTTTCCCCGATGAGGTCACTCCATGCCAAGTGATGCTTAGAGCCAATCCATTCTAACCTGAGGCAACACATCTTATTTGTGCTTATATTCAGCGCTCGATGCCTCTAAAACGGTTCATTGAATCTCAAAGCATCTATTGAAAATTTTTTCAAGGATGTCATATAAAACTCCTTGAAAGACAATCTTTATTTGATATGTATAGGTGTATTATCGTTTTTCAAGAAAACTTTCATGAGAACCAACACCGAGAAGCAAAATTTTGAAAGTCATCAAAAACATGTTCTTGTGCCCCTGTTGTTGTTTGGTTCAAAGTTGACCCCTTTACTCTTTGCTTAACAGGTTCCATCAGGCAGAGGCAGAGGACGTCCTCCAAAGAACAAGGGAAAAGCTGCAGCTGCTAGCGAAACTAACGGAGATGCCTCCGATTAACTGAGAAAAGGGCTCGTTTCTCTTCCATCGATAACTCATTAGCCTCTCTGGTTGTAATATTGCTACCTAATCTGGGCTCTCACAATAAGCAGATTCTTTCAGAGGTATTATAATCACTTTTTATTTGCAATTTTTTCACTATGAAATGTAGAGAAAAAGCTATCTTTATAGGTTTTACATTCTCACGGAAAATTTAGGCCCGTTCTTATGGCAATGACAATCTGAAAATGAATTTTTCATGTATTTTACTAAAATTGTTGTACTGTGTTTTTTTGCTATTTAAGCGGTTCATTAAATGGGCCCTGTTTTTTTAAATTTTTCTAGTTTAATTGGTTATAATTAATGAGTTTCTCGTTACTTCTACAAAAAAATTTAATAGATAGTTCTTAGCTTTTAAACTTCCAACTGTTCATTTTGATTAGTAATTTTTGGTTACCTCTCTTAATTAATTTATTGGTAGCCTTTTTAGTCCTTTGAAGATTTGTATTTTATTTGACTGAATGTTTTATTTTAAGATAAAGACTTCTCACTATCAGTCTTAAATTTTTCCTCACATAAGTCAAATCTCATCTATAATAAGAAGTTACTAATTATCCTTAGGATAGTAGAAAGTCATTTTTCTTTCTTTTTTTGCTAGTGTTCTATGAAATCATCACATACTCTGCTGTGAACTTTCTTATATTCTCTTTTCTTATCTTAGAAGCTTAGGTATAAATTAAATAAATCTTGACCTTACCCATATATGCAGGCCATTAATAATGAAGCAATTTCATCTCATGAGTGAGGACATATGAACTGTCAACTTTCTAGAGCCCAAATCATTGTTTATACTCTCTTTCAGGATTATCCTTATAACCATATCACTTTTTATGGCTTTTAGCACCTTCTTTTATAATCATTGGTATTTTTTAAAATATTTTCCACCAATAGACTTGCAATTTTAATATTTCCCTCCATATACAAATTCACAATGGTTATTCAGTGTGGAGGAGTGTTGTCTCTCCTCTTTACACTGTAGTCTGGCTGCAAAATCATGTTAATGTATCACTCATGGTTTCATCTGGTAAGATCTCTTTTCCTTCTTGTAAAGCAGCTATTTGTCATATCAATAATACAATTACATATTAAAATGTATTTCAATTTCTCAAAATTCTGTTTTATTTACTTCAAACAACAGAGAGGTGCCCTTCTCACACTCAGCACCCAGGCAGAAAGGAATCACCGTGTTTACAAAGTAAAAATCGTGTATCTTCAAATAAAAAATTGCCTCGAGCAGCAAATAATTTTGTTCTCCTATCAGAAAGTTGTTCATTTTAAAGGAAAATGGTTATCAAAATTGAATTATGTACTGTACCTATGTTTAACATATTTTAAAGGGAAAAATGTTGCACAATTTTAGAAACACTTTAATCCCGTTGGTTCCTTTCTGCTAAATGCAATCCAATTGCAGTAAGTATTAGAAGAAAAAAATATGTGTCTAGAAGAATGAAATTAAAAATATCAAGTTCAAGAAAGAATACTAACAATAAGTCTTTCCAAACTGTTGATTAAATTAATTTTATAGGATAAAATTCTTTCCAATGAGTCAATGAACATGTTAAGAATTATTTAGAGGGAGGAAAAAAGTAGGCACACATAAACGTGAATTATGGTACTTTATATTACTTTTGAAGCAATTAAGAAGTATTGCATATCTATCACACAAAATTATATCCTACTGAATTAGTACAATGAGCCATAAGAGCATGATTTAACCAGCAAGAGGCCTTAAATATGTCTAATTCAGGAACCTCTGAATTCTATTTTAAATGGAGAAAATTAAGTACATTTTAACTCAAGCTGTAAGCAAGCTGAGCTGTTTTTACAGCAGGCCCAAGCCGCCAACAGTTCCTCAATGTTGAATAGCATACTCAACATTCTTGCCTCAACTTGCGGCCGGCTACATACCTGCCATCACAATTTGGACCCAGGACATTAAGAAAGAAAAATAAAGACTATTGCAACCTGTTAATGCAATATATATGAGCAGAAATTTTAAAGCCTTTCATGGGATAAATTCTGCAAGAAAAGTAACTTAAATGCAAGCACAGCCACCAATGCTCCCTTCAGTTGCCTTTCATTGATTTAAAGAAAAAGGAAATATTTCCTGAATGACATAACTACTTCGTACTTTGTACAGGCACCATCTTAATGACTTTTGCTGGGTTCCCACCGACAACAGCATTAGCTGGCACATCCTTCGTCACAACAGCCCCAGAACCAATGACAGCATTATCACCGATGGTGACACCTGGGTTTATGATAGCACATCCACCAATCCATATATTATCACCAATTGTCACAGGTTTTGCATACTCTTTGCCTGAGTTTCGCTCGACAGGATCTAAAGGATGTGTAGCAGTGTAGATGTGCACATTAGGGGCGAGCATACAATTCTTGCCTATTCGGATAGGACATACATCCAACATAACACAGCCAAAATTAGCATAGAAGTTGTCACCGAGGAAGATGTTGTATCCGTAGTCACAACGAAAGTCAGGCTCAATAAATGCCTTTTTGAAAGGCGGCAAAAGTTCAGTCAGTATTTTTTGACGCAACTCCTCATCATCTGGCCCTAACTGATTATATTTGTGAACCAATCGTCTTGCTCTGATTCGCTCAGCCACAAGGGTGGGATCCTCTGCAATATACATCTCACCTGCAATCATTTTGCGTTTCTCCTCGCACATGGGGTTTTCTGAGTTATCAGTGGTAGCCATTTTAACGGAAGAAACTCCTTGCAAGGACAATGACAGGGACCTCGTTTTAATCAATTCTGTGCATCCAAATGTGATTTGAATTGCCCAACAGTGGTACTTGTGGGCTGAATATTTAAAGGCCAGGAGAGATTTCTCTTGCAGCTAATTGACCTGAAATAAAACATGCTAAATTAGTAAACACATTTGCAAATATAATATTAGTCCTCATCTAATACGAGGCTATGGCCATCAAGGGGAAAAGTGACCTTAGTACCAAATATTAAAAATTGAGATACCTATTGGTAATGGTGTGTAAAGAAGTGTTTTCTGAACATTTTAGCACAGGAGCAGTTAAATTTACTAAAGGTATGAGCTACGCTCTACATTACTAAAATTTGAATTTGGCGATTCAAAATTAATATCCGGCCTGAGACATTTCTGCCAGTGGGCAAGCACTGAATATTTTGAGCCTAGACCATCAATTTTCATACAGCAAACGATTATCAGTGGGCAAATTTGAACAATTTTTTGGGAGGATCCACAAAAATTGTCTAAAAAAGACCCTTGCATTGCTACCTGTTCCTGATTTAACATCGCCAGATCAAAGAGTACTTGAAAAATTATGCTATTTAATTAATGTGTCCACAGGTATAATTATTCTTCTATCTTTCTAGCATCAGCAGATGTGAGGACGATTTAGGTAAAAAAATATTGAGTAAACCAGTTCAAATTAGTGAATAAAAAGGAAATCTAAAGAGAGCAACAAGCAGTTTGAAAACCTGCAAACTAATATTGTATATCTTTTTATAGTATGATTACGCATATAATGACATCAAGCCACTTTCAGTAATTGGAAAAAATAAAATATTAGTCGTACCTAGGTGTGGATTTGAAAGAGACTGAAGACTGCAGGGAGTGGTGCTGAATCGAGATGAAAAAAAGGTAAGATTCATAACGGAGAAGTGTGATGACAACTGAACATAAATGTTTCATTAATGACTGAAGTTGTAAGAGAACTTGCGAAAACTATCCCGGCTCAAAAATAAGCATGGAATTTCATGATCAATACACTTTACCTCCCTAAGATGAGTTGGAACTTCTGAAGTCCTTTGGCTTGGGCGTGTTATCAGTGATTCCGTGTGTACCAGTCATAGGTCCTCTTTCTACGAATCCGAGACCACCAGCAAATTAGTATTTCAACCCGGTTCATACAATTTCCGCGGATCTCCTCTGTTGTATCTCATACGAGATCAAAATTGCTTTCAACAAGTTTTGACATTAACAACAACTTATCATTTACGCAAGTTAGTGATAAGGTAGGCACTCTAGTGATAAGAAAAAGTTGTTTACATGAAACTAGCGCAATCTGGGTAACGTGTCACGAGTTTCAATGGCTTTGTCAATTGAATGACAGAGAGCGCTGCACGAACTGGTACTACGTCCCTTCCATTGCCGTAATAACAATTGCATCGCGTAGGAATGACGGCGAATTGTTTGCTGAATAAAGAAAAGAGGCCTCTCTCTTTGAGATTCTTTACAATTAAATTCAAATGGACTCAGTAATTATTTGAAATCGGGATTTATGGATTAAATGATAAAATACTGCAATTTAATGGTAGAAGCATTGCAATTTTATGGTAGAAGCATTGCAATTTCAAGGTAGAAGGATTACAATTAAAATACCTAAGAAAGTTGCAATTTTATATCAATATTTATGTTACAAAATAATACTCTGGAAGTTCTCTGAACCTTGTACTTTAGGAGCTTCGAGGATTGTATGATGCTCATTTTTCTACTGATTAAAGGGATAAAATCACTTCATATTTGGATGAGGAATCAAAAGCACTAGGTACTTTTGTTAAGTTTTAGTGTGGATTTCAAAAAATAACAAATCAAGAAATTATGCCAACACACATGAACGTGTAAAATTCCTCCAAATCATAAAATTACATTGAATGAAAAAAAAAAAAATTAAAAAAAATCATTCAAAAAAAAAAAAAAAAAAAAAAATTCATTTAAAAAAATTGAATGAGGAAGTAAAGAAATCAATGGATTTCTTTACTTCCTCATTCAATTTTTTCTTTCTTTTCTCACTTCTTGTAATATTATCAAGGTCCGATAAAAGGGAGAACCGTATGGGCCGCGGCCCACAGAGGCTAATTTTTGGGGGCAACAAACTATGGAAACATGGCAGATTCCAAAATTTATGACCCTTTTTTTTCTTTCTGAGAGTTGAAAAGTTAACGTTATTGAAATCTCTGGACAGCAAACTGTTGTCAGCCACGGGTAGCAAAACCTTAGATTCAGCTCTGAACATTTCAACTTAAAAATCGAATCACATCAAAGGTCATGATGGAAAGAGATGCAACCGGAGTTATTTACGGACAATCAGTCAAAAAATGAAACCTTTATAAAATACAAGAATCATTTTATTTCAAAGGATCAAGGAGATGACAATGAAGATAGGTGTTATTGAAAAATGAAAAGATTCAAACTAAAAACACAGTGAATTAAGCAAAAAGATGTTGTATCCGAGGAAATTACTAGAATAAAACTCAATGAAAAATGGCACTAAGCCTCGTAGAATATTAAAGGCGTAGAAAAATGTGTAAAAACAGTCGTAATATGACAAAGTTTTTTTTTTTTTTTTGAATGGCAATATTAATTCTACTCTCACATGGAAGAAAGTAAAAAGAGGCAAAAACGAAAATGATGATTATGCCTTTAAAAGTTAATAAGACGAGATCTTTTCCTTTGATTTTTAAATTGCCTCACTATGTTGCCTATTAATCTACCCTCTTATTTGAACTTGCTGTTCGTATGTTGCTGTGCTGAAAGGCTAAGAAGGGATTTTTTAACTCTTCATTTAAAGGACTGTAATGAAGTTCCTTATGAGATATTATCTGGTATTTTAAACAAAATGGGCGGAGAGAATATTTCGTTCATACTTTGGGGCTTGCAGACACAAAAAATCCCTGGCAGCCCAGTAAAAAAATTGAAAATTTCACCAAGAGTTTTCAGCAATCTTCAGTTTTTAGTGAGTTCATCACTCAAAAAATGAGTTAAATACTTAAATAATTTCATTTTAGAATGAGAAATATTTCTGACGCAATTTCTGAGAAGCCTTAAACAATTAAACAACTCAGAAACCGCCGAAAAAATTCATTTTTCTGGCTTCAGTTCGAGACAAATGTACTCACAGACTTTATATACAAAACTTCAAAAAAAAAAAAAAAAAAAAAAAAAAAAAAAAATCCCTAAAGAATTGTAATAACTAAATTGTAAAAAAAATTTCTCTTCCTTAAAAAAAAATAGCACCATTCAAGATACATCGTGAAAAGGGACACATAGCGGAATTAATGAAACTGTTCCAATATTGGGATCAAGATGATGTACGGCCTTTTTTAACAGATATGAAATTGCCTCGAAACACCATTGAAATTCAAAAATGTTGAAAAAAGTAAGGATTTATTGAAAAGAAACTTGACAACCTGCAAATGTGGTCGACTTTACTTCAAACTGAATGTAAAAGACTCTGACAGTCTATCTGAAACAAAATTTTCATAAAACAGAACTCCTTTTTTGAGGGACATGATAAAAGGAAAATTATTCATGTGGTTCTTCTGCCATGTTAGAGTAAAAAAGTGGACTTTTATGGTCGCTGTAAGAAAGTTCTACAATTTTCAAGAAATCGATTTTATATGGCCTATCCTAAAGTCATTCTGGGATGCATCCTCACCAAGAAAATTAAGAAGAGAGAGCCAGATAAGACTAATCTAATTTTGTCACGCTTGAAAAAGGTGGTAAAAAACGATGCTTAAAAACAAGCAATTTGTATCAAATTCCTCCGCCCTAATAAACAAGAAATAAAGCAAAGGCATTTAATTTAATAATCACAATATAATAGGATATTCCTTTGTTTAGAATGATAAGCCGCCTTGAAATACTATTAACAAATATCAAAGTGAATTTTTGGTCAGAATTTGGAGAACTTCTAATTCCATAAATTAATTAATTCATTTGACTTGGCAGGATATTTCAGTTCAATGAGTTATTTTATAAATAAAATTGCTTCTTTTATCACTTCCTAATTTATGTAACACTAAAAACAGGACATTTAATGCAAGACTTTCAGCCTCATTTTGGTAGAATATAGAAGAAAAAAAAGGCTCTTTGATATTATTTGATTTTTGCAATGAATTAGTAAATAGAGTAAAACGGAGTAAACTTATCGTACCTATTGTGAAAAAACGTAAAAATCAAAGAAAATAAAATACACAAGGTGCCCAAAAATTACCCAGACTTGTACTGTAGTTCAAAATTAAGCTAGATAGAGGTTTAATTATGATCTCATTTGAAAGGTCAAGGGGATTACTTCCACTAAGCCTTCAGTAATAAAATAGTGCAATTAATGAATTTATACGGCTTGTGATGAACTTAAAATTATAATTAAATGAATGCATGAACTTCATCCTGCAATGACAAACTACAACTTCGGGCTCATCCAAAAAAGGACCTGTCTGCATAGAAACACTGATGGCACATATATTGTTTCTGAATTGGGCCGGAAACAGTAGTTTTTTATAACAAAATATAGTTCAAATGTTGGTAGAAAAATATCCCTGAACATTTTTAGGAGCAAGTCTATTCAAGACAAATTTTAAAAAACTGGAGAAATTTCAAATTTTAAGACTTGAGATTTCTAAGAGATAAACAAATTTTGAAAAATCCTGAAAAATTTAGAATGTCATTGGGTAGTTCACAGATTGGGTGATGAGACCTTTTCTGCAATGTTCCTTGATGCTTTCCATAATATTTGCTAGAAAAAGTACTCACATTGATAAGTGGTGATTGGTTAGGTTTAATTCTATGAAATTGATCAAAGTACCACCTCCCACTCATTTCATGGAAACAGGTAAAAGTCAACAACGTACAAAAAATGTAAAAATAACAAAGGTAAATAACAGTGAGTTACGGTCATCTGTAACCAACTGGATTAACGGTGGGAAATTCGCTAACGGAACTCTTTTCTTGTGTCTCTTCCGTACATGTGCGTTTGGGTAGTTCTTTCAGCTCTCGGTCTAAATCACCTCGATTGACAGCTTTACTCATGGGTGCGGGCGAGTTGCTCAGGATACTTGGACCTTCGTTGGCTTCATAAGCAGTTTCAATCTCATTTGTGGTAACAGGATCAACTGGTTTGGGTTCTAGTCTGGCAAAGTAATCGTCCAGAAGAAGGTGCAACTAAAATTGAGAAAAAATATGTCTTCAGAAAATTAGCAGATAGTGATGAAGTAATAGGTAGGACATTCAAAACGTTGAGATAGAGGCATAATTTTGGCAAAAATTATCATAAGAAGGCATTCTGTCAGCCACCAGTACCTGACTCATCTGCAAATCAAATTCCTGCTTATTATTTAACTCGAGTGAGAAATTGTGTAATTGTTTGTACTGGAACTAAAAGAAAATAACCAGCTCATATGTAGGAAGTCAGCTGGTAGGTACGTTAAAACGTCAAAGCTTGAAATATTTTGCACCCTTGCTCCTAATGAAATATTTTGACCAACAGAGAAAAGTCAGTTAAAGCAGTCATTTTAATAAGAAATAATGATTTTGATTGATTGATTGGTTGAAAGACAGAAATCAGTTACAACATATTGAAACCGCAGTCCCTGAAGTAGTTTCTTTATCAATCTTAGTTTAGGGGATTTTGGATTGGTAAACTTTCTTTCTGGACAACCCTCGTATGATGGTTTTTAAATCACTATAGTACATAAGGATGATGCTCATAACTCAATTTTCAAAGTTGGCATCTTTTTTTCAGTCATTTGTCTGATGAAGTAATAAATATTTCAACTCCATGACGGAGGAACAATTACCTGGGAGAGACCTTCGACTGCTTGGCGCGCTGGTGTGTTGCCGATGAGCACACCTGCATCTAGAACTGGATGATATTGAGCCAACTTATCTCTGCATATTGTGAGGAGCATTTGCATGTGACTCAATTCATCTTGCAGGTTCTTTAAGGTCTTGTTTTTCTGCAAAGTATGATAAAAATTTGTCAATTTTTACTTCTTCATCTGAATTTCAAAGATAGAAAAAGAAACTTTTTGCATTGCATATTCTCTAGAGAAAAATAAAGAAAATAGAGGGCTTGACAGATAAATCTTGTGAACCAAAAAGGCAAAGAATGAATTCGTCCTATTAGACTGATGTTTCAATGGGCAAGCATTTTTATTTTTATTTATTTATTTATTTTTTTTAACGAGATCTTACATCTTCTAATATAGTTTGAACATTATCTGATGTCATTTTACTTCCAATAAATTACTCAGACAGATTTTTTCCATCAAAATACAAAATTTTTCTCCAAACAAAAACTCCACTTATTCTTCACAACTTAAATAACAGCTGCCTTTTGGACTTTTGCAATGCTTACCAGAGAAGCACTAAAAATTTTCAAGAAGAAATGTACTTCATGGGAAACAGTTGGGTCGTTTTTTCCTTTTTTTCTCAACTGGCAAATGACACTGAGAGCATACTGATTCAACAGTCTTCACTTCTTGAATCAGCGTCAAAATGATACCACAGAAAGTACAAGTTTTCAAAATCTGTGGGCAGGATGGGATGGAGTAAAAATGATTTACAAGGAAATAAAGGAGAGGATTTTAAGATGAAGGAAAATCTCCTGCTCAAAAAAGTTGAAAATTTAACTCAAAAATACATTTTTGGTTTGTCTATTAAAAATAAAGATCAGAGGCTATTTGTCCTTGGGCAATATCATGAAAAGCATTTAAGTAAACATTAACAGATCAAAAATCAGTTTTAAATTTAAGGAGTAAGCTACTCTCAAAATTTGGGACTTGAGAATTAACTTTTTTAAACTTTCCTACAATACTTCATTCCTTAGTCCCTTATTCATTATCAGGCTAGATTCTGCATGCATTTGCCCCACAGTGTAAATCAGTTGTAATGCTAGCAAAACAGAGCACACTCTCTCTGAAATTGACTGAAGTTGTAGTTCAGATCCTTCTCAACATACAGAGTTATAAATGTGAATACTTTGTAGTAAATGCAAGTAATGGCAAACATGTTGCAGGAAGGAAAAAATATGTACCTCAGTTTGCAGCATCACAAAATTTCTGTTAAATCATGTTTTTTCAAAGGTGCACCAGTGAAAACTATTTTTTGACATTTATTCATTTTTTTTCAACTTGCACAGAATACTCTGAGAGGATTTCTAAAAATAGTGTTCATCCGATTACTTATAAAGAATGAAATAACGGTAAAGATTTGGAAATATCACTATCAAGAGACAAAATTCTTGGCTTTTGCTAGCTATCAATGAGACATTGAGACAGAGTAATAATATTTTTACAAATACTACACATGTGCTTCGTAATCTTCAATTGCTTGGTTGAAAAAAAATCAAAAAATTTACTTCCTTCATCAATTAAATCATACTTACATTGAAGGCAATGCCATCTATTACAGTTCTACGATTAGAGGTTGGTCTAGTTTTTGGGCGCTGCTTGATAGTCTCTTTCTTACGTGCTCCCTGAGTCGAGCTCTGTTCTACAGGAGGAGCGACTTTATAAATAGGACAGAGGCCACGTTCACTCTGGCTGTCATCTCGCAGCTGCATTGCAACACGCACAATGTCAACAACACTGACACTGTGCGGAAACTTCATGAGTAAAGATAGACATTCCGAGTAATCGCAACGTAGCAGGTTATAGCGGATACTTAGTAGCAATGCCACGACAATGAAGTTGATCAGCGACAGGCGAGGACCTTCCGAGAACAGCGCATCCCACAGAACTAGCAAATCTTCGAACTCGAATTCTCGCCCAAATAACAGTCTGAGCCACCGTCTGAAAGAGAAGGTAAATGTATAAATACCAGATTTTACATCAATTTTCTAGACCTGGTCATACACAGTTGACCGAGTGTTTGATGAGGTTGAAATTTCTTAATTTTTTTACCTCTGTTTCAAGATGCATCAATTGTTAAATTCATTTTATTGTAGGTATTGGAAGAAAAAGATGAAAAAAATGAATTTGATTATCAGACATTTATCAATTATTGAATTTATTACATTGTATTGGAAGAAAAAGATAAATAATTAATTTGATTATCAGATATTTATCAGAGGAAGCCTTGATATTTTTCGTTTATAGCAATGTACCAACAAATATGTATCCGCCAGACGATTAGAACAGTAAGTATAATTATGTTACAACTTGACATCAAGGTAACTACAACTAGCGAGAAACAAGTCACATATAGCTTGTTTCTCTTTGAAAAAATAACAGTTTAGAAACAACACAATGGAGATACGTGGTTTTGCACTTTGGTCATGAGATAATGGTTCTTCTTTAAAAATACTTCCGAAGCCTCATGAAAGCTTTGTACAGAAAACTCTTTAAAATTTGGTTGAATATGTGACTTACATGCCAAATGTTGAAAAGGGAATACTAAGTTCAGATAGATGACTTTCCAAATCAGGATCAATAGGTTTTAATATTGAATCTTTGATAAAATTTAGTTGCGTTATAACTGGATTTTCAGTGACTGCTGTGCTCACATGGATACGAGTAGGAAAATATCCAGAGGAACTCACTGGACCGGCTGTTTGGTAGTATATTTCAATGGACTGCATGAGAGTGCTGAATATGCAACTGAAAACAAAAATTAGAGAAAAAAATGTAAAAATAAATACACTAAATATGAATCCAACTTCTGAACTGTCAAAATCAACAGAGAAAATAATTTTGGATAAGCCTATTTTTTATAAAGGAGACTGAGTGAATGCATTATCAACAGGAGATGATCTTTCTTCATTCTCCAAGTAGAATGAACAGCGAGAATTGAGGTGGTAGATTTTTTGTTGCACTTGCACCATCAGCCAACTGGTTTGGTGTAAGCTATAAATAATTTTGAAACATTCTCCTCACTAAAAATTAGTTATATTTTGTGAGCTCTTAAGAGATACTAACAAATTGAGAAAACTATTCAGAGACTAAGGATTAAAATCAATGGATGAGTGATGTTACATAAATTAACGTTCGAAGCGATGACTTTTCACACAGATCAAAATATCAAAACCATATTAACAGAAGCGAAAAAAAAAAAGGATCTGTGAAAAAAGTGAATTCACAAAAAAAAATTTTTGTGATAAAAATAAAATTTAAAAAATACTCACAAACTATCATGTTCCAGGTAGTCTGGGTTCATTAACTGACTGATAATTTCACTGAAACCAAAAGAATATTCGAAAATAGAAAAATGTCATGTAAAATAAGAAATATATCAGAGTGGGTCAATTGTGCAAGTCAAAGAATTGTCTTTGATAGTTTACAGCTTATAGATTTGCAAAAAAAAATTATGATGACTTATGATTTTGCTTCTTCAGCATTCCATGATTATAAAATTTTATAACACCATGGAAATTTCATCTCAAAAAATTCCTCCATTTGATGCTAAAGGACATAAATTTGCTTATTCCCTCATTTAAGACTTTCATTCATAAAGAAAGTAAGCTTCCATAAAAAGCTTCACAAAACAGTGTATAATGTTAATGGCCAACTAGAGATAGACAGAAACTAAAGAAAGTATTACCTTAATTCTTCTGTCTCACGAACGCAGAAAAAATTCTCTGTGTCTGCATTCAAGACAAACAATATTGGCGCCAAAATTTCATGCATACCCTAGAATAGACAAAAAGTAAGTAAGTGACTGAAAACTATTACTTCCAGTCTACAGAGGTAAAAACAACATGCAGTTTTAGAGATGTAGATTCTTTCAAATCAGATTTTAGCACAGAGATTGATTAGATTAGTTACAGCAGAACAGAATTTTCATGGATAAAGTTATGAAAATTAGTTGTGACCAATGAAACGGAACATTTCAATTTTTGAGCAGCTCCCTTCTCATGTTTAGAAGGGCTTTGAAGATGCTTTGGAATGTTCTCATTTAATTATGAATCAATGAATAAGACAGTTGATGATTAGTCATCAATGATAAAATGATAATTCTGCTTAGTCATCCGTCTATGAATGAATTTTTTTAAACTTTTTGAGACAAAATTGAGCGAAAGGCAAACAAGTTCAATCAATATTTCTGAATGACACAAAAAAAAAGGACTCAACTGACTCATTTGATGAGCAAAAGACCTTCCTGATTATCATTCTCGCCGTGAGCCTACAGAGCAACTCAATGGGTGTGGGTAAAGATACAGCTTTTCTCACCTGTCGGTAGCACATTTTAGGATTTTTCCTTGCATAACAAAAAAGTATATTCAGCATGTGCTCCTGAATTTTCAGATCCCTGAAAAATTCAACGCCTGGAAAAGTCCTGATGATGTCCTGTTTGATGACTGTTTTTAGTTCATTATCACAGAAATACTTGTGCCACTTGCTTTGCTGGAAAATAAAACAAAAATAATATTTACAATAATAAAAAATTAATATTAATTACAGACAGGAGCGCACTTGGACTGAGTTCAACAAAAGTGCACCAAGTTGCATTTTAGAAACAAATGAGTTAGGGGTAGTATTGAATTGAACTTTCATGAATTTTCTCCTGGCAAAACTTTAAAGTATAGACGAAATACTTTGGAAATAAAATTAGTTGTTACACTTAAGTCTTAAGGTTGAGTCTTGAGCGAGAACAAAACTTTGCAAATTGTATTATTAATTTAAACTTGATGCGACTTTGTACGTTTTTGTTAAACTCAGTCCGAATAAGTTATTATTTTCCTTAGTATCACAATTAAAATCTTTTGGTGGATTTATGTCAGTTTCAAGTATGAGCTGTGAACCGCACATTTCAACTGCAGCATTTAAAACAACCTGCTCCAATTTTATTTTTCAAACAGAATATTACCAGTAACATTTGTGTGACATTTTCGGAGTTTATTCTTAAAGGGGCGAGGAAAATTCCTGCAAAATTTTAAGCAATGCTGATGGTCAGTATTCCCCAAAAATAGTAAGGTGAAGTGGGAAAATTGTAAGTATAAATAAGCAGTTTTGGGTTTTGACAGTTGCTTTCCCATAAATTGTCTGGTGACAGTGTACAAAAAAAAACCATGATTATTTGTTTATACATTTTCTGGGACATATTTTTGGCGGAAAAAGGTGCTCTAGGTTCATATTCACTATACAAAGCCTCATGACTATATACTTAATTGTAAGAAGCCCCCTTCAAAGAGAAACTATAATCTTTATAAAGTCTGATAATAATTTAAAATACCTCAGTGTCTTGTGACAGAGGATGATCAGAAACTGGAACATCCTCTTCCCGCGGAGAAACAAAATGCTCCTTTTTTAGGGCATCATAATCAGCGCGTAGGCTTGTAATTATTCCAGACCAAGTGTTCGGCCTACTAGCTGGTAGGATATTTAGCATCAGTCTCCAGCAAACACTTCGGAAGTAAGATGTACGTAATCCACCACATTTTGCAGAGGCACAAAGATGTTTCCATTTGGCCTCATCACCAGAAGACAAGTTTTCCCATTCTAGCCTGAGAGAAAGACAAATATTTTTGAAAAGTTGGTAAATCAAATTCCAATTTCAAAATGGTTCACAATATTTAAGCAGAAGCGGCAGTCAACAAATGTGATGGTTTCAGTAGTCAATTTTCTGTGGCACTGTCATCTGAAAAATTGGCGTTTGTTTACTTTCCATTTGCAAGCAACTGTGCTACTGCCGTCCAATGGCACAGAGAAAAAAAAGGAGGTGTTTGCATTTTGGGCAACTGGGAAATTTTTTGATGACGTACTTAGGTCGGTGCGGCTACTTTCATCATCGATTTTCTAGGTGTAGTCTATGAAAAAAAATGCATTCTACATAAAGTATTTGAAAGTATATCATGAGTTGATTTGAGCAAAAAAATCGGACGTTATGGTCTGTTTTACATGCTTCGAATTCCGGATTTCTCTGACCAGGTTGTGCCAACCTACATCACAGGGTACACAATCCTCAAGATGCAAACACCTCCTTTTTTATCTCTATGGTCTAATGGCAAGCAAGGATTGACCAAAAGCAATGACAATGCTGTGCTGCTGTTGTGCGCAGACCCGAAAAACCAATACTTGCCTCCGAGAGGATATTGCTAAGTTTAACAACTGAGCGTTACTGTCAGAAGTAAAAAACTGCCAATTTATCTGACAACACTCTTAAGAGTCCATTATTTTGTTTTGTAAGCTGCGACCACTTAAAGTGCTCTGACATTTAAAAACTACAGCCTTATTACAATGAATAAGGTCGTAGGTAATTAACGTTTAACCACCAGCGTCTTTCAATAGTATTTCCAGTTGATCTTCTAATGAACCATACCTTGTGGAATGAAAACAGAGGGGTGGGCCTTGCAAGCAGGGCAACAAAGAGTTCGAGCGAGTGTAAATTCAGATGACATAACAAGGCGGAGAATGCCTGGATACTTACAGATATTTTTGAACGCCTGACACAACAGCTACACTCTCGCTCTCCTCACTGGACTCGCTGGGAATCGATTCATTAATTTTAAGATTCCTGAGATTTGATTTGATGTCAAAGGCTGGGTTCTTAATCATGGTGAGGTTGAAGATGAACCATGAGTGAACCAACACAGAACATCACTCGGTTTTTCGATTGTACTTGCTTTACCTGCGTTCAATTGAAGACAGATTACATCGTGAGGCGAATTAGACCCATAAATCTCAAAAAAGCATGCAGAAATCAAAATTAATTGGGAAGAACACAAACAAATCACGAACGACGTAACATGGCAAATTTAGTGGTAAATAAAAGCACAGCTGATTGTTCACTGATATGCTGATAACCAATACCATCTAATCATACCTGGCCATGGGTTTGAGGTTAAATGTTCGTAACTCCCGAGAATACACGGGATTGTATAGGGCGAACTTACAAAAATTGATTCTTTTTACATAAAAAGTGCTTGAATGCGGGGAAAAAAATTTGTTACGAAGGCTCTAAGCAAGGTAGACCGTTTGAGCTAAATATATGCGACCGAATTGCGTTTTAATGGAAGAAAAAAAATATTTAATAATGGTAGTGAAGTCATATGGGGAATACAAGGCACGTGATCATCCAGAAGATTTGGTTCGTGAAGCGAGATGTCTTCCTGACGCTAGGTGATGCTAGTTTAGGTCCCAACCGCAAAGTAGCGAGTAAAATAGACTCCTGAATACATGCCCCTTTGAGAAAAATTGGTTTTTTCACCTTATTTCGGTGCAAGTTAGTATTTATTTGAAGGGGGGGGGGGGGGACCACTTCAACTCTTATGATTTAAAGGTAGAAATTTTTTTTTGTAACACATTTTGTTACATTCCATACAAGAAAAATTTAGAATGGGTAGAGATAAAGAAGCTGAATATAAGAGTATCTCTTGGAGCTCGAAAGAAACGACCGTTAGCGCTATGGCCGCTATGTCTACGTCGGGAGCTATTACTCACACACTCTCACACGTATTCTCCAATGGCCAGGTATGATTAGATGGTATTGTGATAACAAAAGTTGAACATCGAGAAGTAAACGATTATTCAACAGGTTTTTACGATGGTTGTAACGATGATGACATTTTCTTTATCTGTGCTGATCCGTTGACTTTTTTGTTTCAATCAGCTCAACTAGAACTCATCATTGACTCATCAGAATATGTCAGAAGTAATCAGTGTAACCTAACCTCAACAAGTAAATAACTCACTGTCCTAGAAGCGTGTATTTGAATTTGAAATTTCCAACGTTCAGTTTCAGTCTTCAGTAGTTTTAAATTATCCCAGTGTTTTCTGTTCTATCTATCTCACTGCAATTATGGAGAATTTGAAATCGCTAATTCTCAAATTTTTGATCAAAATCTATATCAGCGCAACTTCGGCTTTGCTGTGATATCTCACATGTTCTTTGACTCAGTAGAATTGAAGTTACTCTATCTGTCTTTAATTTTTCATAATTATGTCTTTTGGTAAGAAATTTTTTCCTGTGCTCCTCTGTATCTATTATTTTCTACTTACTAGTCAACCCTCTGGTCAAAAGCTCTCACTTAAAGTCCTCAAAGTTCATGTAGCAAGGGCCGTTACCTCATTCACCGTCTGGTAGCTTTAGTTGAGAATTCTCGCTACGTGAGGGTGATAAATATAACTTGTAAACCTGGATTGGCAGAGCAAGCAAGCCCTAATTAGAACTAGCATTCAATTTGTTGGCATCTGTTTACTTTTGACTTTCTTGTACAGTAGACTGTTTGACTGTTGACAGTATCATGGGTGGCGGTAGCCACCTCTGGACAAAGTCGAATATTGTCATCCTTGGGATCAATGCTTTGTAGCTATAGAACAGCCAAAAAGCAATACTTTGCAATCAAAGAGTCAGAAGCTGCCAAATTATTTAACCCAAGCTCCAGTAGTAGCGCAAGCAGGCCCGCCACATCCCATCTCGGGCCCTGGTACCAATTTTCTGGCCCGGGCCCCTAGCACGGGGGGGGGGGCCGGGGGGCCTCCCCCGGGAAATTTTTGAAATTTTAAATCTATTTGGACGCATTATGAAGCTCTTATGATGGAGATTTTCCATCAATTTCTGCAGAATAATTATGCCTTTTCGTTTACTTTCAGCACCAAAAACTTTCGAATTGTTGCATTCAAAACATCTATAAATTTTTTTTTGAGAGGGCAGATGATAATTTACAATTCTATGGGGAGCCGGGCCCCCCTGGACTCCCCTTTCGTACGTCTATGGCAAGGGAGTTAAGCCATTGAAGTCGAGGATGCCCAGGAAGGAGCCTCTTAGCATCCGACAACGGAAGAAAATGAAACACTGCTACTAAAAATATCATTCTACATATACTCAAAATCTTGAAAATCTCTAAAAAAGTAAGAAAAATTTTATAGTGCCCTAGCGTGTTTTTGAAACTTTATTCATCTTTTGCGGAATTTTTAGGGTAATTTTTTCACTTTTCCCTACGAGACAAGGGTTACACATGAATTCGTAGTGGTTTGTCACCTGCGTCACGGGCCCCTCAGGGCCCGGGCCCCGGTACCAAGGACCCAGTATCCCCCCCCTTGTGGCGGGCCTGAGCGCAAGGTAGCATACGGAAACCTCGGATGTCGCCAAGTATAGATTTTCACAGGTCCTTCCCCTAAAGCATGCCTTGACATATCACAAGCTACGATTCTCTGTATTTACAGTTTACTCACAAATCTTTAACTCCTCTAAGTAAATGACTTTGTTTCTTTCAGGTGGTTTTGGAACGAGTGCCTTTGGTAGCACACCAGCAGCATCAACAGCAGGTGGTTTCGGAACTGCAGGTACCACAGGAAGTGCCTTCGGGAACACAACAACGACTGGGTTCTCTGGATTTGGTGCAGCATCCACAGCTAGTCCTTTTCAAAGCACAGGTTTTGGGACAAGTTTCGGCACAGCTGCACCGACCACCACTTCTGCTCCATCTTTATTCTCTGGTTTTAACCAACCCAAAACAACCGGAACAGGTAAAGAATGAGTGCATACAACATAAATGATTTCAGTTTTTCTCAGAGTACACTACCAGATAACAGTTAAAACCTCTTGCAATGGAGGTTACCCAGCACTGTGCTAACTCCGCAAGATGGCATGAGACAAATGTGTCTAAAAGTAAGAGGTGTTGACCCAATGCTGTGTTCGAAAAAATAGTTTGCAATTTTGCTGATTTCAACATTTCCTGTTACACTCTAAAATTGTATGGCTCCCAAAAAATGATGAAATCCCCCTAAAATTAGGCTCCCCAGCCAAATATTTTCTAAAATTTTTGGGGAAAGTCAAAACATCAGTAAGTAATAACTGAAGTAAAATTCAGTAACAGTTTGATGTAGTCTGATCATAAATCTGATCTTGAAAAGTACATTTTTTCTTTCAGGAACTTTTGGCACGACAACTTTTGGAGCACCAGCAACAGCCACCTCTACAAGTTTCGGAGCTCCAACCACTGGGTTTGGTGGCTTTGGAAGCAACCCTACTGGTTTTCAAAACACTGGATTCGGTGGAACAAGCTTTGGCACCGCTACCACAACTGCATCACTTTTCTCTGGTTTTGGTCAGACGCAAACAACCACCACTGGTGAGGACAAAAATCTCTGAGCCTTGGATTCCTTTTCTTATTTCTCTTCCGAATGATCGATGTTCAATTTTAAGCCCAAGCCATAGTTTCTACCCTTCAGAAGATCTGACTAGCTCTGTAAATTCAATTTGACCAGTAAAACACCGGCATTTCTTTTATTGGGGAATCCAAGATGAAAAAAATATTTCTTTGTTTTGTGGAAAACCTATGTTTAAAGTAAACTAAATTATTTCTTTTTGCGCGTATAAGAAATGAGGTTAAAAAGCAAGATGGGCATTTAAAAATCATTATTTCTAGTTGAAAATAATTTGTGCTTTTGGGGGGGGGGGGGAGTTTTTGAAAGAAACAGACCATGTAATGTTGATGACAGCGAAAAACGGAAATCGCTTTTCAAATTTTCGTGTGTCAAAGTGCATGTCCAATATGTGTATTGTCCATGACGCTCCATGTTTCAGTGAATATCTTTCTGAGGCTTACTTTACTTGATGAAACTTTGAGGGGAAGAAGGTTATCCTCATTGCATGGGTGTAAAGATTTTTTCACATTCTTTGCTTTGAATAATTAACTCTTACGACACTTTAAAACAGGACACTTTTCCAGCCTTACTTTGACATCTTTCTAAATTCCTATCATCCAAATTTTTTTATCTCTCCTGCGAGTTGAGCTTAGCAACAATTTTTTGCATATCTCACTCCTGTGCATTGTCATTATTTGTACAGGATTCTCTGGGTTTGGAGGTTTTGGTGCCAACAAACCCCTTGGTACCACACAGCCAAGTTTCAGTTTTGGTTCGGCCCTTGGTGGCGGAACCACAGGAGGTCTTGGAGGTGGATCACTTTTTGGTCAGCCGCAACAGCAGCAGCAGCAGCAACAACAGCAGCAGCAGCAGCAGACGTCCGGCTACAGTGAACTGGTTGTCAATTCTATCCTCAACTGTCACATCTTTGGTGATGAACGTGATCAAGTCCTAGCCAAGTGGAACCTCCTTCAAGCATTCTGGGGAACTGGCAAAGGTTTGAATTCGTCTGTTTAGTTATTATTGCCGTTTTTTCAGTGAATATTTATCGACTTTGATCACTGTAGTTTTCAGTTCAGAAAATTTAAATAGTTAGACTACTGTTGGATCAAAAGTACCTTTTGATGGGCCTTACGCTAACAGTACATGTTGTGGTACATGAACCTCAGTGGGTTTTTTGTTTAAAAGATAATGAAATGTTTAAGGTCCTGCTGTCTTCGCCTACAGGAGTAGACATATCATATGCTGGACTGATAGACTCATAATTCGTTTTAAAATGGCCTAAATTAGCAATTCAGTACATTTTTTAGGGCTGAAACCATTGAGCAGGTGATGAGTGGCATGGTATTTTGTTTTTCTTGAAACTTGGATTTTGGCGCATGGGCCCTTACCTCAAAGAAATCTAATATAAATGAAATAATGAAATCAGTTCAATTATGGCGGAAGAAATTCTTATAAATTTGTTTATGTTGCTTAAGACTTCGTATGTAAATGATCTCTTATTCTTTCAGGATATTACGCTCAAAATACTCCACCCGTTGAATACACTCCCCAAAATCCTCTGTGTAAGTTTAAAGCGATTGGTTATAGCTGCAAAACATCAAACACCAATAAAGACTGTCAAGTAATCCTTCAGTTTAGCAAAACAGATGAAGACATTAGGTAAGTCACCCTTGACTATCGTTGAACAACACATTGATTGTGAAACTAGAAACTCCTCCTAATTATTGTAATGTTTTGATATTCCTATTCCGATATTCCTATTCCTGATATTCCGGTTTTTTCCCCCAAAAAACATTTTATTATTAATTGTTTTCAAGTATCTATACATTTCAAAGAACACCATTTTTAGTGATTTTTAAGGACATTTTATTTCTGGACCTGTATATCCCACCTCACCCTTGAAAAATTGCTGTTTGTGTCATTGCCAAGCTTTTAAAAACTCATCCAGACCAAGTCATTATTTTAAAAGATCAATTGGACTACTTTTTGCAATTTGGAACTATAAATTCCAGCCCGGGTTAAAAACAACCTATATGCCATTAGTTTCCCTATGCACATAAGTGTTTTTCCAGAAGAGCCAGAATTTATAGTTCCAAATTGCAAAATGTTGTCCAATTGTGATCAAGGCTTATCGGCCCAAGGGTTCTTTGGCTCATTGCGACCAAAGCATAAAAAAGCTCTGCAACAATTAAACATAATTTTCATAAGCATATATTCAAGAAAATGTTCACTTATTTGCATAAGTCCTCACCGTCAGGTCATTTCATTATATTTCTTTCTTGGTTTTTCCCTCAGGAATCAAAAGAATCAATTGCAAACAAGTTTGAATGCTCTCTTTGGAAACAAGCCAAACCTTAGCATAATTTTTGACTCTATCAAACCAATCTCAGAGACGAAGAGCACAGTCATTTTTTATGTTGAAGAAAAATTACAAACTGGTAAGTTTTGTGTTCTCTTTTATCATTTTAACTAATACTGCAAGCTTCTCTAACACTCTTGAGGTTTCGTACACTTTTTGTGATATTGGTCTTACCTCATGAGTTAAAGCTCTAGCAAAAATTATTCTATGATCAACAGATTAAAACTTTTTTTGCCTGAAATTAATTGCTCCACAAGAATCACTGAATTGGAAGTTTGTTCTAAGCAAAGACATCAAGGGCCTTATAGCTAATCAATATCTTTAAACTTTCTTTAAGGTGGATGGTGGTTAGGGTGGAGCGTTTTTGGGCTTTTTTTTTATTTTGAAAATGGACATAGCACAGTAGTTGTGAAATGGTCTAAAAGTAACGCCTGAATTTTCCTGAATTTTTTCGTCAACGTTTAGGCCTCCCGGATTGACGTTGACGTCAAAATTAGCGGAAAATCCGGGTTTTTTGACGATAACTTGGCAACAATGGCAAATACGACAAAAATGCATAGAATCAGAGTTGTTGGAAATTAAATTTCCAACAAATCACTTTCTTATCGTTTTTCTGTAAGTGCAACCGTTTTAGTGTAAAATTCGAAAACCCGTATTTTTCCGGAAATTTAGTACAAATTCTCGTTCAGTCCGGGAGAAATACGGGAGAAAGAGGGCTAACTCGGAACAAATTGCGTGATAGACTTTTCCTACAAGAATATCATCATCGGGTTGGCCTGAATAACACAAAACATACAAAATTTTTTCCACGGCTCCACCGCGGAACACCCCTTAAAATTCCTAAAATTCAAAAAAACGGCCGTGTTTAGATTATCAAGCATCAATGTAATTTAGAATGTGCATCTCGTGTGGTATGAGGTGTCGTTTCCTATGTCTTTTTAGTCGTAAATTTCAAATATAGTGTTAAAAAAAGCCCCTGGTCAAACGGGGTGCATCAAATCCAGGACGGCGGCCAACTTTGAACAGCGGGAGGGTAACTTATAAAGTTTGATTAGTGTATTACATTTTAAATTGAGAGTAAGGTAACGATCTCTGGATAATATTGGTTTAGCATTTTGATTAGAGGTTCAAAATTAAATTGTCTTTTATAAGACCTCATCTATGATCCGATGAATGACACCTGGTCAGGAGGCGTAAAACTGGCAATCCAGGCCGAATCCGCAGGTTACTAGGGTTTGAGATGCCGCAATGTTTGCGGTGAATTTAGATAATTTTGTTTGTAAATTTTAAATTTACAACAGAAACTGCCCCATAATCTTGCAGGGTCTCCCGATTATGGGATAAGTGGATGACTTCTAAATGTGAAGGACAGAACAGAAAATTTCAAAGTGTGATAGTAAAAAATCTTTGAAATAAATCGAACAGTTTTCTTAAATGTTCACAATTAATATTACTCCTCAATAAGAGCTGAAATCGAGGATGGTGACTATCTCCATATGAAGAATCAATAAAACGACACTACAAAATAAATGTACAATTCAAAAAGAGACTGCTGAATAAGCGATATTTACATGCAATTGAGTTACGTATTACTAAAAGAAAAAGAATGAAAAAATGAAAACATTGATGATTCATACCACCGGATGATGTTCCTCAGTATATTTTTTGAACAATGGTGTCGTCAACTTTTGATTTTAGAGAAAATTGATTTTTTTTTTTTATTTCGCCATGATTCTCACGTGACCTGATTTGCTTTATTCACATTTCGAATAAAAAGAGTCTTGGTTCTCGGGGGGAATAAAAGGATTTTAAACACTATATTTGAAATTTACGACTAAAAAGACATAGGAAACGACACCTCATACCACACGAGATGCACATTCTAAATTACATTGATGCTTGATAATCTAAACACGGCCGTTTTTTTGAATTTTAGGAATTTTAAGGGGTGTTCCGCGGTGGAGCCGTGGAAAAAATTTTGTATGTTTTGTGTTATTCAGGCCAACCCGATGATGATATTCTTGTAGGAAAAGTCTATCACGCAATTTGTTCCGAGTTAGCCCTCTTTCTCCCGTATTTCTCCCGGACTGAACGAGAATTTGTACTAAATTTCCGGAAAAATACGGGTTTTCGAATTTTACACTAAAACGGTTGCACTTACAGAAAAACGATAAGAAAGTGATTTGTTGGAAATTTAATTTCCAACAACTCTGATTCTATGCATTTTTGTCGTATTTGCCATTGTTGCCAAGTTATCGTCAAAAAACCCGGATTTTCCGCTAATTTTGACGTCAACGTCAATCCGGGAGGCCTAAACGTTGACGAAAAAATTCAGGAAAATTCAGGCGTTACTTTTAGACCATTTCACAACTACTGTGCTATGTCCATTTTCAAAATAAAAAAAAAGCCCAAAAACGCTCCACCCTAATGGTGGTCTCTGCTTGACGGATGTTACAAGTAGTAAGATTCTAGGGAGCCTCTCATTTGCCTAAAAGTACATGTCTCAACCATTTTTTCATAAAATCTAGACAGACACATTGCAAGATGTAATCCTTTAATTAATTAGCTGCCGTTGATTTTAGGTGCCACCAGAAGAGTTCCTTCCTCAGAAATCGTTTCATTCATGATGCAACCTGTACCGAAGCAACAGCTCACAACCATGGGAGTAGAAGATCTTTTCCCCTTTAGTCCACTTGATGATGAATCTGTTAAAAATTATCTAGCAAATCCACCTGCAGGTTTGGCGCTCTTCTTTTATATTATAATTTTCTCTTTTTTACTCGTTTATACACAACATCAGTTACTTGGATAGCTACAAATTCAAAATTAAAGTTTGTGGAACATCAGTTTGCTGTATCTAGCCATAAAAGAAAGAGAGAGAAAAAATAGAGGTAAATGAAGCTTAAAATTTAAAAAAAAAAAAAAACCAAAAAGCTGGATATTTTTTGAAGCCAAATAAGCTAATTTAGAGCCAACTGGTCACTTAGTTCTTTTTCGTGATCAAGTTAAGTTATTTTCCCTATAAACAGAAAGGAACCGACCAACAAAACAGATTCATTAATTAATCATCTTTTGACTGAACTCAATCTTCTTGCTACTAAATGCGCCTGATAGAAACCAACCTTAAAATCATTCAGTTCAGACTATTGACGCCAAGGAAGTTTTCAATGATTGTACTGGATTTCATTCAAATCAGCCTAATCACACCAGACATTCCCCAATTTCCTCTGATGCTTTATTTTTCAAACTGAAAAACCGAGGGACACTGAAACATGAAATTTTGACAAAATGTCTGTGGACAAAGTCGATGTATCTTTCCTCATAATCTAGGATAAATTCAAAAGAAGTTTGAAGGCGTAAAGTAGTTAAGTTCTCCGTCAAAAAAAAAACTGAATCACAAGCAATGTGGAAGCAGTGAAGTTGATCCCCATTAAATCTGTCTATCTACTAAGGAATTTTGCCAAGCCCTCTATGACAAGCAGCTCTCTTCTTTTGCGAAGAAAGTTGTTTCGCTTTTGCTAAAAACTATCTGATCAACTCCATGGTTTTTTTTCCAGGTATTGATCCCCGAATTTGGAAACAAGCTCAACTAGAAAACCCAGATCCTGATAAGTACATCCCTGTGCCGTTGGTTGGATGGGAAGCTATCCGCTGGCGCTCAAAATGTCAAGAGCACGAGAACAAAATGCACCAAGCGTTTTTGGACAGACTTGCGGAGGATATCTCAGAGCTGCAGGCTCAACACACCCGCACCGCTGCTAAAGCATTGGAGTATAAACAAAGCCTGTTACAGCTACAGCACCGGCTGCTGAAGGTAAGGGTCATACCATAAAACTGCTGTAGCATTATATTTATAATGATAATACCTTACTTTAATTGAAATTTGTTTATCTCTACCCTTCTCCTTTGATGGTTAAGAGGCTCTCAGGAGGCATTTATATGTATCGTCATGCATTTCATGCAATATTTATCTCCCCTCTCCTGTGCTTCGCAAATGCACTAGTATTACAGCAGGTTTGCAAAATGTGCGGGATTGGTCAATCGCAGGTGCAATGTGAAGGCACCTAAAAAAAAGGGAGGGGGAAATGTGCAGGGCGAAACATTTTTGTGAAGGCAATCAATAAATGTGTTATTTTTTGAGGAGAATATTACTGAGCGCATTAGTTTTGGTGGAGGAAATTGTGTAACATGCTCTTTTATTCAAAGGAAATAGTTGAATGCACAATCATATGCGAAGGAAATAGTAAAGCATGCAGAACAAATTACTCAACATTGGTACCATGATCTCTTCCTTCCAAAAGAACTTGCGCCCAGCAGAGCAGACAATGCCCGATCTCAAGATCTGAAGCAAATGTGAGGCAAATCTTGGGTCAAGAGGCAATTTAGAAAATGAATGACCCCTCTTTTTTAGTACTGAAAATGAAAAAGGAGGGCAGGCATGTTGCACATTTTATTTGAAAATTCGACATTTTACCATATAGACATCTGGCAAAAATAAGCAAAGGATGTAAAGCAAATTGGAAATATGTCTGCAAGGCAAAACCGTTAGATCGCATCAAACGGTCAAAAAACAACAAAATATTGATTCTCTGGTGACTTTAATTTGAAATCTCCAACAATCTCAGAAAATTGAGTTACAAATGATGATGTTTAATGTTCGGTAATTTTATCCCATTGCCTGCCCTGCATCTGTTATTATACCATGAGTAAAATACCTAGAACTTATCCATTAATTTTGTATTACCAGGTTCTTGTGAAGCAAGAAATGACACGAAATCATGGAATGGCATTACGACCAGAAGAAGAGGCTCTGTGTAGTCGGTTAGAAAGTCTTCACCATCAGCTTAATATGCCCTCTCAGTTCAAGGTACCTAACTTACTCTTGATTTTACCTATTTTTTCGACTCATTTTTGCCAGTCAATCGCATATTGTGTCGCACTTCTAATTACTTCATAAATCTTTTGTTCACCTCCTTATTCAATGCCACATCAGGCAAATGCGCAAGACATTGTGGTGTTCTTGCTAAGCCATGTTAGGCTCATATGGTTGACAACAGCAAACTGACTTCAAACATGTGGGGAAACTAATGACAAATTGATGCCATCTGCATAAAAATATCAAGCAAAAGTTTTTGACCTTAGTTTCAAAGTCTTTTCGTTGCTCACCTAAGTTTGCTTTATTTAAAAAAGTTTTCAAACATCTTGGAAAGATGTGTAAGAATACATCAAAGGTTTTTTTTTTTTTTTTTAATTGAAGGCATATACATCTAGAGGTGTTTCTTAGAAAATTCATCAAATTAACTAACATGTATTGATGCAGGGTCGATTGAATGAGTTACTGGCAATGATGCGATTGCAATTTGATGAGACAGCGTCTACTGGCACCTCTGGCCGTTATATTATGGATCCAAGCATGCAAACTGATATCAAACAGGTAAGAAAATTATTTTCTCAACCTTGAAGTTTTTGAAAAACCGGTATCAAGTTCGGTTGAAAGGTAAAAATTATTAGGTCAACCGCTTTTTGCACCCAAACTTTCTATTGAAGTCAGCCCAAACAAAGCTAATAAACTCTCATAATTTATTTTGGACAAGAATGAAGTGGATTATACACAGGAGGAGCCTTATCCTAGAGTTATGCTGACAGGATGTATCTGTTTCTCAACACAGATTTGTTTTTGTTTCACTGATAAATTTCGTAGAAACCAGACAGCTAACTTAGAACCAGTTTTCAAAAGTCACTCGGCGTTTTTGCGCAAAATGTTCCTGAAAATGAGGCTTTGGCGCCCAAAAATTCGGAATACTGGCCAAATGTGGCGTCGGTAATAGTTGGATGCAACCCACTACAAATTCTTGAAGGAGCAAACTATTAATCAGTGCTCCTCGCAAAGTTCCATGTGCCATCATAGGTAATCGTAGGCCAAAAAATCATCTTGGCCTCAAAAAATTTGTAGATGACTTAAAAATTAGGCCTGCTAGCAAAAATAACTCCTGAATTGTACCTTTAAGTCGGAACACCACTCAGAACAAACCTTTTACTTTAGTAAATCAGAATTAAAGTGAATTTAATTCAATTTAACTAACCCTTATCAATGCAATTTTTAACCTATGTTGCAAGCACACTGAAACTGGAATATCTTTCAGGCAGTTATTGCGGTCCTCTAAAATTAAAAGTTTTAAATTAATTCATAAATTTCAAATGAACAAGTAATACAATTGAATAAATCTTGTACTTATTCACAACAAAAAATGTGATAAAATACCACTTTTTTATGCATCGTTTGTGTTTAAAATCCTTCAAAGTCAACTAATGTTGTTTTTGAAAATTTCTTTTTCAGTTCTTGCAAATGGAACAAAATGGAATGATGCAACTCATAGAAGTCTATAAAAATGACCGAGAGGACATCAAAACAATGTGTGATGGACTCAGGGAACTAAAAGCTTGCAAAGCTGGTCCATCTGGGGCTTCATGATGATTCCGAATTGAAAGTATGCCACGCCTGCCGACTGCCTCAAGAGACCTTGTTGGAACTTTTTATCAACTGATCTGTGTTTTGTTAGTACAAAATTTCAGAATCGAAGGCGAACAATCGTCAATGCAATGGATAGGCTCTTTTTACATTTATATTACGTTTTGAATTTAATCTCATTTTTGACTCTTTGTAATTGTGTACAGTTAAATTTTTAGTGCAAGATGCAACTTTTCCTATTTTCTTCTCTAAGATAATGGACCCTAGACAAGGTGCAAATTAAAGTAGTATAGCCACATTTCACCGTGTGACCTTTCACTGCCCAACAGTTCACTGCGTGACATTTCACCCAAAGCATTATGAATTTCATATGACATGATTACGTTAATTATAATTATGTTTTCTCGTCAAAGTTTTGCGTAAAACACAACTCTTACAACACAAATCATTGAAAGCAACCTCTAACCAAAGTATGAACGTTTTTTGATTCATAAATTCAAGCTTCCTGCCCATGAAAAAACCATAATCTACTAGAGTTAAATCGCACACTAAACGTTACCGCAATAGTTTCAGCTAATATGGCAACCTCAATCTTGGCTCAGCTGTTGTGAGTTGTTTTTAAATTTTGGACAACACATGGCAGAAAAGGATCACTGATCAATTAAGAAACTTGCCTAAACTGCTGTGGTGTGCGATTTGATTCACGTGAATTCTGGTTCCTCTTGTGAGCAGGCAATTCAAATTTTTTGTAACCAGTGCTAAATGAAAACGATAGTATGTATCTTGGTTAGACGTTAATCTCATTAAGCTAAAGGGGGAATTTCACTCTATGTGAAAGTTTGAAGAGGAAACACTTACCAGAATGCTTACATTTGGCCTACATTTTGCAACTCGGAACTACAAAATCTAGCTCAATTTAGAAACAACATATGAACCATTAGTTACCCTATGCACATGAGTGTTTTTATAGATGTGCCAGAAATTGTAGCTCCTTATTGCAAAATGAATTCAATCTGTACCTTGTCCAATGGTCCATTTTATTATGTATCAGCTTTCTGATGGAGTCTCTGAGAAAAAACATCAGTTTTAAGTATAAGAAAAAAGGAAAAAACACAGAACTTGCCTCTTGTCGGAATCAATGAAATCCTCATGAGAATTCCTGCAAGAAGCATCCGTCTTATGTTGCCAGAAACTACTCTCTTTGTTTTCTCAGAAGCTTTTATCTTGAAGCTCCATAAAATTAATGAATTTTTTACAATATAATTGAATCAAAATTAATGACTTAAGCACTGAAACATTTCAAACAAATTAAAAAGGTAAAAGTCGTTACATGATTAAGTATGTAGAATTGAAAAGAATCAGCCTATCTACATCAGAAATTTCCTGATTCCCCTTGTATGTTAATTTTTCTTCAGAAAACTGAAAGTAACACTTTGACTTATATTCACAGAAAGTTTTAAGGCTTTACGTTGTTTAGTTTTCTGTTAAAAAAATAAAAAAAATGAGGAAAAATTAGGTAACATCCGTCCAATTTTTTTCACTTCTTTAATATTTGCACACGCATGCAAACATGCATCATGTTTCATTTTTATCACAAATTTTACAGAAAATATCGAATGTACTTTTTAATAATCACAGTCAATTTACTAGAAAATGTATGAGGTTTTTCAGTCGATATGTAAAACGTTAGGGTCCGTTTTTGATTTGTCTGTGATTATAACTGCCTCTTGTTAATGAAGCTATTCAGCTTAGAAAAGAAGTAGATGGGAAGTTTTTCTGATCTGATGTGTGAATGTAATCCATCTGAATATGATGGTTTTTATAGCCAATTCTAGAATTAATGGAGGTACCATCAAATCCTTTCTCTGCCAACTTTATTTCTTTTTTCAATGGGAATGTTTTCACTTTTTCAGTGTTGACCAAAAGTTTTTAAACTGGTTATTTGAGCCAGTGCGTATTTCAATTGTATGTCAGTCCAACCTCAATTTTTTCAAAACAGTGAATGGTAAATAATTGTACTATTAGTTTTTATGAATAAAATTTTTTTAATTAATGGAAATTAGTGTTTTCCAAAAAAATAGTTACATACCTTCAAAAGAAAATCTCTGTATGAGGAGCCATCAAGTAGAAAATTCAAATACTTACCAATGATTGTCAATACAATACAAAAGTAAAAATGAGACCCTATCCTTGTAAATTTCAACCAGCAGCCTGATTGTTGAAATTTTTTGTTTGTCGGGACGACATAGATGACACAGGTTAAAAGGCGGAGCGTGATTGGTCAGCTATGTCTTATCGCTGCTTTGTCGTGCCTTTGTCGGGTAGAATGATCGACATACTGTCGGAATGATCGACATACTGTCGGAATGATCAACATACTGTCGGAATGATCGACATACCATCCGAAACTTAAAAGGTGCCGTTAGCTTGTCGAGAGGTCAACCCAACATAGGCACGACAAAGCAGCGATAAGACATAGCCGACCAATAACGCTTCGCCTTTTAACCTATGTCATCTATGTCGTCCCGACAAACAAACAATTTCAACAATCAGGCTGCTGGTAGGTGTGAAAATTTATGTATTGAGACGGACAGAAGCTTTTTCAACCATGAGAGATGGGAAAATGAAAAAAAAGAAGAAAGACAAAAAAAATCATTGAAATAATCTGTCCAATATTTAGATATTGTATTTCTTCCAAGGGTATTCTTACAACAATTCATTTTCGTTATTTTCATGCATTTTCTCCGCTGTATAGGAAGCCTCCTTACACCCAAATCTTGGTGGGAGGGAGGACTTACTCTGCGGAGGCAGAATTCCCTGGAGGGTATTTCAAGGAATCTCCTTAAATTGAATCAAATTAACCCTTCAAAAGCAGCTTTTAAGATTCTTGAAAGTGGAGAGGTGTTATTGGTATACCTTGCCCTCCCCAACTGGTACCCCTCATCCCCTAGCTATTTCTGTGCTGATATAACAACCGAATACTCACCAGTCGTCATTTTTTGACTGTGTTCGGCTCCCTCTATCTCCCAGTCAAATATCCCCTTCTGACTGGAATGGATTGTATAAATAAACAATACTGGCTAGTGTCATGACGAAACTACCTACGGAGTTTAAAGTTGTTTTGCTTGACATTGATGTAATCAAGTGCAATACCTTGTTACCTAATCATAAAGTGCACCGCATGATGCAAAGATATTGCATCACGAAAATTAGTGAGAAAAAATTTTGCCATATCTTTTTCGTATTTTTTGGCACATCTGCTGAATTTTTGAATCCCTTAGAACACAAGCCTGAAATATCATAAGCCGTGGCCTGGCGCCTTGCGGAAATGGCATTTTTTGCGTAATCCGCCTCAATTTTCGGTGTTATGCGAACTTTTGAAAGTTTTGCCAAAACACAGATGACGCAAAAATTAACCTACGTCATATCCATGGTTGTCAGCTAGGCGTTTTCGCAAACAATTTACCCCTTCATTTTCACATAGGGCCATTTTTTATTGGGTTTTTTGTAGTAATTTTTTTGTTTATTATCCACTAATTTACTGTAGAACCGAAATTTTGCGATGAAACTGTGTGATTCATCGACATTTCATTGACGTAATCAGATATTTTCAATTTTTCAACTTGGCAACCACGCCATTCGCAGCTGCATGCGAACTGTTCTAGAATCGGAAGCCATTGATAATCTGATAAGTGTAGCCTCAAGGTGAATTTATTGTTCGTGCGATTCTCACGTTCTCGGTTGAAATTTTAAAGAGCTTTTTCGCTTTTTTTCAATTTCAAATTTCCTAGTGCAATATGCCACGACGTGGACGATCTCCATCTCCCTCCAGGTGCGACTTTTTACTCGATTTTTAGATGCCTTTCCTTGACCCACTCCCTAGGCCACTCTGCATGGCTTTGTCAGATTTCTTTTCTACCTAAAAATCTGGAACCTTGACGATTCTCATTAATAGAATTTCTCAATTAGTGCATCACGAATAATTGCAGTAGTTTTTCTAATTTATCCAAGTTGCGGGATATTAAGATACCTCCTAGTTCGATAAGGCTCAATGGGACCGTGAGCTTGTACTTTCACCTTACGATGTAAAGTTCAATAAGCCTCTTCAACTGACTGCCTCGCTAAATTGGGTCTTATTTTCGCCTAATAATTTCCTTTCGAGCAGAACCTTTGGCTCTTACGCTTCAAGCTTTTGAATGTCCTGACAGAAAAAGTGGCAATGATCCCATTTCCATGCGCTCAATGTTAAGTCCATGTTACTTAAGTTCTTCCACAAGCTCTTGGAGTGAAGAAGAAGATCTGCTTTTTTATTTCCTGCGTTTACTTTCAATGCTGAAACAAAATTGAAGGCACTCAGAAAGTGTGGCAAGGCCAACAGTTGTAAACTTGTTCTCATAATTTAATCATCCATGTGATATCCTATGGAAGAGGTTATATTGTGGTAATGGTAGTCGCTCTACTAGTGCCACACTGGTTTATTAATCAATTCGCTTCTAGTTTGTCCTCTTCCTTCCTTTAATGAATTTTATGTACTCTCTCATTGGTGAGGCTGAGGCTTATTTATGATGATTTTGTAGTGCCTGCAGCCGGATCGTTGAAACTTAACTGGCTATGTCGGCACGATAAGACAAGACATAGCCCTATCTGCGCCGTATAATATATCGATTTTTTATTCTTGTCGTGCCGACATAACTTTCAACAATCAGGCTGCAGAACTCATTTTCATAAAGGACTCTGCAAGCACTGATAATTCATTTTTTTTGCTATCTTTTAGCGCATTAAATATTGGAGACTCATAAATTTTGCACAGTGGTAGTCTCGAGATTTTACTATTTTCCATTTTAGAAACAACAAAAACCATAACCTCACTGTTCTACAAAACAAATTGATCCTGTTCTACTTCATTTTGATGAATATGCATGCTCTTGAAAATGGAGAAATTTCATTCACAATTTCAGGTTTAAACTGCTTTGAGCTCTTTCCTAGTCGTAAAATCAATGTTTTGATTCAATTTTTTTCCTGACATTGTTTGAACCATACTAAGAAACGATGAAAAAGTTTCTGAACAATCTGAACCGAAGTATTCTCTTTTTATACGGAAAACTGTCCCCAAAAGTTTTCAGTTTCACAAGCTCTTTTGTTACCCAAAAAGCTAGTTTTACCCTCCAACATACTTACTTAGCATTTTGATATATGAGTGCTTTGCTTTGTAAACAGTCCAATCCTAACTCTTCTTTTGTATTTTAATTTTTGTAAAGGATGTCAGCCTATACGTCTGATAGAAAAGTTCCTTAATTTCATATTCCATTCCTCAAGAAAGAATTTAAAAATCACTGAATGAATATCTCCATTGGTTCTCTTTTATCAGAGGAAATATGTAAGGTAGAATTGAAATATTGCAGTAGAACAACACACTTTTGGAAGCAAGCCATTCCATTCTGATCTTGCTCATGTCTGATATTAATTTTTCTTTTGCAGGGGATCCTACCCAGCTCGTGCTGCCCCAGCACGCGCTGCCCCAACGCAGCCAGCTGTACACCAACCACCCCCATCTCAACCAGCCATGGCCCAGCCCCAGCAGCCTAGTCTCTTCAAACAAATGGCTGCAACAGCTGGAGGAGTTGCCGTAGGATCAGCTGTCGTAAGTTGCCTCCTCAAGCTATTATCCTCTCAGTGCTCCCTGTTAAGCACGCTCGCCATACTGGCAATTGAAATTCATGCATACATTTGATTTAATATCGAGAACAAGGACTTCCCTTAATACTAGCTGGATTTACAACTGGTACTCTATTGGATTTTTAAGATGATTTTGTAGGGTGGAAAATCGAAAAGAGGGAAAAAAAATAACAGGGAAAAAAATTAACACTTGAACTTTTAAATGGTAGCGCATTGCACTCTGCTAAAGTGTATTCCAAAATTGCGGAGTTCTCTGTAAGTATTCTTTGTTTAGTCCAGATGCTTGGAGAAAAGCAGTGTTTTCCACGTAAGCACTTCTCGCTATTATCTCTATCTAAAATCTAATTGAACCTTAAGGAATCCTTAGACAACTGTTCAATACTATGACTGCATTTTTGTGTAGGGACACGCTGTTGGACATGCTCTTGTCGGTGGATTCGGCGGAGGTGACAGACAGCCAGCGGAGCAACAGGCAGCTGCTCCAGTCCAGCAGTACCAACAGCCAGCCCAACAAACTGGACCATGCTCATGGGAAATCAAGCAGTTCCTCCAGTGCGCTGAGAGCCAGTCTGATCTCTCTCTCTGCTCCGGTTTCAATGAAGCCATCCGTGCTTGCAAGGAAGCCAATGGCGGTAAGTAACTACTCAAATGTATTCTGAATGTCCATTCTATTTGTCAGAACAGCTTATTTCAATTACAAGATCAATCTGCATAGGTCAGTCTAACACGGGTGCCTAAATTTCTCAACATCATAAGGAGTAATGAGCAGTGAGGAAACCCTTACAATAACAGGAAAAAATAGGGAAACTTCCAGAAATGGGGGGAATACCACTGACTTTTGCAGTGTTCTAGCAGTAGAAAGGTCTGATTTTTTTAAAGACATTTTTCCCCTAAGGGAAAAGCAATAATTTTGGTCAAATTTTGGGGCAGAGTTTATTGACTTTGACTGTGCAAGTGTTGGAATGATGATAATCTGGATGATGACAAAGCACAAGTTGCATTCTTTGCTTGGTTATTTTTGTGAATTTTTAAAAATCCCTTTCAAATCCATCCTCTAGAATTTTATGGAAAAACGTTATATTCAATTTAGCCAAACAAGAATGTTGCCAAAAATAAGTGATTCAGTTTTTGGCAAGAGATTTTGCGCTCCTCACCTGAAAGAGAGCCTCACTCATCTCCTAGACTTGCTTAGGTAATTTATTATTATTATTGTGCACTAAAATTGTTGAGTAACGTAAATATTATGCCAACTTGTCATCATAAAAAGTGTTCTCTTATCTTTTGCTCCATTTGAAATGACAACTTCTTCCTCAGTGTTAAATGAAATGCTAATAAAATCTCTGTGGCATTGAATACTGCACTCATCCTGCCACAAGCAAGGCCTCTCAAATTGTAGGAGTGAATTTTAATCATGTCTCAGCGCTAAAATAACCTCCCAGGAAGTGTGATCATTCTAGCATGAGATTATTATGAATCCATTTCATCCATAAAATGCTTACTGCTCAACGGGAGAGAGGGTCTGAGCCTGCATCACAGGTGCGTTACGTTCTCTGGCATGGACGGTAGCGCCGATTTTCGAAAATCTAAGGTGGAAAATCAATGCGAGGTGGCAACTTTTTAGGGGGTTGTAGACCTTGCATGAGAGTACATTACAAGGGGCAGGAGGGTCCAAAAATCTGATTTTCAGAGTTGTGTATTTTATGAACGGACCTGTAGTAACATTTTTCATACAAGGTGATATGATGGAAGTTGAAAAATTACCTTTTCAAGAGTTCTTGATAGTTTAACTTTAAGGCTTAATTTTATTTCTGGTGGCCTGTTTTTTTTTCGAACTTCTAATTGAACTGAATTGTTTTTTGTTTCAGTTGCCATGTAATGTGATAGGTTGAAGAAAGTGCGTTTAATAACCGTAGACCTCCTAGTTCCACGCTTTTCTGAGACCCTGCTTCTGCTTCCAACCTCAGCAGAATAAAGATCCAGCAAATGATTTGGGAATAATCAATTTTTTATTTTGTTTTCAATTTCTCTGCGTTTTGTTTTACCAATTGTTAGTTTAAAGTAATGATGTTCTTCTTGATCAAACAAACATCCCAGGCTTGATTTGTTTTCAGAGTATAACATGTTGATCAAAAAAGAGTGTTCAAGACCTGTAATTCTTTAGAACAATAAAACGAAGAACTTACAGTTACTGTTTCAAGTGTTTTGATCTGATCCCCTCCTTCAAAATCTTTTTTCCAAATAGTTCAGAACTCATACTCAATCAGATTTTTAATTTCGGGAGGAATTACTTCTTTATGCACTAATTCATTTAAGAACTTCAAAAATGTTAAGTCAATTGAATCAGAGAAAACAAAAACACGAAACAAAAACTTGAACAAAATCAAAATACACATAAAACTTCACTTCTAGGTGAAGAAGTTAGATTTTTGCTACTGAAAGACGAAAACTTATGGACACTTTAAAGGGTGTTTTCGTTTTCACTGATTCAATTACAGATGCCTGCAAAAGACCAAGAGATAATCAGGTATTCAAGCATGATGTCTAAATATTTTGACTATGCTCATTCCCTGATTTTTAGGAGCTTCTTCCCTTCAAAGGAATGGAAGTTTCCTTCCACTTTGCCAAGATTTTCTTGGAGAAAATTTATAAACATAATCTGTTGGAGTTCTAGATGTGAACATAAGTTTTTTTTTTATCCTCAAGAGGATTCTTTAACGCACCTTCGGATTTTTAATTCGACAAGGGCTCCTGATGTTTATATTATCTTATCAATGAATATTCTCTATTATTTCCGTTATATATTTGTCTGCAGAACACATATTCAAGTTACATTAAAGTTTTGACAAAAGTGGAATTAGCATCTAGACTTCTTAGTATATTAGACGCAATAGCTACCCTGTCCTTTTTCCAGGCCGGTCATGAAAGGAGAAACAAAAAACATCTGAGCCATTGCATTAGGAAAATAGAAGTTTTTAATGAATGATGTAGAACACAAAAGAAGTTGAAAAATTACAAACATTGCCGAAAGGAAGTTTGATTAAAAAAAGAAGGATGCTGTAAATAATTGTCACTAAAAAGTGCAACTTATGCTATTCAAAAACAATTACTGTTCCAAAATCACCCATATAGTCTACTCGTAAGGGGTTAAAGGATGTGAAGCTCGATTCCTCAAGAAACAAAGGATTGGTGCTCGAAAATAAAATCAAGGAAGCTCACAATGTTTAGAATGCGATACCGACACATGATAGAGAATTTGCTGTGCCCCAAAAAAGCTTAAAGAGGAATTGATGATGTAAATAGATGAGCCGGCAAAACTTACTGAAGTACGAATCTTGGGAAGATTTGCATTTAATATTACTTGAGTTGGGGAGCAAAAAATTCACAAAGGGACCTTTTCAAGGCTGCAAAGAAATATTCTATATGAATGACTTATAAAAATATCTGAAAACTTGACTGCAACCAGCAATTGAGCCATAAGTTTGACTAGAACTGTGAAAAGGAACCTTATCTTCCGGGTGAGAATTTTCCACAACTTTTTGCTGACACTTAAACCATGCTTTTCGACGACTTGAAAGCTTTGGTTTAGGAGCTTCAGGACTAATATTTCCTTCGATTTTTGAGGTCAAACTTGTGCCAAAATTTCCAGATTTTCTTGTAGAGAATCAAAGAACCTTTCCTCTCAGCAGATAAGGTGCCTTTTCACAAATATGTAAGAATGTGATCGTATAACTTCTAGTCGTGTGCCTTTGCAAGAAAGCTCGGATTCTTATTCCTAAGAGGACAGCTTTGTAGGAGACATTGTTCTCTCCTAAAATGACCTTGTAAATATTACACTGCAACATTTACACACGCAAGAGTTTGTCCATCTCTTAGAATTTTTATTTAAAAGGATGCGGTAAGACACAAAATGGCATTTAGAGGACAGCTGGAACGTCATTTCAGGCTAGTTCTCATTTTCAATAGTATCTATCGGTTGAAAAGACTAAGCCCAAGCCATAGGAAATATAAAATACATCAAGAAATGTGAGAAAAATTAAGCAAGGTCCTCTCCCTGAAAATTGAAAAATCTTGTTGAATTAAAATCACAATCCTTAGACCTCCGTGGAGTAGAGTACAAAATATAAATATCATTGAAGAATTAACTATTCCGTAAACATCTGCACATATTCGATACAAAAACTGAGCTTTGGTAAAATTTAGATGACGGCCGTTCTCTAACATAAAAGAGAGATTTTTTGAAATTTTTGAGAGTAACAAATTTTTGCACAATTTTCGATAACGATTTCTATCAAGACGTACGCTCCAATCCATTCTATAGAATTGAAAAGCAAAATAAACGACCCTGCTAGATAACAAAAATAATACAATACGAATTTACCGAAATAAAGAAGAAAAAGAAAGAGAAAAAATATTTACAATGATCAAAGATATCAGCTTAACATTAAGTATTGATAAAGGTTTCGACGTTTTAGGAATACTTCAAGGCAAAAAAAAAAAAAAGATATGAACTCCAATGAGAGTAATAATTGTGTGACTTAAAAATATAGAATAAAGAGAGCAAATGCTGCGATATGATTTTTAGTGGGAGGAGGGGGAAGGCATTCTAAGAGCACTAGTTGCTCTGTTGAGCAGATATAAAGGTTCTTAAAGAGTAAAGTAAATGAAAGTAACCATGATATTCTTTGTCTGAATTCATTAAATGGACGATGATTTGTTCAGGCTCGGAATTTTGTTGCGACTTGGGCAAGGAACAAACAAAATTACTATCTTGTGCTGACAGTCACAGGGTCAGATACTACATCACATGATTTCCTGCTTCTTGAGTGAACTACCAGTGACATCAGATTATTAGAGGACAGTATTTTAAAAAGCCCTGAACTGCGCAAGAACAAAAGCTCCCATCAAACTCATTGTCAGTCTCTGGGAGTCCAAAGCTTGATCTCAGTTGGATAAAAACCAGAGAAGAGGCTCATCTCAGCAGGCACTGGTAGCTCAATCATCAAGTAATAAAACTATTAAGTTACAAAACAAATTTGTATTGAGAGATAAATAAAAATAATTATACTAAACTCATGTAACTTAACTGTCAGAAAATACTAAGCGGTTTCTCGCAGCTAATAAGGATCTACTTGGGGCAGTTTTAATGTTGTTCGGACGATCGATGATGAAATACTATGGTAATTTGGACAAAATTCAAGTCATCAATTCAAAATTAATTGAAGCTCTGACTTTCAACAATCAACAAACAAATGCCAGAGAGCATAATATGTAAATTCTTGAACAAAAAGCACAATTTGAGCACCTGAAGAAAAAAATTATTAGCTTGGGGAACAGAGCAGATCACTTGGGGAAAAGAGTTACTTTAACTTGTTGTTTGAGTAACAAGAAGTAAACAGATGATTGCATCTGTGAGAAGGACATTATTACTAATTAAACCTGCTTGACTTGATATGTTTCAATATTCTTTTGACATTTTAATGATTCAAAATGAAGCCTATCCCGATAGGATCTCTCAGATGGACAAAAAATTGCTGAGCTACAGAGAGTGAGACATATCTGTCAGAAATTAACAAAGACCGTAGTCAACAGATTATAATGGCGATCTTACAACGAAGCTATCATTAGTTTATGATTTGAGCTTCAAGTATTATAACAATTTGATCACTGATGCAATTGACACATAGAACGGATTTTTGTGTGCAAAATTAGCAACACTCCAAACTCAAAAAGAAGTCGAGTGAAATTGAAAATTCTCAAGATTTTTCAACAAAAAGTACTGGTGCTTAAGTAGTTAAATAAGTGGCTGAAACCTTTTTCCAAAAAAATATGACAATTTATGGTTCAATGATATGATATGAATGAACAGTACGGAAGCACAGTGAACAATGAACGATACAGACAGTAAAACGTTAAAAGTTACTGGTCATTTAAAAAAAAAATGCCTAGAAAAATGATAATAATATGTATTGCAGTCAGTGACTAGGCTTTCATGTCCTTCTCACATTCATTGATTTAATTTTGATTACAAAACAATAGATATGCTTATGGGTACATCTAGAGCAATCAATGAACACTAACTTTTCTTTAAAAGTAGACAGAATTTAAGACACATACAACCTAAAAATTACTTAAAAGTTGACCCCAGTGAGGACACCTATTAATGAACTTTGGAGGGACACACAAAAAATCCTTGGCTTTATAGACTTGAGGTATTTTCCCTATTTCTCTCAGATTTGAGTAACTTGAAATAATTTCAACTACAGGACAAACCTTACGCTCTGTAAACACTGACTACAGACACTGAAAGGCTACCTAACAATAATTCTTGATTTCTTGCTTTCTATCTTTCTCTCACACTATAAGATGGAAAGTTCGGGAGCGATTTCAGTTTCATTGTTGAAAGCAGCTTTCATTTTTAACCAACAACAGCATGCTCTTCTGAAATAGCAGCAATGCAAAATTATCTCCTAAAACAAATGGACGTATTTAAATCAAAAGGAACTACATATATCCATTCTTACAAGAGCCCTGCGATCCATAAGAATACATACGTGACAGAGCTCATGTTATGATGGATATATGTAGTTGTTTTTGATTTGAATACGTCCAAATGAGGAGAAAAAACCAAGCAAAATGTTCCTGCATGTATTTGCGCTTAGGGCGGCGGAAAGGAACTTAACTATTCGTTTTCATAAATTTTTAATATGCTAAGGGAAAATGTGCCTCCCCTCTACATATTGACCTCATGAAAGTCTTGCATTCTTAGGACATTTGGTGAGAAATTGAGAAGGGAAAAACTAATCTGCCGAATCCCTCCGAAGTCCAGTGAGGCTAACTTAAAGGAGTCATCTTTACAAGGCTCACTGGGCTAGTAAGTGACCCAGGAAACCATCCCAGATCAAAAAACACACAGCTAATCATGACAGAACCTGATCCAAAAACCTGCAGGTCATCATTGAGGATTAGCAAACACGAATCAAGGCACTTGATAACTGGAAGACTATGTGTTCTGGGCTAGAGAGTATACTGATATTACACATTACAATAAGGCAGCTGGCGAAACGTGGTACGCACGGGTAAAAAAAAAAAAAATAGAAACATCATACTTACATTAAAGAAAAAATCTAGACAAGTGATGCAAAAGTGAGAGCAAGCATTCAAAGCCTCTAATAGTTCCCTCGGAAAAATCTATTTGCCGTCTTAAATGAGTCTGTTACGCACAAGAAGCCTGCTGTCCCAAGCAGATACGCCATAGCCCCATTGTAGATTTTACAATTCTTTCCTGGCAAAATGTTTCATCGCAGAAAAGCTAACGAGCATTCATCCTTGAGAATTCTGGAATATCTTTGACATACTACTGAGAATTCGAACTGAGAAAATTGAGCAGAATGGATATCAGTCTTTTTTGCAGGAGAACAGAATGTGGGAAAGGAAAATGCAAAATCTTGAATGGAGTTACGACGTTTCAGTTGTGAACAACAGAAGTATACATAAGTAGTTAGTGTCCTACATTACTCGTTACTGACAGATTCGCACGAAAATCACCATGAACACATCAACAATTTCTGAAATGTATTCCTTAATGCCTAATTTTCTTGGTCTACATCACCTATTTTCAAATTTCCTATATCTACGGGCACTTCTTTATTTGCTGTTGGCAACCAAGTTTGCCCAGAAGGAGATGTAAAATACCTACCATAAATAAACAAACAATTTTGCGAACTCTTCTCGATCTAATCAGAAAAGATTTTCTGTTACAGAATTTTAAAAGCATCAGTCTTCATTTTCAGAGTATTTTATCAAATTAGGAGAATTTCGGTAGTTCCGAGGGAGGAGGTCTGAGGTTGCTGTGACCTTTGCATTTTGCTATTGGTGCTCCACAACTTCCAAAAAGAGCACATACTTCCTTTTCTTCAAGTTTAAAATTTTGAGTAAAATTTTATAAGGATACAAATGTAACCATTTTTTGAGTTTCCATCAGGGCCTCAAAAAGATGAATAAAGCAAGCAGTTTTCAACACAGTAGGAAATTCGTGGCAAAATTTGCAACATGAGATATTGATAGTAATTATCATTTGTTACAGGTAGCAAGGAATTTATTTTAAAGAAAATCAGGTACCTGAATGTTCCTGATGAATCTGGTTATGATTTCGTGAGTTAAAAAGTTGGATTTTAATTTGTTCGAAATCACACAGGGAGAAAATTTTAGAATGGGATAGTGGCAAGGAATTTTTATTAGGTTATAGTGTGGTTTTTCCAATGTAAAATGTTGAGAAAAAACCAAAACGCTCATTAAAAAGTTCAAAAGAGCACAAGGAGAGAAAAAGCTAATCAAAATCTGACGAATCTAAAGTCATCAGTCGAGTTGACGTGGCAAGGTGAAGCCTAAAGCTGAGATCAGCCAAACAGCAAACGCCGTTTCCCCCGCCTTGAAAGGTCATCAGAGCCAAAAATATCGTTTCGAGCTGGTCCCACTTATAGCAAATGGACTTTCTTTGCCACTTTGGGGTTAAAAAATCAGAAAAATTCCTTTAAACTTAGTTCAATCTGTACTTTCAAAAAAAAGCATCTAGAAAAATGGCTGCCGCTAACCCACTTAGATTTTCTTTTTTTTCTTTTTACTTGCAAAAAACCCCAACATTTAAAATAGCAAAAGCTAAGCAAAATAGCATCATCTACAGTGGACATTTTTAATGTGCCTTGTCAGTGAAAGATACTAAGGCATTTCTATCCTGATTTGATTGAGACTGATATAATCCTAGACGGAACAGTTGAAGCATGTCAAAAGAATGCTAGTTACACTTAGATACAGTCATTACTCATCTACAGCTTATAAACAGCTGCAAAAGAAACATTCTATGTATTGGTAAAGTAGCTATGTGCTTAATATGCCAAGTGTTTTTCAAAATGGCGAGGCCATTGCATCAAGTTCATTAACATCCATCATCTATTCGACTACTTTGCTAACCTACAGTATTTATCCTTCAAAACTGCTAATCAAAATTCATTTCTTAATACTACCTGACTGAGATTAAAATTAAATTAATTCACTTATTCCACTGAATCAGTATACACTATTTCAATCTTCCACTTGATAGAGCATTCAACTAATTCAGGGTTGGATACTGTTAATAATATCAATGTGTCGAAAAGCTGTAGAAATTTTGCCAAGAATTCCCAGGAAGTTTACGTAGAGCATCATCAGCGAAACAATATTTACAGTTTCAATAAAGAATCTCACTGAAGAAAAATGTACAGACTTAGAATGATTAACAAGTTACAAGAAAAATACATCACTCAACAGCGAAGCCGCACGTTTCTTCAACGGCTTGGCTTAGCTTCTCGTAGAGGGTCTGGTAGGATTTATACTGAGGGAGATCAATCCTATTAAAACATGTGTGCGCCTTGGGTAAGTTTTCTTGCGGGGCATCAATCACATGGATGGTGAATAGTCGGGGTCCTGCAGCTCCTGTTGAACCTGTAAAAATTACAAATTGGTCAAAAAGCAATGTAAAAGCATTCTTAAAATATTCTCGGAGTTCATGGCTGGAGGTCTGACACAAAATGGGTCACTAAACCTTATGTTTTTATTTAATATTCTGAAATAACCATTTATTAGCATACTTTTGGAACCAAAATCCTGAAAAAGACTACTTTTAAAAAGTTTAGACTCGAAGGAATTTCAAATGCGCTGGAATGGCGGACAGAGATCGTGGTGAAGTATTGCGACAATCAAATCGCTATCTCCTCTCATTTTCCATTGATGTTTGATAAAATAAAACTAATTTTAATGTAGACTTGATGCTTGTTTCTCATAGATAACATGAATGAGATCAGCTTATTAAAACTACAGATATAGTTATATAGTATAGTAGAGAGACATTTGACGGAAGTATTGGCGGAGTCCATGCTCACTTCTGATTGATGCCGGATAACAATATTCGGTTTGGCACGAGAAATTTCGCTTTTCAACTGCATATTTCTCGAATTCTGAGTTACTTTTTCGCGTTTTTAATGAGCGCATTGTGTTCTACGCGTCATTTACCAATGGAAAAATGTATTAGCAAGTCAAGATTTGTTCATAATTTGGTGGCCCATTAGTCATTGTCACAATAAATGTTTTACCATCGTGAGGGAGCAGGTACTTGGACTTCAGTACATCAGTATTTTAACTGATTTCAATACTTCTTCAGCTTCTTCAGGGCACAAACACTAATTGTCCGACAACTATTGTATCAAGCACATGTAAAAGGAATAAAATAGATAAAAATGTATGTTTGCCCTAATGGACAGCCATGAAAAATTAAAACAAGAGAAAAATTCATTTATCTTCTGGGGATGACAACCTGCTCTGTGCCCATCTTTGAGGCAGTCTTCCGGGCATAATTCTACACTCATGAGCAAAAAATATGAAAAGTATTACAAAATTTTAACACAAACCTTGCAATGCTTTAAAGCCTTGAAGAGGGACTCTTGAACTGCCAGTGACAAATTGTAATAGTCGAGCTTTCATTTCTTCGCTATAGCTTTCAACTATTTCCCAGAACCACTTCACAACAGGTGTGTCTGCAGTGCAGTGCTAAAAAACACAGAAGAGAAGAATTGCAATTAAAATCGACAAAATTAAAAAGCTGAGCTCTCTGGTAAAATTAATTTCTTCCTCTATTAATTACACTTAAAGTGACTTGATAGCACTGCGCAGAAAAAATTTCCCATTCGAGGAAGTGAATGTCTGATTTCAAAATTCATCAGGGACGAATTTAGAGACAAGAAAATGACCTAATCTTCTCTTTAATGAATCACTTTGATTTTCCAGAGAGAAGGAACAAAATTTTTAACGCGCTATCTGCACCTTCAAAGTTATCTTACTGCAAGAAAAAACCCTTAATAAAATTTGATTTGAATCAGAAAATCGCCGATTAAGTTTTAATTTTGACCAAAGCAATACTTTCATACGTGAAAAACAGAGAAAATTTTCACCAAAAATCTAACTTTCGGAGCGTGTGACTTAACCCTTACCACTCATGTATCGGATGTGGTCCGACAGTTTTATTTTCCCGTTCCGATCATGTGTCGGACCTGATCTGACAAACCTCTTCACCTCGCGTAAGCTCATGTGTCCGACATAGTTTGCCGCCTCTGTCTTTTGCAGCGATCTATCGGATGTTTGGAGAACTACGTCCACAGCTGTCAACAACTGCGTCATTGCGCTGTTTTGCGCTAAATTGCGCCTAACCTCTCTTGTGTTTTCGGTGTTGTCGGCCCTCCAAACTGCCATTTTAAATATGATCTGGGAGAGAGGTTAGGTGAATTTAATTGATGAGTGATAAGGGTTAAAACTGCTACTTCAGCTGTAATTTGATTTTGAAGGAAAATAATCAGGCCACTCGGCCGTGTTACGGAAAGGTGCTGTGTGAAGTATTAATAGATATCTAGAGTGAAAAATGAATGAGCCAATTCTAAATCATAGTTTTAAATAATTGTCTTTAATTTTCTTTTTCCAATTGTCTTTAATTTTCTTTTTCCAATGTGGCAGAAAGTGCATTAAATTTAAGATTTAAAACAAAGGCTTGTATTCTTCTTTAGGAATAAGTGTGTAAGGCAATTTAAGGTTTCAAAATATCTCTAGGTTGCGTAAAAGCAACTCACGAGTGCAATTTCATAAGTGCATTTCTGTATGAGCCAGTTAACGAATGCTCTTAGGTGTTTTCATGCTCATCCCAGACTCCTCTAACGGCTCTTTGCTGTACCACAACAGTATATAGTCCAAATTCATGGCGTACCTTGAGTCTAGTATTTTGCTTCCAGTCGTTAATATCGATTGATCCTAGACCCCCGATGATCAACTCGAGCTCCCTTTCGTCAAAGGGACGCATCAGGTGGGCGGGGACCACTTCAGTAAACCCTTTGTGTAGGGCCAGGAACTGCTGCTCAATGCCTCGCATGAACCGATAATTAACATACAATCTGAAAATAAAACAAAAAGTTTAGAAATACAGATCAGAGGTTGATGACAGGAATAAATCAGTACTAAGTGAGAACGGACTCTTGGATTTTAAAAGTAATAAAAAAAGACTGTGTTGAATTTTTGATATATTTTGTCATTACTCCTTTGATTAGTATTAGTGAATTTTCCCTGGGTTAAAATAGAAAAATGACAGTAATTGATTCACCAATTTTGTTTGCATCAGTGAAGCTATTTGAATAAATACATCATGCCAACGACCATGTTCCAAACTAACAACCTCTGCTCCAAAGTAAGGGAACTAACTTATTTCCTTCACTGTCCTTTGGCCCCAAGATGTCATCATCTAGGTTCAACTCAAGAAGTCGTTTACTTATCAGTTTCCCTTTAATTGAATGTATTTAAGGTGATTTGATGGACGCCATATTTAGTGTCAGATCGGCATGCAATATATCGCATCAATTGGTTCCATTTTTTCAGTTACTTGTCATTTTTCTCCAATTTTGAGATCGCAATTCTGTTGTCAGGAGACTAAAGCACTCACTTACCAATTTTAACAAAGAAATTCAACGTAATTAAGGCGTGGTTTTTTTAGAGAGAAAATATTGCTTTCCAGTGCAGTTTCGATATCAGTATTGAATGCAATGTTTTCTCTCTAAAAAAATCACGCCTTAATTACGTTGAATTTCTTTGTTAAAATTGGTAAGTGAGTGCTTTAGTCTCCTGACAACAGAATTGCAATCTCAAAATTGGAGAAAAATGACAAGTAGCTGAAAAAATGGAACCAATTGATATCGCATGCCGTTCTGATGCAAAATATGGCGTCCATCGAATCACCTTAAGCTAAAAGGAACTGTGTTGCACACAAAATTTCAAAATTAGTACAAATAATCGGATTCCCAAAAAATTTCAAGGTTAGCAGAATTAATTTCCTTACTTGACGTATTCTTTCTTGTTTTCCTCAGTCACAGGAATATCACGGCCGCCTGCTTTTAACTCATGGACTTTCAGCACACCGAAACTGTCTACTTCAACTGCAAACGTTGTGTCGATGATATCTGGCAACGTATTGGTCCTAAAACAGGTATAAATGCCATTCAAAATCAGTCACAGATACAAATTCAATACCTAAAAGAAGAGACGGAGAATTTCACCCTTGAAAAAATTAAAATAATTGATTTCACAAGTAAGAACAGTGAACAAAAATCTAAGTCTGAATGCATCAGGACCAAGGGTTCACTCTGACTAACAGTTAGTGGAGTATCCGAAATAAACGGATTTTGTATTGGAAAAACAAAACAATGGGACCAAGCAATCATTACCCAGTTGACAGGGTTTCCAACTTACGCCGGTTCAGACTTAGTGAGGTTTATCAGTAATTCAACAACAAATGAGAAGGGGTATAGAGTGCCTCTCAGATTAGATACGGAAAAATTGACGTAAAGTCATAGTCTCCGGTGCTTACAGCTTATAATCATCATCGTAAAGGGGAAAAACAAGTCAATTTAAAGGCTGAGAGATTTCTGCATTCCTGCAGTCACACTAACACTTTCACTGAAAAGCGAGAAATAACTTACAGCATCCAAGTGAGGCTGCGATGGAGTTCTGGATCAACTTCTTCAATATCTTCCAGAGTGATCGGTTTATTGAGGAGCATTTTGTAAAATGGTGTGGTGAACCCACCGTCAATGTAATGACCATGAAAAACGGCTATTCCGATGATTCTCCCCGCAAAATGGAAGTATGATAAGTGCTCCTGCAAAAAAGAAATATACATTAAAGATTGATGATGTAACGGCTCATAGTTTCTTTGAGGGTGCAAAAAGTTCCAAAACGTTTTTCTTGACTCAATGATCTTGAAAAGTATAATTTTGATACACCTGTCATGATTAAGTAGGAGTTTATAGCAGAGGAAACCATAGATCAGATGGCTTTCAGGTTCAGGGGACCAGTGAAAAAGTCCTTAAACAAACGATTATCAATAGTCCGATTTTGAAACCTTCAAAAGGTTCTAGACTGTTTCATCTTTGGTTGAAAGATACATACATGTCGATGTTAAATGATACAGGATAGAGTTAGGGGAATTGGCAAATGATTTCATTTACAAAAATCTGAAGTGAGGTTTAACTTACAGGATTGACTCCACTATCAGGATTGATTTGAAGGGTGTAATTATCTTCTCTAGAATACTGGAATAGACCATACTGTGGGTTCAGCATCTCATGCGACAAAAGATAGAGCCACTCTCTTGCGACGCCTCCGTAGTCCAATCCCTCTTCACCTCGGAACTTGACCATCAATCGTTTCCGTAAGTCTTTGGGTTTCATTTTCATAATTAACCTATAAGATTCCTGGAAAATAGAAAGACAACAACAAAAAAATTGAGAACTATTTTTTCCAATCATTATGACCAAAAGTAGTAAAGTTAGAATTTGGGTATAGTAAATAAACTTATTACTTAAATAGTATGTTTCAGAATTCGTAAGATATTTTGAGTCCTGTGTTAAAAGCAGGTAATAGCATCGAAAAACATAATTTTATCGAAAATAATGGCACTTCATTTGTTTTTCAAAGTCATTGAGAAAACCTATAAAAATTAATTTCAATGCAATGATAAAGAACTCAATGCAAATCAAAGTTTTCCTCATTCGACAGCTGAAAGGCGTTGAGAATGCAGATGATTAAAATTGAAAATAAAAAATAATACTAAATATTCCATCAATTGAGACTAGATTTCAAAAAATGCTCAATTCATTTTATCTTTCAGGTAATTCGCGTACGTAAGGGACTAACTGATGGAATATCTTAGCAAGAAAATCTGAGTAATGGAGACAGTGATTAAAAATTTACTTAGACATTTGATACTAATGGATATTTCAGTTCTGCAAAAGCAGAAAGTTATCTCTCACTATCAGAGAAACTTCTGGAATTTTTGGATTACCTCAAAAATTTCTGCTCGGGAAACTTCTAATCGACAATGACCGGATTGAGGTTGAAGGATGGACAATTCAGCCCTGAGGACCTTCTGTTTAGCGACAAGATCCCTCCTATACTTGGGAAGAACATCGGTTTCTGTCTCAATGCTCTGCGGTGGTTCTTTGGGTGCTGGAGCTGGAGTGGGGGTTGCGGGTGTTGTTGTGCTTACTGCACCATTTGTCTGGGGCTGTGAATCCGAATTGCTCGGTCCTGGCCCGGTACCTTCAGGTGCTGGCGGTGATACTGGTACTGGTTGACTGTTGGGTACACTGTAGGTGGGCGAGGATATGCCTTGTTTCCTAGAAAAATAAAACATGATAATGATAAAACATGTTGCTTCAAACAGGAAAAAAAAGTTGTTTTAATAAGTAACTTCTGAATTACAAAATTAATACAACTACAGAGAAATCTCGCTAAGTCCAAGTATGGTTAAGACAAAAATTTCTTCGGCCCCTGGACACCACCATGAGGGACAATGTAAAAAAACTATGATTGAGACAAATTTATAACCATGCAGTACATAGAGTTGTAATGTAAGTGGGAGAGCTGACGTCACTTTAAAGCATTTTCCAGGTCCCGAATTACGAGACTCCTGAGTGATGCCTGATCACTTTTTCGATACATGATCGATTGTTTTCGATTTTCTTTGATACATAGGTAGGAGTGTTCAAACGAATTCTTGCCAGAACACTACCGGTATTGTCTCTTACTGAAACTGGCGGCAGTGCCGACAGTGGCGATGATATCGTTAACAGCCGGCCTTATTGGAGTTTTGAGAGCTCGCACTCAATGCATTGTTGCCCTGTCCATGTGTCAGTTTGTCAGATTGCCTGGCGCGTAAAATAGATGTACAAATGGCAAGATCTTATTTTCGTCAGCTCCGAAAACTCAGATCGCTATCAATAAGAGCACTCTTATCGTAACTTTTTCTTGGCGGAACTGTTTCGGTAGCTTACCGACAACCGATAGAACAGCCCTATATACGGGGACCCGGCCATCGGATGTAAACAAAGAAGATAGGAATTACTATGTAATCCACACCGCCATTTTGGATCGAACATATATCGAAAAAGTGACCTAAGCTTGGTGCACACCGGGCTTGGAACTCGTCGACCAGCGTCGACACATACATTATGACACTTACTTTTCTTTTCATGGACGTTATAACCATTGGACGTATCTGTTGATTCTCATCATTTTATAGCTTAAAAAAAAGAAAAAAAGGTTGGCACTCACTGCAAGAGATTTTTGATGACTGGCCCTGAGAGTCGTGGGTCAGTGAACTGAGTGGTTCTGTTGTTGTGGTCCACATAGTAGAGTCTGCCAGCGCCTGTTTTCCTGATCTCCCAGCCAGGAGGTAATGGTCCCAGCTCCTTGAGTAAGTCTGACTTGAATTCTCTCGGAATACGCGGATCATTCCATGTACTTGCACCCGAGGGGATATGATAGAAGTATACTTGACCTTGTTGAGTTGTTCGGAGCTCTGAAAAGAGTTTACAATCAGTTTCAACAGGGCTACAGGATAATCTGTGGGACACTGAGGGGTAAAAAAAGCTACAAAGCATGTTGCTGGGCGATTTCACTAGAAATATCGTATAATTTCTAAGACTTCGACAGTATGATTTTTACAGTAACAGCAAAAAGATATTTTGTGTTGGATACTTGTATTTTAAGCTTTCGTTACATTATGTAAGTTTAAGCTATTGTTGTTCTAAATAATCTTTTGGATATATGCCTGAATCAATGATATTGAAAATTATTTTCTTCTTATTTTTCCTTTTTTCATACTTCATTTTATTTTATTCACTTTTGCGTTTCAAGAGTATGGTGCTCAGAACTCAGACATCCTGGAGAATATCCACACACCCCTGTGGAGTTAGTAGTAGAAAAAACAACTCAATCGCCCCGAAACATTAACAGAGAAACAACTTAAAACGGGACTAATGCCGCAAATAATAAAAAGAAACACATAAAATAAAATAAGAAACGCGGGACGTTTTGCAGGGATCGCACCAGCATTTTCAACCAGCCCAAAAAAAAAAATACTTTTTTTTGCCGGTTGAAAATGCGGGTGTGATTCCTGCGAAACGTCCCGGGTTTCTTATTTTATTTTATGTTTTCTTTTCATTATTTGCGGCCTTAGTCCCGTTTTAAGTTGTTTCTTTGTTAGTAGTAGAGTGTGACCTTTTATTGGAGGACCAAAATTCAAAGTGTAAACACTGACTACGGCTCAGAAGTCCTCGATTTGTCCTGCTACAAGGGTAACATTGCATGTTACAGCCAGTTGCAGCAACTTCGAACCTATCGACACTCTTTAGAAAAATTCCACACTGACAAAGTGTGTAAAAAATCTTAAAATTATCAATAATTTTTTTTATTTTTCTTTTTCATGGGTGTTTGATAGAAAAACAGTATTGAAGAAAATTAACTGACCGTAACCAGGAGGAAGATCTCCAGGCAAATTTTCTTTAGTTGGTTTTTTGTGAGAATTCACTTTGTTCGCATCCTGCCTTCTTCTTGGTGGCGTCTGCATGTTTAAACTATTATTATTGTTCTCATTGTTGTTCTGCAGAGATCTTACTCGATCTGGAGAGGTTGTTGATGACGGTGATAGATGGATTTGAGGTCTAGAAAAAATTCAGATATTAAGATTACATAGCATGTTAAAAGAAATTCAAGAAAAAACTATCTCTTTACATTGGCACAGTTATCAATGTAAACAAATTCTCACTGATTTTTTATTTTAACTTCATGGATGAATTCATTAATTTCAGTAAAAATGTTATTTCTGATTGAAAACAAAACAATTTGAGAGAATTTTTTTCAACATCAGCAAAGGACCACTGAACAGGTTGCAAAATTAAAAACCAAAATATTTGTTACCTTATCAAAATTGTGCGTAGAATACAACGGACTCAATAGAATTTTTAAATTCACTTTACAATAAAGGAAATAACAGTTTTGGTGGTCGTTAATCCATACTTTAAGCCAACAGAAAAACTACAATTTTCTCAAGTCAAATCTAGCACTAAAGTAATTTTGGTGCATTTGAGATTGTAAGAATTTCCTACAGTAGTAACTTTTCTTGGACAAAATCAAAGATACCCATATCAGAATTGGGAGGAAGTGTAGCTGAAACCAAGCCCTACTTATTCACCTGCAATGTAAAAGTTAATTTCAGAGCTTACTCAGGAGTACATTCATTAAGGTTTTTCTGCAAGGAGTGAGTTTGAATTTACTGTTTTTAATGTAAACTATGCAAAGTTATTTCTGACTTAAAAGTTAATTTTTAAATTTACCAATATGCTCTACATGTTCTATTTTAAATTTCGATGAGAAAACATGTGCTACTTTGCTGACTTTCAAACCCTTCTAGGGGTCCATTAAAATTACCCAAGAAAAATCTACGATCCAAAACAATTACATTAGAAATTATAGGCTTTGAAACGAAACCATAACTAAGTAATAGTTTTTCTTAATTTTGAAAGATTAAAAAAAAATAGCAAAAAACTTAAAAAAAATCAATGCTGCATAGTGAATGAAGAGGGACTAGTTTCCTTAACATGATGGGTGTGAACAAGGTGTGGTAAAGCTTGCTGAGTTTATGAGCTGAGATGCTTGACATCGAGACATTCTCAAGACAACTTGGCAAGCTCATGAGACAGGCACGAACAAATCGACACCGGTTGCAGGTGTTGGCAAACAAACAGCAACTGCATCCAAACTTGAGAAGAACATTTTTATGACCCTTGTTATTTAGTTATTTCATTGTTCAGCAAAGTTAGTTTTATTTGTAGGACGATTTTTGATCTGTAAAACAGGTTTTCATTAAAAATACCTTGTAGGTCTGATCCACTGCGTTGACTTGGTCTGATGATTAACATAATACAGTCTACCAGCGGCATCTCTTCTCTCTTCCCACTCTTCTGGAAGATCCTCAGGACAGGAGAGATTACCAAGAGGATCGACCACTGCATTGTGCGTTGCTGAGCTGGAGCCATGACTACCGTCTCTTGACATAAGAGACACAACAATTTGACCCTTGACTTGCTCCGGATCATCTCCACTAGCTTTGCATAAATCTAATCTTTGATCTGAAAATAATTTAAGTGTTTTCAAATGGTTAAATAAGTTTAACAAACAATTAAACTTCAGTCTCATTGTGGCACAGTTAGAGAAACCAAAATAGACTGTATTTAGTTATTTATGCTCCTCAAAAATATTTCAAGTAAAAGCACCAACGCTATGTAAATTTCAAGTAATTTGAATTGCGTTGAAAAGATGCTGGGGTATTCAATGTAACAAACCTGTTGAGTCCATTAAAGTGAATGCTTTTTAAGTGTCAACCACCATCCACAATAGTCATGATGACCAGTTTAATCAGAAAAAGCAATAAGAGCACTGCTTTCTTACCTATCTTGAAATATTCTAAAGCGTACAGCTTATTTATTATTGGTGCAACCAAAAGGTAGCAATTGCATGGGGGAAAAATCACAAATAAAATCGTTTAAAGCCTTTGCATTCAACCATTTATTCTGTATTTCCATAGCTAAGTAGATACCAAAAATGATTGTTTGAAGAGAATAAATGAATGAAACTTCCCTGGAAATTATTGGTTCATAATGGCTTCAGTAAAAAAATTTGCTACAAAGGATTCATTGGATAATACAGTCTTAGACTCTTAAACTTCAAATCTTGAAATAGCAAGTGGAAATATTAATACTGACTCTTCATATAAATTCTTCTAAAGTAAAGAAAAAGAGACGAAAAACATGTTAAGGACTTACATCCAGTATCCTTTAGGCGATGGATTGTGTTAGACATAATTCGCACGCACCCAAGGAACCCACCTCCTTGCTTTTTATGAATTTTTTTGTGATTCCACACACTGATCGTGATTCCATCGCTCTTGCCTATGTACCTGAAAAACACATTCACGCGATAAGTTGAAGAAGTTATATATTGAAGCATTAAAAGTAAATGATTGAGGCGGTGCTTTGCTCTTCATCACGGTTCCAATTCATGGGAAGAAAGTTGATCAAATTCCTTAAAATTAAAATTAAAATCTCAACAGCTATACTGTTTCATTAGGCCTCTAAATAATAAAACAGCTGAAACCTAATTATTTGGTAGCATAACAATTATCCATTTCATTAGCAAGAAGTGACTTTTTTCCTTGCAAATAATGAAAAAAGTTTATGGGCATTACTTACTTTATGGGCAGCGTAATCAGCATCCTGTATCGTGCAAAATTTCTGTTTTTGTACTTATTTTGCTGTAGCTAAAATGTCTCATTCTTTGATTTTTACAGCCTATAGAGAACTATTTTTTGGACAAGTCAACATGTCGATGGCAAAATACAAAAAATGCGTCTATCAATTGCAACATTGAAAAGTCTCAAGTTGTGTTTTATTTTTTTCAGAATAATTCAATCAAAATGTTTCCTTTGAATTATGTGTGCTTTTTCAGGATGAGTGAAGAAAATTGACAAAAAATAAAAAATAATTTTCAATTTTGTTTATAGCATTCTTACAACATTGCAATTTGTCAACAAGAAATTTAAAAAATTCAATTTTGTTTATAGCATTCTTACAACATTGCAATTTGTCAACAAGAAATTTAAAAAAACAAACAAACTTACAAGTCGTAATGCTGATTCCACTTAGGATCAAGCGTTGCTTTGCAAGTGTCTGTGCTGAAACATTGTCCTGAGCCTTCCACACTAATTTTTGCAAAAGGGTCAGGGAGTCCTGAAACATTTACGATGAGAGTATGTGAGAAAAGATCAATAAAGATATTTCATGATGGACATCAGAACTCAAAAAAAGAAAAAAGAATTTGATGCTTCATAGGAAATTCTGTCATGATAGTGGAAAACATCTACATTGTGTTATTTATATCAATTTAGTAGTTGTGCATTTGAATCATTTGCTCCAGTCAAAAAGATGTCTGTTCAATTATAAGTAAATAAGAATTTTATATTAAGTGAAGTTTAGTGCCCTTAAAAGTTATTACATTATCTTGAATGGGGGAAAAAATACTGAACAAAACTTTCCTAATTCTGACTAGTAACTGTAAATTTTTAATTTTTTCAATTATTTATTATGATCTAGTGTGATGAAAAATCGTATGATTTATCAAAGTTTACTCCTGTGTTTGATGCAGTCCATTAAACCTGCCAAATTTTACACTTCAAAATGGTATTCTGATAATAAAAAAAGAGAAAAAAAATAGAGCTATTACTACACCAATTGCAGAAGACTGAGCAGTATTACTTGAAAGATACTTACGGAACAGATCTTTCCTTGCCAAATTACGAGCACATAAAACTGTAAAAAAAAAAAATGAAAATGTTTTAAACATTGTCCATAAGACAACTCACTTGTATAGAACGGATTATTTATAAATTATACTAGTACTCGGAGTGATGAGCTCCCAGAACACAGTATGTGTGTAAGATGATGCCTCTTGCCACTTTCCCGATACAAAAACAAATACCCATTAAATGTAGTCAGAAAAATGAAAGGTGTGATACTTTTTTGTGTGAATGACAATCAACATTAATTGGAAAAGAACTACTGAGCACATTAAAAGGTATAAACATCCAAGGTTCTCACAAGTTTTAAGTACCAAAATGTTTCACTGATGATGGGAAATTTTTTTCAGAAATTTTCCTTTAATCTTTTGAGAAAAAAACCCTCTCTCAACCATGAAATAACAACAAATTATTTTTTAAAACAATTTGGTAGAGATTTCATTCTTTGCAGCATGAAGGACTTGAAAATAATGATTGAGATATTGGTAGAAATAGTTGTAGAAAGTAAGATTGCAACATATAAAAGCTATGTTCTACAACATTGCAGGAGGACTGGCAAGCTTAAGATTTTTGCACAGCAAAAAATGAGTCGGCTTTTTGGCAATAGTAGGTGCCAAGCTAGATACGTAAAAAATTGTCATCAACTGCAATGTTTGAAGAAAATAGTAAAAAGAGAGAACCATCCCTTTCCTGAAAAAAGACTCAAAGCAAAAGAGTTATAGAAGTCCTGTTAGTTTACTGCTACTTTCAAGGGAATGCAAAAAGCTATTGTTTTAAGAAAATTCTGATTCATAAACAATACGGCTTGAACTTTGTAAGAAGGCTTGTGTTTACATAAGCTCACTTGTGTTGATAAGTTGAGAAATGAAGAGATGTCAAATTACCATGTTGACATTACTTTGGAGGGGGTAAACTCAGCTTCTTTGTCTAAATCAATTTCTTTATCTGGTGAAAAAGATTGGGCATTAGTAGATGCTCAGAGGAAAGTAGTATGCGATCAGCTAGAGACGCAGACATGCTGTAGCTCACTCACTTCGGCTGATTTCAATCTTTGTTGGTGTTTACAACAAATACTGACTCGAGTTTCAGTAAAATGGATTTGACAAAGGACCTGAATTTGAGTAAAAAAATGCAAGCCACATTGTCTGAACCTCGTTTATTACCTTCAAAGGATGCCAATATTAATAAAAATTTCATTTCTTCCAGGAGATACTGACCTGATTGGTTCTTCCTCATTCAGATGAGGCATATCATTTATATACTGTATTATTTGGATCAATCAAGTATTATGAGATATGGTGATGAGAAAGAGATGAAACTCTTTGGAATTCTGCGGACTGATGCTTCAGAGTAAAATTTAGGTGAAGCTGGTCTAACAGCAAGCAAAAGGAAATAGTGAGACGGGACAAATAAAATTGATAACATGTATTGTCATAACTTAAGACCTGACAGACAGCATGTGATAAGTGGAGAGTGGCAATCATTTGAAAAGTCTGGCAACAGATAGATAGTGAACAATGCTTGGTTTGCAAACGCTACGACTGAAATCAAAGCTTCAGAAGTTGAGGTCCATTCAATGGGTAAGGAGGTAAGTTAATAAATGAATAGTGACTGAAGGTAATATTAAATGTAGAGAGAAAATTCGACTGACTCGATAGTTGGGGTCAAAATGATAATGAGTGTGGAAAATTTTAGGAAAACTCTAAACACTGGCAGTGACAGCATTCGCTAGTTCTTACAGCCTGCCCAGCCCTGCTGACGAATGTCTGAATTGGTATCTGATTGGTGATCTTGGTTGAGACTTTCTCAGGAAGTGTCGGGAAACCATGAAAATTCATTGAAAGTGAATGAAATTGCATTTGTTATGCTTAATTAGGGAAACCCCAAGTGAAAGCCCTCCTACATAGAGGCCATATTTACCCACTGATCAGGAGTCTGATTGTGCAGGAATAATCAGGAGATTACTTACTCAAGAGCCGCAATTTCATAGTTCTACTACGACGGCTGCCACTTGGATTCGACATCATTCACCACCGTTAACGCATAGAGTCATAACTACGGACGAATATTACAAAAATTTCATTGGAATCAGTCAACTAGATCGTGCATTCGTCCATAGCTTACACTTGCATGATGAGCGCACCGACCGAAATCATGTTAAAAAGGACCCCCCACGTACAAAAATGATATGCAAATAAATGAAATGATATGGATCTCGTTGAGGAGAGAGCAACTAAGATGACACAATTAGAAATAAACTAACATAATTTACAATTACACAATCACTAAACATTGCACAGGTACCGTGAAATAATTTCTGACTCGGAAAAACAATCGCCTGTTCGCGAGGAATTAACAGTGCGAGGCTAACGCCCTCTTCACGAGAATTGGAGAAGCTCAAAATGTGCATCATATGTCAGGACTGTTGACGAAGCAAAACTGAAAATTTGTGGTTTCAGCCGAGTAATACAAAAAGTAATTATGAGTGTGCAACGCAAAAAGGTAATGTAGAAATCATAGAAAATTATTGTTTTCAGCGTTTTATTGCTCCTTTGATGATTTAAATTACAGCCTATATCTGGAAAAGTCAGAAACGTCTGTTGATAAGAATTGCGTGTCATTTGGATGTTATGGCAGCAGTGTAGTCTTGAAAGTGTTTACAATTATTTGAACTTAGAGCGGGAATATATTGGGTGCGCAACTGGTGCAACGTAGAAAAAAATGAAAGCAAGAACGCGAAGTGATGAACTGCGTTTCATTCTACTGACGATAGTTAAAGAATGAATTCAAAAGTTAAGGCTATCTCGGAGGTTTATTCGAACCATCCTTATACTCCATTCGTATTTCAATACTTTCTTCATACTGATTTTGACGGATAACCAATGTAGGTTTCACTTGGAAAAGTACATTGATTCTTATTTAAAGTTGAATGTTGAAGAGTATTCAAACTCCAGAGTATGCATGGGTGTATAAATTAACTGCAGGCAGGTGATATTGTAGGTATGGGGAACGGTTCTTGCTTTGAATAAAACGCATAATCATCAAGCAGAAGAATCTGACTATGAAGAAGAGTAAAAAATATTGCTCCTTGGCATATCTGCCCTCCTGTAGCAAGGTGTTGGAGCAGTGAAGGGCAAAATACATTTAAAATTTGAGGATACACCTCGACAAAGCCAGTATTATGATTTGATAATGGGTATAAACCTCCCTGCCTCTCGCAGGGAAATTTCTTTCCACGTTTTCTTTGCAAGATTCACTACCTATTTCCACACCCACACCCAATAAGAATGGCAGCCCATTAGGTCGAAGTCTTGGCAAAATTGACTGACAATGATAAAGACTTGCAATAAAAAATTGCACCTATTTCCTCATACTTTCTTTGAATTTGAACAATGAGTTTCGTCATTAGGGAAATTTTTTCTCTGGTCTCCAATTTATTGAGGATGGGGAATAGCGTCAAAAATAGAAAAGTAGGTACCTGCAAAAAATTATCGTCAATAAGAGAAAAAATTCTGCATAACACAAATTGATACCTTGATTAGAAAAATGCTTGTAGCAAATGGTCGCATGACTTCAGAAGCTACTGGTGCATTCAGTAATTAGAAATTTTGATTTATGTGGGTAAAAATTTAGAACGAATCAAGTGAGTAAATGCAGAAAACTTACAAGTTATTTGAATAGAAGTTAAGAGGTGGTATCAATCATTGATACGTGGGAAAGAAAAATTTTGAATCAATGGTCAGTAAGTAATAATTAAAGAGAGGGTTAATGTGTCTATGTAATTACGAACAGTTGCTAGGTAACAAGACATTATATTTAAATTCTTTCACTCAAAAATAATGATCTTAATCCAGTTAAAATTCATTTGAAACCAAGGATTTCCCTTCAAATTTTTCAAAATTGAAAATTGAATAACTAACCAGGGAGTAGGGCCAAGTCTAAAAAAAATGAAGAATTTCAAAGGCACTGCTAACCAAAAACATTTTTATCTCAAACTAACCTCCCAAACAATTGAGTGCTTGGTCTGTAAGCTGAATTCAACCATTTGTTCCTTCAACCCCCCCTTCTCTGTTTGCAGATTACAGCACATCATTTGTCATACATGTGCTGATGGGAAAAATTTATGCCAGCTTTGCAAAAGCCCCCCTCTGAAAAAGCAGCTCAGTTTCCAGCAAGTGTTAAATCGGATATTTAAAGTTCGGTGCAAAAATGAAGGGTGCACATTGAAGCTGACCTTGCCTGAGGTATCAAAACACAAAGTTACGTGCAAATATAAGCGTATTCGATGCAAACTTGCCGCCTGCCGCTCACTCGTTCAACCTTCACGATATGACGACCATGTGAGACAGTGCCATGCAGATGTCAAAATTCTGACTGAGGAAGCAGTGTTCTGCTGGGATTCTAGCTTGTCTCAAGACCAGACCCAGTTGATCTTGGCCTACAACCAGTACTTTTGGGTGCGAATAAAAAATATCGGAATTCGTTATTGCCTGGCGATTCAAAGCGTAGCCGATGAAAATGTTTCTGGAAAGTTTACCTACACATGCTTTTACGGCTGGGATGATACAGGCTTTGTTAGATTCACTTATCCTGTCACTTCAGGCACAAAAAACCTGCACAGAGTTCTCACTGATGGTGAGTGCTTCATGTTGAACAGGGGCTTGGTCAGCAAAAGCAGAACAGACCAAAACAGTGGTTGGAGAGGAGTTCACATAGTCATGAATAAGGTTAAACCTTCCAGAGAAGTTGTTTTAAAGCATGATTAAATGTTGACAAAATACGAGCGAAAATGTTACAAATTATTTCTGTTCTAAGTAACTGTCTCACATGGGTTACAGAGCAGATTTACCACGATCTTTAAAAAAAAGTGTATTTTGCAAACAAAAACAATTTGTATTTATCAAGAGTCACAACCATTACAAGTAAAATTAGTCAGTCAGGTTGCTTTGACATAACAAATACTTAATAAAAATATATAATCAAATATACTTAATGTTACACGGTCTTAAAAGTAGCAGACTTTCACTTCTTATTATATTCTACTTGGCGTATCGTTTTGAAAAACTTCTAGAAAAAGTACATGACAAACTTTCCAGCACTTACCTCCAAAAAAAGAAGTCTAATTGTGATTAAAAACCTACGGATGGACATTTTTTTAGCATGAATGGGTCTAAGTTGAGTTGCTGGGTATAAAAGGAGAACTTCTCGGTTGCCGAGTTTCAAATTCTCAGGTAAAATTTCACTTGTTGCACAGAAAGTGAATACATGCATTTCCAAGAAATTTTAAAAGACAATTCTTCATGATTCTACGATGTTCTACTGAAATCTGTTCAGAAACTTCATGATTCTACAATTTTCTACTGACATTTTTTTTGAAAAAAATCACCCATCAGATCCTTCTTTTGGACATAATTTAGCAACAGAGAGTTTGAAATGCAACAACGGGAAAGTGCCTTTTTCTAATATGAAATCCTTAAATTTCTGTGTCAATAGACGAACCACTTATTTCAAAATGGACTCAGAAACTTTCATAACAAAAAGGATGAGTTCTAATCATCTCAGCTGATAAACCTGTGTTTGCCGTAAAATTTTCAAATTTATTATTTCCCGGGGTTCAAAAAAATGCTCTCTTATGATTGGCACATTTGGGCAGGCTTGAGGCAAATCTGAGGCCATAGCGCAATTTTTAAAAGTAAAGCTTTTTATTCTACCACTCATCAGATTGAAACATTTGGCCAAATCTGACATACTTGTCTCACAAGTAAGGAGTTTTGTACAGAGGCAAAAATGCTACATTACAAAAACAGGCAGCATTATGGAACGATTTGCACACCTCTTTTTTTTTTAGCGAATATTGTGTAGTTCACCTAAGCTTTTCATATTACAGCGCTTAATATTTCAAATTTCAACAATGGAGAAAAGTATAGTTCTTCCTTAAAAATTGATTTATCACGAAAGCTTAAAAGCGCAAAAGAAAGAAAATACTTTCAAACAAGCTTTGTTTCAAGAGCTTGACTCAGCTTACAATTTCCCTGCTAATCTTGTTTTCTTTTTTTCTTTTTCAAGGGCAGTATTGCCACCTGCGAATATTCAGGCGTAGCCTTATGAAGTCGTGCCAAAAACTACTCTCCTGTCATTTTATGAAATATACTTTTGCCTATCCTTTTTTGTCCACTCATTTTTGTCCTTCTTGCATTCCAGTCTTTTTCTAGTTGTACCAGTTAGACTTGAAGTTTATTTTTCAAAAATTACAGATAAACCTTAGCATTTTAAATTAATCAAAATCTTAGTGAGTAGTATCTTAAAGGTAGTATCTTAAATAGTTCAGACTGCATTTTAATTGCGAGTGCTGAACTGAAAAATTCATAAGGTAACTGGTACATGAGAATACTAAGGTGCTTGCAGCAAGGAGCCCTGGAGATGGTCAATACTGGTATAAACTGTACCTTTTGGAGCATTTAAAGCTCCAAATTGGATGAGAGACTTTCTAGTATTTTTGCTAAATTATCACAGATGGGTTCAATGATCGAGCCAAACCACTCTTCCACGGTAGCTCTGTGGTACACTTCTAATAGATGAGGCTTGAGGAAAGTGATTATCAATTGAATTTCTTCCTTCAACCTGCCCAAACAAAAACAAAAATTGACTTTAACGAAAATTTGAAGATAGGTACATTGGTCAGATAAGAACACTAAAAAAAACCCAAAAAATATTGAATTCAGTCCGCTGTAAAACTGCTTTTCCCTCGGTTTCAATGCAAAGTTCAGGAAAGTATAGGAGACTTCGTGCCAAGCAAAAGGAAGTCAGCTTAAGATTGATTAGAAAAGTAAACAACCAATTCTACAAATTTCAGTCATTTTGATTGAACATAATAATATTGATTTTAATGATGGCTAATGACAACTTACTGCTTTAAAATGTAATTAAAGTTTTTTTCATAGATAGGTTATAGATTGGAAGCATACATAGGTTTATTAAAGTAAAAATATGAGCAGCATATTTAACACGTAACTTTACTTTACAGTAAAAATAGAGGAGCAGAGATTTTAAACAGTCCAAACAGGGTGTCTACAAAAACAGGCTGGCCAAAAATCAGTACGTTTTCACTTCATTCCCAAGAAATTCAGCACCTCATCAACAGAAAAATTCAGTACTTTTTCAGTACCTCCAATTGACGAAATTCGGCAAATTTAAAGAAATTGAATTTCCCGCTCAAATTGCGACGAAAATGACAAAAAAATTAAAAAATTCCACACCATCTTGCGGAATTCTGCTCTTTATCAGTACTTCTGGATCGCCCTGAAAAAATCAGTACTTTTTCCGTTCTCGTAGACACCCTGCCAAACAAGATAAGTGATTTGGTAGTTTCATCGTCAATAAATGTAATTCAAGTAAATTTATGAGCGCTCATGTAAGCATAATCTGATGTAATGAGTGAGCTTACCCATGAAGTGCTTTGACAAGGCTATCCGTCTGCATAGGATTAAGATGATTATTTTTCCTTTGCCAAGGGTTTAGCCAGGATGCAAAACTGTTGACAAGAGAGATATTATTTGAGACAAAGAAACTTATTTCTGACAAAGTTGTTTTACATGAAATCAATAAAATCAAACATATTCCTGCGAGGTATCTGGGGAATTTTTTCAAGAAACAAACATACTGGATTGCAAGGTATAGTCAGCATTTCGGGACTTCAGACATCTCTGCTTTCCAGATCAAATTATACAAATTAATGATTAACATACGACTGTTTCATTCAAATTCCAAGGACAAATTTCAAACTGTAACACTACTTAACAAAAATTAAATGTGATATATCAAATTTCTCAAGTTCTTGGTTTATCATAGATGAAAAGAATTCAGCAATAAAAGGTTGGGGTAGATATAAATAGACCACTCATTTTGTAATCAATCATTTAGTACAGGCAACTGAGAGTGGAAGTATGAAAATATACTCAGAGTTCAAACAAATCTATTCGCTACCGGTAGCTATCGGTAAGCTATCGGTTCTATTTGTTTCAAAATACTTCAATAAGGTCTGAAACGGCCAGCTTTATCAGAACTGCAAGGCCTTTATGTCAAAGCCTTGTGGCCAATTGGTTGGGTTGCTTGGCCTGTTAAACCGATGAACATAGCAACTACTCATTTTTGTCAGCTCTGAAAAATTCCCGATACCTATCTGTGAGAGCCGACTTATTTTTTCTACTTTTTAATGAAACTGACGAAAGCTCACCAAAAACCAATAAGTCACCCCTATATGCGCCAAAAATAATAATCACTTACTGATCACTGTTGATAGTGTTGTAGTACTTGGAACGAAAGTTTGCAAACCATCCAACGCCAGTTAGGATTTGCCAACTTGGGAAGTTTAGATTTTCCGCTACATGCTGTGGTCTGGAAAATGAACATAATAAACTCTACTAAAGTAAACAAATTTTACGTGGAATATGATTTTGGATTATGTACGTTAATTTGTAGAAAAAGATAGAAGAACGAGTACAAACGATACGTTACTTCATTTCCTCTGATGTTTTATATTTAAAACAGAAAATTGAGCAATATTGGAACTTGAAATTTTGTGAGAGTATTCTTCATAACCTGGGGTAAACTCATACACAATTTAATGGGTCAAGGAGTTCAGATTTCTATTGAGAGAACAAAAATAAGAGGAAATTAGGTAATGTGAAATGCAGCTAGGCTGATTTCAATTAAGTCCAATATCCTTTAATTTTACTTAAATTTAAGTTTAAATGCAAAAGGAAAACCATAGAAGTAAGTGGCATGAAATAACTTTCTCAGTGTACACCTTTAGGTTTCAATCTCAACAAAGATGCGGGGTTTAAAAAATGTATGGAGCTAATAATTAAAACTTTATGCTGAAATTTTAGCTTGCCCCTGTTCAATGGGTCAGTTGCACTGGTCACAGAGTCGAGTTCTGATGTTTAATTCTTGTGGATTAGCTAAAAATAATAAGATATGTCCAAACCGCAACTTTCTACATTCAATATATTAATCAAGATATTGCCCATTGAAAAGTCGGGTTTTTGACATCATCCACCGCAGTAGTGACATCCTTCCTTCCTTCTGCCTTGTTTTCATCCAATTTGCACGTTGAGTAACCAGTGCGTCACTGACCAATGAAAGTAAAGTAGAAGAAACCACCGGGGTGTCACTACCGCGGCAGATGACGTCAAAAATCATTTCAAAGGGTGATATTTCGGTTAATATAGAAAGTTGCAGTTTGGAGAGATCTTTTTATTTTTAACTAATCTGCAAGGAACAATCATCAAAACACAATTCAGTGACCAGCGCAACTGACCCATTCCTTCTTGGTGCTTAGAAACTCCAGGTCAATCAAGCCACATCTACAGGTGGTAAATCTTAAAAAAAATTAGGAAAAATAAGTCCTTTCTTGTGGATCTGTACTTGAAGTTTGTTAGGACCTTAAGGAAACATTTGTAGTGAATTTTTTCAGAGGTTTTCGACCTTAAGATGGGGCCTTGCTACCTGTAATGGCCACAGTTACCTACGGATCTTGTGACACCACTTCATAACTAAATTGAGGGACTTCTAGAGGAATTCCAAAGAGCACAATCAAGGAGTTCCAAGACTCTCCCAACATACGGTAAAAGAAACAAAATCTGATCTTTCGAGTGATAGTTGAGAAAATAATCATGAAAAATTTGGCTTAGTCCAGGACTTTTTAATACATTTTAATAATTTTCTGAAATTCAAGAATTTAAAGCTTAGAAAAGAAAAGAAAAAAATCGAGAGCTACCCAAGCCACTCTCTCTAAATACTAAAAAAAAAAAAAAAAAAAAAAAAAAAAAAAAAAAAAAAAAATTGTGAAACTTTTCCTGTTAAAAAGTAAAAAGTCGCATGCTCTTAATAATTAAAATAGTAGACTCTAAGAATATTTACCTTGGGAAAGGATCTAAAGGAATCAATTCCGAGCTGTAGCCCAAGGCAAGTGAAACGCTCCTATGCGTCTCAAGTGAAAATGACTCGATCCATGTACGTAAACAGAGGGCAAGACTAGGAATGGCAACTGGTAGGAGCTCACACAGAATGGCGAAATGATCAAACCTATGGGAAATTGAATATAGCTTTACTGCAAATTTTCATCCAGTACCAGTGCAAAGCCAGCAGTGCTTGGTGCAGTACCGGTGATCTAAAGTCATCATTGATTCCAAAAATGTTTGACTTGATAAAAGTAAAAAAGAAAAAAGAACACTAAAATGTGGTCCGAGCTGTATGTAACAAGGTAATAAATTAGTGCTGGGTCCATACTATTTTGCGGGGAAAGCTAGGCCAGAAAATTCAACAATTTCCGCTAGAGTTGAAATTTGCGCTCTAATGAGTATCAGTACAAGACTGAGGGGGGGAATGTACACTGTGTGCAGCTCAGGCAGATCAACACTATCTCCTCTCAGTCTTGTTCTGATATTCATTAGAGCTCAAATTTTTTTATCTAATAGAAAAATTAGGCATTGCTTTCCCCACAAAATAGTGTGGACCCAGCTTATTTTACCACCTTCTTATCTGTAAAAAATTACTCAGAAACTGCAGACATTATCGCCTTTAAACCAAATGAAAAATGGTGAGAGTTGACATGACTTGACTCACTAAATATTCGGTTATAAATGTTCTATTCTGATTCAAATCCTTAAACTGCTACGATGTCCTCAACTATGAAGAAAAGCAGCGTTACATGACACAGTGATCTTCATGCAGTAGCGCATTGCAAAAAGGGAGCGCTGCTACTTCTATTGGTGAGAGGACTCACAGTCCGAGTCAGCAATTTATGGTTCTCTTTAACGGAAGGCCGCAATTTCCTTCATAAATAAGATGTCTTTCCAAAAGATCTATTTAACGTCGAGTGCTTTGTTATGTCATCCTGATGAGCATTAACCGCTGACAATTGGTAAAGAGTGAAATTTAGGTGCTTTTAAAGCCTTGAAAAAATTTTCAAGATCAAGTGCTTATAAAGGTTGAACAAACTATGTGATAAGTGAGAAAAACTCAGGAATTCCATGAATGATGGCAAGGATGACCCAGACCTACAAGGCATGGCATTGCCATGGATTCTTTTTCTGTTTTACCTTTCACAAAGCAGTAAGACCTTGATTTATCGGATTTTACAGGACCAGAGGCCGAATCTGTTAAATCGCGCTAGTGGGTCCTGCTGAAGGGACCGGGAATCGATCCGTTAAATCACCGAATCCGTAAAATTGCGATCTGATAATTCGAGGTCTTACCGTATGTCCAACTTTTTCACTTGTCACTTCCAATTACACCAACCATAAAGATAGTTTGTATAGCAAAAGTATTATCATAAACGTAAGAATCGAAAACTGTCTCATGGTTACCTGGACCAGCCTGTTAGCGCTATTCCTAAAAACTTCATTTTAAACTCTGGATCAGCGAGAACCATAGACCACTTCTCATGGTTGCTTATGTGATGCGATATGACAGGTAAAATCTGACAACTCCCAGTGGCACCTTTGAAGGCGGATGCAACCCAGACTTTTTTGAAGACAACAGAGTATTTTTTCCATAAATCTGCAAGAAATAATTTGGTCAATTAACACAGAAAAAGGAGAATTGAATATGAAGCGTAACCCATTTGCATCTTGGCATGTTTTTGCTGGCCACACCAAGCAGTGCCGCACAATCAGGAGAGCAACAGAATATTTATACATGATTCATGATGCTATCTATTGGACAATTGGATAAACACGACCAAAAGAATCGCCTAGCAGTTGTGCGAGTTACCTCGTCCATGGGTAGTTGTACCAGGACGAGGCTGACGAGCATACTCGTCTACAATATGCAAATGAGTTGAGCAAAATCCTTTTTATCTTTGAGATTTCTGTAAAATCCACTTTCTCTCCTCGAAAATAACTCAGTAAAAGATAACTCATCTTTGACAAATTGAGTGTATGTCAGAGAGATTCAATAGAAACAATTGCTTATGAGCAAGTTTGGTTTTAAACGATTTGAAGCTAAGCATACATTAGTTCTCTTGAGAACAAGGGAAGAGATCTTACCACTATTTAGTTGGAAAAACTCAGCTGGTTGATAATGCCAAACCATGGGCTCCACAAAATCCCAGAAGTTGTACTCTGGAAAAAAATTATTTCTGTGGGTCAGGGCCATGTTTAAATTATTAAGGCACTTAATTTCTCTTTTTGATTGTTTGAAGAAAATAAGAAAAAGATACTGACCAAAAGATTGAAGAGAGAGAATGTTTAATAAAGTAAGATTTTCAGGGTCCAAAGACAGCCTCCATTATTATTGTAAGAGAAGGTAAGACAGATCGTGTTCATTACCTAAAAGGAGTTTTGAATGTAAAAATGCCATTTTAAGTTTCTTTTTTTCCATTTGGATTTTAAAAGTTTTGGTTAAAATTCCCCCCCCCCCCGTTTTTTTCTAGCTGCAAGATTTTGACCCGTGCCTAAGCATGTTTTCTTTACTATTGTATGAGGAGAATTAGCAAAATAGAATGATATGCAATGGTGGTCGCATTTCGGTTCGAGCTACCATTTTGGAGACTCAAGGCGCATGGACAGTACCGACTTTGCCTCCTTTGCCTTGCAATTCAAATGTACCCAATAGTTTGCCGTGTCAAGAGGGTGTGAGATGTGACTGCCTTTGACTATTCGTCTCAAAGATTAAAAAAAAAATTCTGTTTTTTTAATATATATTTTTTCAAATAAGTAAATGTTGCAATGATAAATTAGTTTTTCATTAATAAAGCTCTGTCATGCAATGCTACTTGAGGGGTTTGATAGGTCATTGGTAAAGATTCAATAATCTGCCTACAAACAGCTCTGCTAAGAATTATTCGTGCAAATAGGAACATGAATTATTATGTGAAAACAAACGCGACTTAAAACAAAGGAGAGGTGATTTTGCATTGAAAATTCATACCTTGTAGTAATTCTATATTGATACTTCGTAGCATATCATCCCACATCACAAGAGAAATAACAGAAGGGTGCTTGTTACGAACATGCGTCACCACTGATTTAATGTGATCGAGGAACAGACGATGCTTACTTTGCTTGGAGCATAGGTCACACTGTCCCATATTCCACACCTGGAAAGAAATTCAAGCAAAACTAAACTAAATCTGAATATACAGGGTGTTCGAAAAGTCCCCTCCCCCCCTCTAACTTTTAACCTAATTGAGGTAGAGATTTGAAACTTGGAGGGTGTTCTTAGATCAAAGGGAGCTACTTTTTGACCCCCTCAAAATTTTTGGGGCCCCCCCCATGGGTCCCCCATGGGAAGACCCCCTTTGTGATACCTCGTTCGAAAGAGCATAAGAAAAGAAAAATTTTCGCGCAAACCCGAAGTCGTTATCTCAAACCGTTTCAAAATGGCGGCCGGTCAAAGTTCAAAATGGCCGAAAATTGGCACCTGTGCTATTTGCGCATGAATTTGCTTGAAACTCGGTATCTGGAGGTATTTTGGCACGAGAAAAACGAATTTGACGTTAGATTTTTAAAAAAACCCTAATTTTTCAGAATGGCCGCCGGTTTAGGCTCGAAATTTTGACAAACTCGATTTTTTGCCGATGGATTCACCTGAAATTCGGTATCTGGGAGTATTTTGACCCGAGAAGAACGGATTCGACGTTAGATTTTTAAACAAACCCTCATTTTTCAAAATGGCCGCCGATTAAAGTTCAAAATTGTCAACAATTGGCAACCTCAACTTTTTGCCGATGGATTCCTGTTAAATTTCAAGCTTCAGCTTCAGGATTCTCAACTTATCGTTTTTCTCCCACCCAGATACCCCCAAACATCGAGTTTCAGGCGAATCCATCGGCAAAAAGTCGAGGTTGCCAATTGTTGACAATTTTGAACTTTAATCGGTGGCCATTTTGAAAAATGAGGGTTTGTTTTAAAATCCAACGTCGAATTCGTTCTTCTCGGGTCAAAATACCCCCAGATACCGAATTTCAGGTGAATCCATCGGCAAAAAATCGAGTTTGTCAAAATTTCGAGCCTAAACCGGCGGCCATTTTGAAAAATTAGGGTTTTTTTAAAAATCTAACGTCAAATTCGTTTTTCTCGTGCCAAAATGCCTCCAGATACCGAGTTTCAAGCAAATTCATGCGCAAATAGCACAGGTGCCAATTTTCGGCCATTTTGAACTTTGACCGGCCGCCATTTTGAAACGGTTTGAGATAACGACTTCGGGTTTGCGCGAAAATTGTTCTTTTTTTATGCTCTTTTGAACGAGGTATCACAAAGGGGGTCTTCCTATTTGAAAAAAAAAAGATTTAGGGTTCGTAACCCCCCAAGGGGGGGCCCCCAAAAATTTTGAGGGGGTCAAAAAGTAGCTCCCTTTGATCTAAGAACACCCTCCAAGTTTCAAATCTCTACCTCAATTAGGTCAAAAGTTAGAGGGGGGGGAGGGGACTTTTCGAACACCCTGTATTAAAGTCGAATTCACACAATTTAATTTTTTTTAACATCTTTTTCTCCAACCCTAATGAATGGAAATTTTTTCGATTTGAATTACATGGTATTGATTTTCATGCGAAAAAGTTGGAAGAAAAGCTGAATGAAACTATGAATAGTGTGAAGTGGGCTTACGTCAGGCCCAAGAGTAACATTCAGAGAACTGTTTTTTTTTACGTTTTTAGGTGTCAAACAGAATTCATTGCAAAATGGACTGGACAACCTTCAAGGGAAAGAGGCAAGCTACCTGAACATATATTCCTCTCTTGCATGGCTTTTGAGGTACCTATACTAAAAACTAACATTAAAATGAGTTTCTCTCAAAACACCATTTTTGGCTACATTTTATTCAATATTCTAGGTAAAGTCTCATTGGAAAAAGAACCATGATGACTCATAGTTTTTGGTAAAAAACGATAAGTTTCAGGAAGGGTCTAAGTAATGAATTCTTCTTGAATGAAACGTATGTAACCTATTGGGACTGATCACTGGGAATTGAAAAAAAAACTATTAAGAAAATATCTACTTCATACCTCATCAGCTCCAATGTGAAGGGTCGTCAAGTTGGGATGCATTTGAATCACCTGATCTATCATTACAGTGACAAGGTCAACGGCAGCCGGTGTTTTAGATGGACATAAGCAGGATGGATACCTTGTCACCTCCCGCAAGTGCCTCCATCTAGGATGTTTCAGGACAAACTGGGAATCAAAAACAATGACCATGTACTTACATTAAAATAAAGAATGTAGAAGTAAACTACAATCCTGCAAAAATTCCTCGCACTGCCTCATTCAAGGATTTGGGAACTGCAGAGTTCTTTTAAAATTGTTACTGTTTAAAAATGAAAACCGGTAATTCTAGAATGATGACTTCAAAACTATATCCACAAACTTTCTTTGCCACATAGAGTTTTGAATAGTAAATTGTAGGATTGATGGATCTCGAGTTTTAACTATGACATACATATTAGAGGCAAAACTGAAGGAAAAATAAATGCTTTTGACGCTGGAGATTTTTTCATTCTCCTCCATTTCTTGACCTAACTGATCATGAGCAAGTTATGAATTCAGAGATATTTTGTAAGAAAAGTAAAGTCTCAACGTTTAATTTAGAATTACACTTTTCTTGAAAGAATTTCATCCTTTATCACATTGTGAGAGACACATTTTACTTTCTGACACACTAGATGTTTGTACAGCGTCTTACCTAATCCATAAAAGGAGCTTGGATGATAGAATCGAGGTCTAAAATTTGCGTTTTATGGAGCATATAAATGAGCGATACTCACCTCAAGATGTCCAATTGTTTGGACGAGTGGAATCACAATCAAACTGGATGTTTGAGCAAGGTGTAATATTCGAGAAATTTCATCTGAAGTGTAGGTGTTGGTGACAGAGTTCCTTGAGCCAATGTCTACCAGAGCTCCGCTGTACGGGAAAGTATCTTCCCATTCAATCAGAAGGCCTGTTGCACCGAATTGCGCTAACAAAGGAATCAACTGAGAAAAAAACACTCATAATTACTAAGAGCAGCTTTTAGCTTCACAACAACTTGTGGCAGAACTTGCATCAGTTTGAAGCCCAATTGACACTATCAAACTTTACATCCAACTCTTGGATGCAACTTGTCGAATGAAAAGTTGGATAGTGTGATACTGACAAGAGAAAATGACAATTTGATGAAAAATTTGACGGAAACTTAAATGTGACGTCACATTCAACTTTTCGTTCAACTTTCCATCCAATTGTCGCCGCCAAAGTTGAACGAGGAGTTGGAACAAAATCTGCCGACCGACATGGGCCGAAGCTGTATCTTCGCGAACCGCAAGCTGATGACAATATCACACTTCAAGGGTAATAGATTCAAATTTTTTTGCGTCCAACTTTCCATCCAACTTTTCGTTCAATCATGTTGGATGAAAAGTTTGATAGTGTGAATTGGGCTTCATTTCTTTTGAATATTATGTTATGAATCACTCTTCAATATTTTAAGGAATATTATTGGCTGTAAATAATTTAATAAGTTCTGTGCGTCAAATTATTTAAAAGCAAGCGATGAAGGTGACCATCGAAAGGAAAAGAGATCTTAGTCTACAGAAGCTAAATTTTTAGAGGAGCTATTTCTATCCAGTCCGGTCCAAATATCGGACTATGAGATGGTACTGACACTGACAGAAACCTCCCTCAAGTCCTAAAAATGAAATTATGAGTACTTCAATTAATTTCTGGGTCAATTCGTCGCCCTCCAGACATAAGGACTTAACAACACTTCGCGATGAGCCCTGCCCACTTTATAACTCAATACTTTCTTAGGCTCATCACAAAGTGTAGTTATGCCCTTTTGTAAGTCAAACAACAAATAGGTTGCATGAAGTTACAGTAAGTACTATTCAACAATTTCATCATCTAGAGCTAGGCAAATTATACATTTAAATAGCTTTCTCTCAAAATGCTGTTTTTTGAACTGCCATCCAGTTTGGATTTGCATTTTTGGACGTTTTTCTCCTAAAAATGTTTGTATAACGCTACATACTCAAGAACCAATGACTCAATTTTTAATACACAGGCTAATACCTCTATTCCTGTGGTTGGTGGCAAATGTATAATGTGAAAAGTTACCTTCTCCAGATAAGTCAACTGAATTGGTGCACTCTTCAAGTCCAGGTGGACCAACCTAAAAAAGGCAAGTAAAGATGTGTAAGAGGTCTGCAGAATAAAGGTGTTGTTCAAATATTAGGTGCGCAACCTGGGGAAGAGAGGGTCTGAGAGTATCTTACTGGGTCTTACCAGGGACGAAAGGGATTAAGTCAAAGTTTACATCAGCCTCCCTCTGAAAAAATAAAAATAATTATTTGTCGATAAAAATAACATTTGTCCATAGGTGGTTCTAGATCTCTGTGGGTGCCAAGGGATTTAGAACCATTTTTTTGGTGCGTGAGTGGGGGTAAGGGAGGAGGGCACTCCGGCCCAAGTAAGAGGAAGGTCCAGGGGATCTCTCCAGGAAAATTTTGAAGATTGCATCTCTCACGGACGCTATTTGGACATATTTTTAATTTTAATATCATAATATTTAGGAGACAAATTCATTGTCTTTTGATAGATGTGATACCATATATTTTCTTGTATAAACATTTATTTCATTGGGTATTACGGAGGCGTAAGAACCTCATTGAGAACTTTTATATCGATGATAAGAGTACCAGAGCACGTATCTCGGTTTGCAACGCTGCAGACCTCCTGTTATACTCTATTTTTTAAATGATAAACTACTCTAAATTAATTCTTGAAAACTCTCCTGTTTTTCCTTTTCTGTGTGAAAAAAACTCTTTGAAAATTTCAAGAGATTATATTGATTTGTTTTCCTTAAGAAAAATAAAATAAAATAGGACCAGAGATTTTTAAACACTGCAAACAAGATACATGGTCTGGTAGTTTCACCTTCAATATGTTGTACACATGATTTCATGAAAATGCATGAATTGATACATTTTGGAAAAACTTAGGATTTTTGGGCTATCGTATACCAGGCTTCCCATAATTTTGCATAGTTACAAGGTTATGAAGTTTTTATACTCCTGCAACCTATCAAAAATTAGGCATGATACTTAAGAAAGATTACAAACCTGTGGGTATCAATGGCGAGAGACATTATTCCAGAAGGTTGCTTAATCCAAGAGTAGTTTCATTTAATTCTGATGAGAGGTGAATAAGGTATCAAAATGGAGACTCGACATCCATTCTACTGACGGACATCACGACAGAATTAAATTAAGAGAAAATTGCATTCAGTAAAGTCTGTTGACTGATTTCATTGAGATCAATTTATTTATAAGGTAAGTAAGTAGTCATGTAGAAAAGACAGGTCATGGTGACTGAACTTAGATGCTAATTTTCTATATGTTCATTTTCTTGTTATATAGTTCTTAATTTTACAATATAGAGGCAGTTACTGTGGCCTCTTGATAAGGAGATTCATTGTCACAGTTTTTCTTTGGTGAAAATGATTTGAATTTGCACAAATTCTCTTTTGAGAAGAGGGAGACTTTGATAAAAAGCGCAAAAACACAGAGAATAAAAATCAAACTGGTTCTCAAGCATTGAAATCAATATGAAGCTTTCAAATAATTGCAAACTGGTGGAGAGAGAGTCGACAAGCACTGAAAAAATCTTGGTGAAAGAATATTACTTGGCTGCATTAAATTTCCTTGCACTTTCAATGATTGGATCAATTTTTTCATTAACTCGATCTCAAATTATTTCCTTCCTTGGCTTCAAATATTCCTGACACTCATAGTGACATGCTTAGTCATTAAAATTTTGCAAAGGTTTTTAACCTTTGCCCAGGTGTCACATCTGAGACTGTTTCCCAAAAGAGGCCTCAGCGTGTCAGGAGGAACTTCCACAGCATTTATGAAAACTTTTACATTGAAAGTTTTGGAGATTTTTAACGTTGAATAATAAGGCACTGAGTTAAAGCTACGGTCTAATATCTTGCTGATAAGCAAATAATCTTCATGACACTCTGTGAAGAAGGGATCAAAAATATTTTTTTGTATCAAACTAGCTTTCAATTCTTCAAAATCATTTATTTGGCCACTGTTCTTTTCATTCGTCTGCATTTTCCTTTTTTTCTTTGGAAGGTCCTCAGATTCTGAACATGTTCCAGATCTTTTGTTTGATTTAGTTAGAACAGTGGTATAAAGATGATCTATGTGGTCATCGTCAACTGGCTTGGTGGCCATCATGAAGTGCTCACCGAATTCAAGATTGGAGGCTTCCACGTTTTCATCCGATACTTTAACTTCGTTAGATGATTGGGCGGAAATATGAGCTGAGAGATAGTGTCGAGACTCAATAATTTTATCCCACTTAGCAGAAATTTTGTTAAACTCCGAGTGCCAAGGAAAAATAGTTGGATATGCTTCTTCAGTTAGTCGTAGCTGCTGTCGTGGCATTTTCACCGTGATACCTCCTTTGCAATTAAATTCATCATCCATTACAACAAAATCAGGTTTAAAGTGTTTAATGCATACTGCAGAGTATTGTGTGATTTGATATGAATCGTCTTTGCCACAACGTGACAACCATTCTCTACGGAAACGCGGAAACGAAGGAAACTTGAAAATAGGGACATACTTTCCAGGTATGCGATTCGAGAAACAACCAGCCACACAACATGCTTTCACCATCGTTTCCGCTCTGCCTTACTCTTACAGCATAAATGATAATTTTATGATATCTGAAAGGGTTATCACAAGAAGGAAATTCAGAATTATTACTTTTCTTTCTTTTTCCTGTTTAAAAGGCTTACTTAGTTGCAGCGATCAGTCTGATATGACGGTGAGTCAGGTAGTCTAGTGCGAGATGAGATCGGATGACTGCAGATGACTGTGAGGAGAGGATTTCGCGCCGGAGACAACTTAACCCAAAGGTAAGGAACTTTTTATGCGGTATTAAAGCACGTGCAAAGTTCTGAAGTTGTGAAAGACAGCCCCAACAGAACAAGATCACGGACACTTTACTTTACTTTATGCTTCACTCTTTGGACAGTAAGTAACAGAAATGAAAATAACATGATTAACATAACCTCGAGTCGACTGTTCAGCAGAGATTCCTTCCTTGAGCTCGGAAGGCAGGGATGACCACGGGATGACAAAAATCCTGCCGAATTTCCATCGCAAACTGTCTGGTGCGCAATCGGGAGCATCGATGTTTCCTTTCTGCAGACTCACTGCACTCCCCACGCGCCGCAGGATTTTTGTCAACCCTCGCCTTTCGGGCCAAGCAGGAATCTTTTAAATTCAAACCAAATTAAACGCTCTTTTTTTTTAAAGGAAAATCTGCATGATTTCTCTTCTATTATCTATATGATTAGGAATTTTAAGTAATAAAGACCATAAGGAATACCAAAAATTTAAATAAGGGGCCGTTCATAAATTACTTAAGGCTCTCATGGGGAGGGGG